TCAGATTTCCAACCTAACATCGAATTTCCTTCTATTGTTGAAACTCCCCTTACGTTGTGTTTGGATAACGTCAAGGAGACTATTCGAACATTTGCAAATCCCAAAAAGGCACCTGGATACGACAAAATTACGGGTAAAATGATACAACAATTGCCTGATTCAGCAATAACTTTTCTAACGGTGATATTTAACAGCATCCTCGCTTTTGGCTACTACCCGAAGCAATGGAAAGTTTCAGAAATAAAAATGATTCCAAAAGCAGGAAAGGACCTAACTTTGGCATCATCATATAGACCAATTAGTCTTTTGCCTCCTGTCATATATTATGCCAATAATAACTCAAAACAATGTGATCCCAAACCATCAATTTGGATTTCGAACAGGACATGGCACTATTGAGCAAGTTCACAGAATTGCTAAAGAAATACATACTGCCTTTCAACACAAAGAATACTGTTCCGCCGTTTTTTTGGACGTAGCCCAAGCTTTTGATAAGGTTTGGCACGAAGGTCTTATGTATAAAATAAAACGTATTCATATATATCTTCTAGAAAATTTAGATTGAAATAAAATACCTTTATTTCAAGAGAAATCGACATATTAGGTGTACCGGTATGAAATGAGCGTTTTTTGGTGAAAATAAAACACTAATTATTAATAGGAAAGTAAAAAACATTTTATTCAAAGTATTGGCCATTGCTTTCTACATATTTTGACCACCTTTCTGGCAATTTGTGGATACCACGCCAAAAAAATTGTTCGTCTTTTAAAGCAAACCAACCAGACACCCAATTTTCGACCTCCTCGTAGGAATCAAAGTGCTGCTCAGCCAATGCGTGTCCCATCGATGAAAACAAATGGTAGTCGGAAGGAGCCAAGTCTGGTGAATACGGCGGGTGGGGTAGCAGCTCCCAGCCAAGTGTTTTGATTGCATCCTGAACCCGTTTTGCTTTGTGTGCAGGTGCATTGTCATGGAGCAGAATTACCTTGCCGTGTCTTCTGGCCCATTCTGGTCGTTTCTCGATCAATGCATGGTTCAAATTTATCATTTGTTGTTCATAGCGACCAGCATTGACGGTTTCACCAGGTTTTAGGAGCTCGTGGTACACCACACCTTTCTGGTCCCACCAAACACACAGCATTGTCTTCTTGCCGAATCGATCTGGTTTTGCAGTCGATGTTGATGGTTGTCCCAGATTAACCCATGATTTTTTCCGTTTAGGATTCTTAAAATAAATCCATTTTTCATCGCCAGTAACAATCCGATGCAAAACCGATTTTCTTTCGTGTCTTTGAAGCAAAATTTCACAAGTGTTTTTTCGGTTTTCCATCTGTCTTTCATTCAATTCATGTGGCACCCATTTTCCACACTTTTGGATCTTTCCCATAGCTTTTAAACGGTCAGAAATTGTTTGTTGTGCAACATTTAACATTTCTGCCATTTGCTTTTGACCCAAAGTGTCATCTCCATCCAATATCGTTTGCAATTCGGCGTCTTCAAACTTTTTTGGCGGTCTTCCACGTTCTTCATTTCTCACATCAAAATCATTATTTCTGAACCGTTGAAACCATCTTTTGCATGTTGCTTCTGATACAGCATAATCACCATATGTCTCGACAAGCATTCGATGCGACTCTGCACCACTTTTCTTCAAATGAAAACAAAAAATTAATGCTTTCCGCAAATCATCACTTTCTGGAACAAAATTCGACATTTTTAACACGATGAAAAAATATGATGTTGTCTGTTCAATGACTTGATGTATACTAAATATATTTCACACATGTCATAGCAAACAAACAAAAAGAAATAAAGGCTCGTTCACAACAAATGTTCCCTGTCGGAACAATTGTATCTTTACGCTCACTTCATACCGGTACACCTGGTAACATATTATATTATATTACAAATTAATACATCAGTCAATAAGTCGTACGTCTAACACACAGATGCCGCTGCCATTGCCAAATCTACCATATATGACTTTTATGAAGTATCAACCTTCAACGATTAGTCAGGAAAAAGTGACAGCCGTTTAAGTGAAGCTACTTTTGTTATTTTCAAAACAATGGATTCAAAACAATTTCGTGTGTCAATTTATAATTGCTTCTTGATGAAAAGTTCAAGTAATGGCAAGTTCAGCAATGTACAAGTTCAGCAATGGCACCATGTCACAAGTCAATAAAAAGAATGGCAAAATTGCACGAATTACACTTCAAATTGCTTCCTCATCCACCGTATAGTCCAGATCTGGCCCCCAGCGACCACTGGCTATTCGCTGATCTCAAAAAAATGCTCGCCAGTAAGAAATTCATCTCAAATGAAGAAGTATTTGCTGCAACAGAAGCCTATTTTGAGGTAAAAGACAAATCCTTCTACAAGCACGGCATCGAGAAGTAAGAGAAGTATTGGAATGATTGTATTGTCCTTGAAGGAGATTATATTGATGAGTAAAATCGATTTTTGGCAGAAAAAATTTGTTTTTTTTAGTTAGTCACCCGTATTATTGACTGATGTGTTATAACATAATATGTTATATTATATTACTCTTTAATTATAAGTTTTGTATTGAAATTATTTTTTATATAACTTATAAAAAAAATCTAGTAATTTGCATATAATATTTCTTTTTGTATGTAATTACATTATTTTAAAATATTATATAAATTATATTAAATTAAAAATTTAACTATTTAATAATTCAATCTAAGCACCAACACTGTGTATATTGTATTGAATTGAATATTTACAGAACTCAAGCTTATTGCCAATTATAAGGCTTATTATTTTAATTGAAACATATGATGAATAATTTATAAAATGTATTCTACATTTTTAAAAGTTAACATTACTATAAGTTTATATAATTATTATTTTGTACCTTTGTATACATTTTTTATATGTTTTATTCTAGATCTCTTAGTGTTAATCTTCACTTCTCTTGCACACATACCAATAAGTTCTTATCGTAAGTCGATTTTATGATCACAATTCGTTATATTCATATATTATCCAATAAACAACTATTGTAAGTCATTTTTAGGAACACATTTTTAGATTTGGCTTCAGGTTGACAAAGTAAGTTCTCTTAGATAATATTACAGCCAGAACTTGTTTGAATATTACAGTTCATTTTGTGATATAAATTCATGTACGTCGTTTTCGAGTATCATATTTAAAACTCTTTAAGATCTATTTGCTCTTCGACTAGATGATGATATATGCAAGTCATTTTCGAGCATAATTTTCTTAAATAGTCAAAAGGTTTGATATTGTAAGTAATTTAAGATCACAAATGAATAGTGATTATTATTACAGGTTATTTCTAAAATCACAATTCAAAATTTCATAACAGTTTTCACACCATAAGTTTAAATATATGTACAACTTTTGATTAGAGAATGATCTCCAATTTTTATGATACGCTCATTAGTACCCAAATAACTAAATTGTAGCTCCCAATCAAATCAACTATTTTTGTACCCCCATGTTTGAGCACAAAAGTTATGAGTGCATGTTGGAAAAATGTTCTGTGTGTGTTTTTGAAAAAACATTTAATATTTAAGTTTCTATTTATAATATATTACGAAAGTATTAATTAAAAAAAAAATCTCTTTGGACAAACAAAAAAAAAAAAATACAAAATAAAAAATTATAAATTTAGGATAAAATTCATTCCAACTAAAGATCATGCAAAAATTTTAATCAATTTTTAAAATAATTTATTATTATTTTAAATATTGAATTAATTTAAAGTAATTTTGAATTTACAAAAACTAAAATATATATATATATATACAATTAAGATTCCTATTAATTATAAAAAACTTTAGTTATGGAACCCTTAAAAAATTGAACAATGAAAATAATTTCACAAATATACCGTGTGTTGTGATATATAATATAAATTTATATATGATTTGACGCATATTTAACTTGTTTATTATTATACATTTAAAATGTTTAATTAAAAATAATAAATAATTTGAAAATTAAAAAAATAAATAAATAAAATCTTTAGTCATTCAATTATGACATATTTTAATAACTAACAAATGAAAAACTCAATATATTTATACATATAAGTTATTAATATAAAACAAAAAACAACTAATGATAATTAGCATTTTAGTATATGAATTGTATTAAGTAAGTAGAAAAGTATATTAATTATTACAAAATTTGGTAATTAAATTATTTACCACTATTAAATTTAAAAATACTTATGTACGTAAATATATTATTACCACATGCATATTATTATTTAATAAAAAACAATTTATATCAATAAATTTAAAAATAATTGTTTTTTTTAATTAAACTTAAATGTATAATTTTTTATAAATGTTATTTATATAAGTATGGGTTATTATGTATAATAATAATAAAAGAGGTCCTTTTTAATTTAATATAAAAAGCAACGTTTACTGCATCTATGCTATGTACATATGGTATTTTGATATATATTATATATTAATTATGAATTTTGAATAAAGAATATTGGGAAGATATCTATAAAAATGGTCTGTTTCAAAAATTTTCAAATAATATTATTAAAATTATTTAATAATATATTAAAAATAACTTGTCCAACTCAAATGGTTAATAAATAAATTGTACCTTTGAAAAAAGACTAACGTACAATTCAACTTTTAACTTAGGACCTCTTTGTTTTAAAAGAACCGTATTTACAATTATGCATATTCTCTATTTATTTATTTATTTATTTATTATAATTAATTACAAAATATAAAATCTTATAACTAAGACCAGAAAAACGAGCGCTAGCTGCCAGGGCCTTCAGTTCGGATATTATAAATTAAATTTTATTCACTAGGTTACAGGCTTTAATATATTTATACATTAAAAGTATGTTTTCAATAGTAACTGTTTTTAATAGGCTAGTAGGTAAGATATTAGGAAAGATATTACTACGAATAGAATTAAAAGAAGGACAATCGTTAAGTATATGATCTATGGATGGTGTGCTATTACAAAATGGACAGTTTGATGGCTGATCGCCACTCAAAAGATGTTCATGAAAAAGCTTTGAATGTTCCATACGCAATCGGATAAAAATCTTACATTGTTGACGAGTGCATGATTGTGGGTATATAGCTCTATTCTCTAAAATTAGGTTCTACTACTATACAAAAGCTACAAGTCGCTCAAAGTCAGGCTCTCCGAAGGCTCTTCAAAGTGCCTTGGTACATCCGCACAAATGACATGCTAAGAGACCTTAGAATAGACCCGATCAAAAAATACATAAAGGACAGAGCCCTGACGTTATATGCGCAAATTGACAGGCTATCCTACTTACCACTATCTAATCTTAGAGTAATCACTCTCTGCACGGAGAGGTACGCAGATCTTAGATCAATCACTGAATAATCATGAAGCCTATAGGCAATACATAAATTAGTCAATGAGATGGGTGGGACCCTGTAGTACCCCCAGCTATCAAAGAGTAAAAGTGCCCAGTTGCGCTGACTCGAAAAAAGGATCAACATACATACTTCTATTATACTTATAATATGAATTCAAGTGGTAACGATTTATATAATATATCAATTTTCAATATGTCTTTAACATATATCATATTTTTAAAATGTGATTATCTTCAAGTTCTGTGTATAAATCCTCGTTATTAAGGATTTCTCGTCCATGGTGCGTATAAGACGTTTGGCCTGATGAGAATGATCGCTAGTATAAAAGGATGTCAAATACAAGTATTCTAATAATACTGATAATATATTTTAATTAAATGCTACCATAGCGGGTTTTATACCTGATTAAGGATATTATACCTGTAGTATACGGTACTTTTTTATTATCAAATTCGATATTATCATATTATCATAGATATTTCACACATGATTTTTTAGTTGCTTATTTTTTAATCAAATGTGCCCTGCCGACGACAATGACATCTTTGGGCGTAGCAAGCGTGATGTTACAGCTATCTTTGCTGCTATCGAAAAAGAATCTGCAAGAATAGGCTTAGGGGTGAATCAAGTATATGTCGGCTACTGGTAGGAATGTGCGTCGCTCGAACAACAAGCTAGTAGCTGGCAACTATACCTTTGAGACTGTCAAGGATTTCATCTACCTTGGCACCGCCATAACAAACAACAATTATATCGGATGATCAGACGATGAGTCACCATTGCCAATAGAGCTACTAATTTACAATCAGTAGGCAATTGGGATGTAAAGCTCTCTCTGGACAAACAAAACTTACCCTCTATATGTCGCTCATCCTTCCTGAGCATTTGTATGGCGCAGAGGCATTAACGTCATCACAGAATGGTGAAGCAGCACTGCTAGTTTTCGAGAGAAAAATTCTTCGTAAGATCTTTGATCCTCTGCGAGTTGGTGACGACTACCGCATACGAATAAACCACAAGCTGTACGAGCTTTATCATGACATTGATATAATTCAGCGAATTAGTATTCAGCGGATTCACTGGCTTTGTCATGTCGTGAGAATAGATCAGGATGCTCCAGAAAAAAAGGTATATGAAGCGGTACTTGAAAAAAAAGACGTTGAGGTGAACCTTGTCTCCGGTAGTGTGATGAAGTTAAGGGAGCACTAACTGAACTTGATAAACAAGACTTGAAGGGCGCGCACGTTGCAAAGTCGTCTGGAAAGACATGCTGCGTCTGACCGGTAACGGGTTGTTATGGCCAAATAAGTAAGTAAATTATTTTTTAATCATTTTAAAATATTATTTCTATTTATTATATATAAGTCCTACATCGTTACAAGTGAAGCTCTAAACTATTATGAGTAGTAAACATATAAATAAATGAAATAACTAAACATATCATTTATAAATTTAATAAGCTTTGAAAATTGAAAAAAAATCTATGTACTTTTTAGATAAAAATTTTTTTTTCAAATATAAGTTAGAATATTTCTCAAGTTTATCTCTCAAGTTTTTACATTTGCTAAAATTTAAGGTTAAAAAATCTAAATTAATAACGGTTCTGAATTGTAAGTAATGATACGAGTATTGTATTATTCATATTACAAAAAGTCCATATATGCTAGATTTTATCTCAAAGATTTAAAATATTTATAAACATTTTACTATATGTGAAAATGTTGACCAAAAGATTATAGAAAAGAATATTTATATTGTCTATGCTATAATTTAGAGCATAGTCTAGAGTTAATATTAAACACTACATCTAATATTTAAAAATAATTGATAACTCCAATATTTACTATAGCTTAAATGTAATTAAATACAAATATAGAAAATTTGTACAAGATTAATACCAGGATATTTGCTCCATTCTTATGTTGTCAACTAATTATGTCAATTAATATCTCAGAGAAGATCTCTTCAATTGCTGGTATTTTTTTAATTTTGAAGAATTTTATATCAGTGAAACCATATTTTATATATTTTTTATATTAAATATGACTTCAGTTCTTCTTTAAGTGTAGTCTACACACTTACAGTCTTGAAGTCTTACATGTATATAAGAAAAAGTTAATAACATAGTAATGCTCCTTCTTCTTTAACAATACCTTTATTTCTTTTTTAATTTAGTAACGTTTCCATCTAACCTACAAGTCAATTTTGGTATCTAGAATGACACGAACCCAAAAATTAACTACACCATGGCGAATTCGTACCAAAGCTATACTTAAGACTAGAAATAAGGAAGCAAGGTTTACATCATCCTCTGCTGAAAGTTCGAAAATGAAAGCAAAAATCAAAGAAATCATAGTAAAAAGCATCAACTTAATCGAAAATATGGATGACCCAATATTGGTAAGAAAAAAAAATTTTCAAGGAAAACGTAAAGGAGCTTGTAAAATTATTAAGAGTAAAACTCATCACAAAGAATTACAAAAAAAGACTAAACGAAAACAAAAAGCTAATATAAAAAACCCTATTTCTTCTTGTGAGTCTTCTGATTTACCGGCGCCTAGAAAGAGAAACAAACCAGAAGACAACCAAGTAATTGGGCCTACCAGAGGCGTTAAACGTAAATTAGCTGATGTAAATGGAGTAGAACAAAATGAAAATGTTGAATTTAATGCTCCCGCACAGAAGAGACAAAAACGTGATGTTGATACCAATATTGTTCAGCTATATTATCCTAAATCTAAACAGAAAAGAATGATTGCCAAAAAAAAATATTTGTCGCGTCGGGAAGAAATACGTAGCACTCCTCCATTGACCAGAGCACGAAAACGAATGATGCCCCAGGAAAAATTATGGGAATTTATTGACCCGCCGAAAAGACGTTGAACTGTGAACCTCAAAGTTTATAAAAGGTTATATGAATTTAATTTCACAAAAATGTATCTTACTTATTGATATTTTAAACAGACTTATGCAAAATTTAGAAACTGAAAAAAAAACCTCAAAATTCAAAAATGTGATCTATAATCGACTATGCGAAATCTTTCAATAGAATTATATATAATTTTTAATTTCAACAAAATTTTATTAATAAAAATTTGGGGTATATAATGAAGAATATTTTACACTAGCAATATTAAACTAAAAAAGTAACACACAACATAATTATGTAAAATACCAAGTCAAAAAATGTTAATCAATCAAAGTACGCCGAAAAAATCATTTCATATATATTCCTTGAAATATAAAACTATTAAATCAAAAATAGGTCGGACCCTCCCTTCTGAAAAATGTAACTGAAAGCCACAAGTCAACGAAACCTATTTTATATACAAAAAATGTCAAAAATCAAATTCCTTTTCAAAACATGATTAGTATAAAATAAGTATAGCATAAAATCCTGGAATAATTATTATAAAAAATTAAATTATGGTATACAAATATATTTATTATTCCTTTAATGCTCGTATATGAAAATTACAAAAAGGTAAGAAATAATTAGTCAGCTCCTTCCAGATGACAGGATATATTGTTGACCACATAAATTTTGTAAATATTTCGGTACAGAGATTCAATAATATAAGCCACTGGTCTGCTTAAATATTCGATTAATTCATTCGTTTCCTTAGGTCTAATATAGACTCAGTATTTAACTTGTGATGAATGAAAATAAAACACCAAAAAAATCAGACGTCTAATTCTAAAAAATAATTACAATTTGATTCAAAACAATCGAACTAAAAATTATGACTATTTAAAACAATATATGCAATTAATTAGTAATAAGTTATGTAATTATCATCCAATTTATCGTAGAACTTTAACATACAGCAATAAAGATGAGAAGGCGCAACGATATTCAGATATATGTGTGATCCCTCTTAAACATGAGAGAGAGGAACGATACATATATAGCGATCTCAGTGCGATTCTCTACAGAGATATTAGTCTAATAATAGAATTAATGAGAGCAAGGACCTTCAATTTTATTTTAAAACATTTTTACTGCAGCTGCAAAAAACTATATGGATAGCGATTTACGTCAGCTTTCTGATAATCCAACTGCGTATCCAAAGTATATTAAATATTATAAGCACTTATTAAAGGAACTGTGGCTTCTTACAGTGAAAGTTACTGGTCATTTACTTTCTTTAGAAATAATACTTCATCTTTTCATGCATACTGATTATTTTGCTATTTTCATCTCTTCATCCAACTTTATCTATTTTGCAGTTTCATTGGTATATTTTATTGGTACGATTATAATTAATTTCTACGTCTATTGTATCATCTGTAATCATTCCAAGGCTAGCTCTAATTTGAGTAGAAAGTACGAAGTGGAGATGAACAAGTTATCATACAAATTATATCTTAAGTTTGTCAAATTAGACAATTTTTTAGTTTGGCTAATATTGTCAAAATCTTATATATACAATTAATCCAACAATTTTCAATTATTTTCAATAATTTTGAGACTTTGCGAATATGTGTATTATGGAAAAAATACCTCATTAGCAGTAAGCTTTCTATCAGAGTTCGTATTTGCGTACCCATGAGCGGCTCATTTTGGCTCATTCTGCTCACGGCTCATGAGCCGGCAAAAAACTCTTTTCATACGATGGCTCACGCTCACGAGCGAGCCCAACTACAGAACTCACGCTCACGCTCACGAGCGAGAGCCGCCATTAAGTTATAAATGGGCTCACGCTCGTGAGGAAGAGTATGAGCTGCGGCTCATGAGAGCTTTTGTGCCCAATTTAAGATTTTGCTATTATTTTTTTTTGTGAAAACATGTCATTAAAAAGATTAAAAATATTAATTAATAATATTAAAAATTAATTAACTTAAATATGGTAATAATCAAAGTTGCTAAAATAAATAAATACATTTTTATTGTTTATTTGTGAAAAATAATAATATTTTATAAATTTGTTTTTCAAATTCAAAATATCAAAATATATTTTTACATATAACGTTTATAAAAATAAATAAAGCAAATAAACTAATAAATCGCTTTTTATTAAACAGTTGAGCTCATGAGCTCTTTGCTCATGAGACCTCATAGCAGCTCTTCAATATGAGCAACTTGAAGGCTCACGCTGGTGAGCAGCTCTTCAATATGAGCCGATTATGGGCTCACGCTCATGAGCCAATTTTGGGCTCACGTAAGAATTGGCTCTTGCTCATGAGACTGAGCTGCTCATGAGTGAGCAAGTAACCCTGCTTTCTATAACACATTTTCCGACAAATTTTGTTTCCATTTTATTTTTGCTAAAAGTTGGTTATTTTTGCTATCTCTGCTTTTTTTTTGGGATGGTTGTGAAAAGCATCGATAATTATATTGTAAAACTTTCACCCACTAGAACCACCTCTTAGAAATTAATGGAGAAAATTTCCACCACTTTCCCGAAAAGCAATGGATGAAACTTCATTCGCTTCATTAAGGGTGAAGTATAAATAAATAGGCTAAGTATTTGGAAATCCAGGTTTATCTAACCCAGAAAGCGTGTGCGTGGTATAAGGGATAAAGTGGTATAAAGTTTTGCCAATTTTTGTAACGTAGACTAATTTCTACTAAACTTGTTGCAAACTATTATGCAGCAAATAAAATAAAATAGTACGAGCAATATTTCTCCCATAAACTTTATTAAACAAAACAGTATATTTTAATAAACAAATGGGTTTCACTATTTTTAACAAATTTCATCAAGACATCAAATTTTGACTATTATTTATTTATTATTTGCTATCATATCATGCTTTAATACAAGAATCAAGAGTACTATTAAAATAGTAGACTGGTACAATAGAAGACTGTTCTTATATATTTCAAAAAAAAAATATACAAAAACTGTCCTAGTTTTTACTAAATATCCAAGCAATTATATAGTTTTTTTCAGCATTTATATAATTAAAAATAATATTGACCACTTCTATAAATTGAAAATACAGTTGCATAATGTTAACTTTCTAGACCATTCCGCGATCTTCCCTTTTCTGTATGTTTTCTTTGGATTCACTCGAGTATCAAAAAGGAAAGGTTTTTCTCATTCATATATATAATATGTGTAGAGAGTATCATTTTACCACATTCAAAACGTGGAGAATCTTATAAGATTAGAAATCGTTCAATATACAAATTATTGAATAATATAAATAAATAATTTAATATATCTAAAAATAATCTAGTCTTCATTAAAATTCAAAAACTGATAGCTTGTAATTCTTAAAATATGTATTTACATTTTATATAGTAAAGCTTGGAAAATTTTTATGTAGATCGTTTTAATTTGTCCAAATTATATATTTTATATACGTAAAAACCGAAGACAGTTTTATAACTTTCAATATTTGCAAATTACGTTTAAATATAAAGGTCTTATCTGTTATGATATTTTGGGAACAAAAGGTAAGTACTTAAGTGGGTCTTGAAGTATTAAGTCAATAATGTGTTTTATATTCTTTTGTACAGCACTTTAAAATTCCAAGATTAAAAAACTACAGCAAGTTTTTATGTATATTTGTTATTCCCAAAAACTAGTTAGTTCATAGACTACCATAGTTAAATATACATATTTTTTATTTTACCTAATTTTGGCCTTTGCACAAAAGTCTTTCAAAAATTTGAAATATTAGGGTTGGATACAGCAAGAACAGTAGCTCTACCGACCTAGAACAGTGCAATCTTTTACTTTTTTTAGTTCTTTTCTGAGTTCGAGCAACCAGCAGTATGAATTACAAAAGTTTCGATAATAAAACACTTTGGATATGCTCGAAAGATGGAACTTCCATCTTTAAACGATAATTCTATTTTGCTAAGTTCCTGCGCGCTCTTCATATTCCATCACACGATAACCCCATTTTGCTGTACCAAATCTTTTTACTCATTCGTGTCTCGATGGTAGGATTGCGAAAATAGTTCATTGGAATTCATTTTCAGGAGAAGAATAGTCAATACCTATATTTAATTTTTTGATATCCCATAATATTACTCTAATATTAAAATTATTATATTAATTAAGTAAACATATTTTTACGTAGGCAATACTAACTAGAAGCGTTGTTATAGATCATATATTGTTTTATATTCTCTTCCATTTTCACTAATAATAAAAACGTTCATTAGCTTCACATAGCATGTTTCCTCTCACACAAACGGACGCAGACGATGGGTACCTAATTTATTATTTATTTATTTATTCATATATTTGTGTAGTTATTTTTTCTATAGTTTTTTTGTTATTTTAGTTGTTCGTTCTGCATATTTTTCTTTGTGCTTAAAACTCCAGCTTCTGGAGATTTGTCACTGTCACGGCCTCATAACCATATCATAGTTACAAAACTATGCCCTCAATATATTGTTCAGTTATTTAGTTATTTTTACATTAATTGAGTCAGGTTATTGTATGTGGGTAAGATAAGCCATCATTTTTTAGAGAGTGATAGGGCTAAGTAAATCTACGGTGCTCATTTCCAATGGCTAACCACCACTTTGATTCAGGTTTTGTGATTGAACAATATGCTGAGGGCATGGCTTTGTAACCATGATATGGTTAAGAGGCCGTCACAGTGACTAAACTCCAGAAACTGGAGTTGCACAAAGAAATAGTATGCAGATTGACATTGAAACCTTTAAAAATTATAAATTCAAAATTTTTCTAATTTACGCAGTAAGCATAGAAACATTAGTAACAAAATTACCTCTAACATATTATTTAGAATATTTATTAAAAAATTTTATTTCTTGTAGAGAAAATTATATATTTTCTACAACTTAAATTATCAAGAAAACTTACAAAATAAGGATTTCTTGCAAGTCTGAATAGTTGGTAAGCAATTTTGTGTAAAATTATTTATTTATAATAATGTTTTGAACCTTTATTGATTAGTTTTTGTAGAAATTTGCAAAAACAATTCAGAATTCAGAAGATTAAATGATTTGAGAATCGGATTTGTAAGTAGCAATTTTTTTTTTAATTTACTTCACTATTTATTCTAATATATTACATTAAAGCACTATTACGTTTCAAAAATTCTTAAACTTTTTAAAATTCATATATTCATAAGAATATAGTTTTTCAAATCAAGTTTTTTGAAATTCAATGGTCGAAATACCTGGATCTAACATAAAGCAATAATGATATATTAACGAATTAAAAATTGTGTAAATTATAGTAATTATTTGTTTGAAAATATATATTATACACAATTTAAACCTTTCAACCTTAGTTATACTTTATATACCCCTTAATAGACATCTAATATGTCTTTATTTATGGGTTCGGAAATTATAATGTTTCGAGTTAAACATTTTTGAAGAAACTCTGCTTTTATTTTACATTGTTGGAAAAGTTGAGAATTTCGCTGAATTATTTAAAAAATAAAACCAAATTTTTCATATCAAAAATCACTAATATTTCTTCAAGTGTATAAACTTTATGTATGGAAATGATCTATTTATTTCTGTTTTAACAATAATTTTTTTTTATCTTTACAGTTTAGTAAAGATATATATTAAGCCTCTCTTCGTATCTAAGATGAAGCAATCCAAAATTATTGCTAAACCATCCCCGCCAATCCGTGCCAAAGTTATTAAAACGATTCATAAGGCTAAAAAAAATAAAGCGAAATATACATCTACGTCAATTTCTGTAAGTAGTTCAAGAATAGATATAAAAGTTAAAGAAATGCTCTTAAAAACGGTGAATACATTTGAAAATATGGACGAACTATTATTGGTAGGAAAAAAAAACTTGCAACAAAACCGTAGGGAAAAGATTAAAAGAAATCAGAGTAAACCTCATCTCGAAAAAATAGAAAAAAAGACTCAGCGAAAAAGAAAAGCTAATATAAAAGATGAAATTTCTTCTTATGATTCTTCTGATTCACCGATGCCTAGAAAGAGAAGGAAACCAAATCACATCGAAGTAATTGGGCGTACCAGGGGCCCAATTAAACGTAAACTAGCTGATGTAATTGGAGTAGAGCAAAATGAAAATGTTGAATTTAATGCTCCCGCACAGAAGAGACAAAAACGTGATGTTGATTGCAATATTGCCGCACAGAAGAGACAAAAACGTGATGTTGATACCAATATTGTTCAGCTATATTATCCTAAATCTAAACAGAAAAGAATGATTGCCAAAAAAAAATATTTGGCGCGTCTGGAAGAAATACGTAGCACTCCTCCATTGACCAGAGCACGAAAACGAATGATGCCCCAGGAAAAATTATGGGAATTTATTGACCCGCCGAAAAGACGTTGAACTGTAAACCTCAAAGTTTATAAAAGGTTATATGAATTTAATTTCACAAAAATTTATCTTACTTATTGATATTTTAAACAGACTTATGCAAAATTTAAAAACTGAAAAATATTCCCAAAATTCTAAAAAATGTGATCTAAAATTGACTTTAGGTAATGCCGAATCCGTCAGCCAAATTATATGCAATTTTTAATTTCAGCTAATTTTAAAAAAAACACTCATATAATAAAGATAATTTTTTATTTAATTTTATTTTATTATAACTGAAAAAGTAACAACATATTTATGTCCAATATTACGAATCAAATAAACCGAAATAAAGCAACTCATAAATATCCTTTGAAATATAAAAACTATAATGTCAACAATTTTAAAGCCAATTCATATGAGAAGGTATAACGATGTGTGTGCTCCCTCGTAAACAAGAAAAAGCCTAGCGATCTCATTTAGATGCTCCGCAGAGATATCAGTGTTAGTAGAATTGGTGATTGGTTTTGGAGTGTTGGAGCGCAAGTCATGCAGTGACATTGAATATTCTTTTTAATGATTAGTGCAAATCTCAATAAATGTGTAGGAAATTACTTTATATCTACTTGCCTAATTTAAAAGTCTTAGTAAGTTTACAGATCTTCCTTGAAATGCATTTCAAATTTAATTAAAAGTTTTAAACATTTATATATAAGAACAATCCACGGCCTCGTACTTTGATGCCTTATTTATTGTTAATATATACGAAGTCGCTTTTAGGAATAGTTTTGGGTATAAGCAAATATTATATGTATTTAATTTATATTGGATAACTTATTTCTGTCTTACAGTTTATTTGTGACTCTTCATAACAAGCTTGTTCCGCAATAGTTGTAGAATTTTAATATAATATTATTTTCGCAACTATATACTAGGGACTTATCGATCATAATAAATGAATATACTCTAGTAAAATAATAAATTTAACCTTTGTACCAAGATTTTTTGAGTCAATAACTGCAATTTAATAAGTAGATAAGTCTCTTCTTACTGTGAAAGTTACTCGTAATAATTTAGTTTTCTATAACCTACACCCGGGGTAGAAGACATGTTTTGCACTGAGGGCATGGGTTTGAAGCCATTGAAGTGGATATGGGATAATGAGCGTGACAGCACTCCATCTGCTTATTGGCGACTGAAAATCTGGATACCAAACTAAAAATAAAATGTGTTTGATAAATCTCTTGATCTAAGATTTTAGTTTTTGAAACACTTTAGTGTTAGAACAACTGTATCATTTACAATCATTCCTATAGCTCCTAATTGGAGGAATATATCTGATTTAAACAGAATATGGTGACAAAGATACTGCCCTAAATAATCAGTTTTAATTTTATCAAACTCACTAATTTATTAGTTATGTTTATAATATTGATTTGTAATATACCTATAAAGAAGGAATGATTTTTTCCTAATATATTACAAAAACATTTGTGATTATTTAGATTGATTAACTATGTATTTAATAACAAACTACACTAATGCATCTATAAACTTTTTGTGATCTGCTTTAATATAATTTTTTATAGGATTTAAAATTTAAAAACTAATATAGACAAAATCTATACAAACTAACTAAAAATATTAATATTTATTTACTTTAAAAATAGATGTTTTGTACTTATCTAGCGAACATTTTTTTATACAACCCATGGTAGTTTTCGTAAACAGATCTAATTTTCATAATATAATATAAGTAATTAAATTAGCAATCAATTTTTTTATTGTTTATTATTAATTTTTATATATCTTCACTGAGAACTAAACTAGTTGGCAGTACATCCCATAAATCTTTTAGTTTATAACCATCACGTAATTTTTCCATAGCAAAACCCAATTCTTTACAATAAATTGGTTCGCGTTTTGGTATTTCACCTGCTCCAGCCAGACAGCCCTCAGCCAAATAAACATTCAATTTTGAATTAATTTCACGCTCCTGTCTCTCGTCAATTTCTTGAAATTCATCAATTTTAAATTCTTCTTGTTGGCTATAATTAGCATTGCGCTTCTGTTGTTCTACATAATTATATTGCACCCCGAAATTGGGATTATCTGCATAGATAGTATGTAATGATGTCAGTTCCTTGAAGATTTCGTTAAGTCGTTCGGGTGGATCAATACGAAAACCCAGTACATAACTGCCACCAGTTTCTGAAGTTTGAATTACAAGTGCAGGTCCATATTTAGACTCCCTTAGACGTATCTTAAAAATCATTAATAAATGTATATAATAAACTCTTATATATTTATTATTTTTACTTTAAATACTTACATTTTCAATTTGTAAGTATGGTAGGCTTATATTAAAAGTTTCATTAGCATCCGCAAACCATACTAGACGAATATTTGTAACCACAAAACAACCCAAATTACCCTGATCACTTGATAGATTCCAAACACCATGCACATTACTAAAGACCTGTTCTTGTGGTAATATTATAAGCTGACCTCCTTGTACAATAGCACCACGTAATTTTAAATCCCGATATAAATAAGTCCGTTGGTATAATCTAGTATAAATAAAAGTTTTTTATTTAATGTTTTTATAGTGAGCCAATCAAGTATTCTTTACAAGCAAATTTAATAAATAATAAACAAATAAAAAATCTTATGTACTCACTGATGTATTTCGAAAACATTTGCAAATATGGGTTCATGTTTTCGTGCAGTTTCTCCGGATACATCGGCAAATAAAAATTCAAAACGTGTATTTCCACTAACAGCTAGTATATATAGTGCTATGGTATGACCACGTATTTTATTCACAACAGAACGTGTATTTAGAGTAGATATACGTCCATATCCAATAGCTAAATAAGTTATTAAAATAAACTATATATTAAATTTTATAATATTTGAATTCAGTTCTTAAAGATAGTAATAATATATTGTATACATAATATTGGATAATTAGTACTAGAAATTTTCTCTGATGGAAAAGAGGGTGTGAAATGGTCGAAAAAAAGTTTAACTATAAAACTATTAACTTTATAAAAATCATTTTTTACAATTTTTCTACTCTACTAATATATATAATATATACAGAACTTACCAAACAAATTAAACTCAAATTGAAAACCAAATATACTTATAGATGTATAAGAAAGACAAAACTTCTTATATAATAAAGAAAACCCATGTGGGAGACAACGTGTTGCCTAATCGGTAAACAAACCTAAAATAATATATACTATTATGATTGATAGAAATTGTTCTTTATGTACTCGTATTCAATTGTGAATCTTACTCGCACCTTTTTGATAAACTGCTACATATGTCTGAACTACGACTGGCATTACCATGGGTATAACGAAATGAGAGGAGAGTTCCTGAAGCCACAATAACATTTTATAAGAACAGCTAGAACCATGAGGTAATTTTATAGAAACTGTAGTAATTATAATTGAATAAAAGTTTAAGGATAAAAAAAATAAGGAATTTTTTAAAGTCATTGACATCACACAAAACCAAAGAGTTTTTGTTGCTATTGTTGTTATAACCTTGGAGATTTTAAAAGTAAACACTTGCTAGGATAAAAGTAATTACATAAAGTGCTAGATAGGGGAAGGGCTGGATACTATGTGGGTGGAAGAAAGTGCTGGGTGTGAAATGTTGAAACTAGTTTCAATCCAAATGAAGAAATCTTACCACATCAATGTAATGAAGCTATTGATAATGCTGAAATTATGTGTGCGGTGGAACACAAAGCATTAGATTATATCCAAACTTCAATTAGGTTCTGCTATCCATAGAAAATACCTTTCACCTCACGCGATTTTTTGAGGGAAAAGAATTTTTTTTTAAGTTTTCTTTTGGCTCCCTTTTTAAATAAATACAAGTAAACTTTATAAACTATCTACTATATCCACAACTTTCCTGACAATTGTAAACTTATTTAAAAATATAGCGAGGTGGTGTTCATACTTTTATATACATATATTGCAGTAGTGAGATTTTACTAAATAATAAAACTGATTTATATTTATAATGAATTTAAAATTAATTATAAAAATTTAAAAGGGCTATGTTTAACCAAAAATGTATACTTTAGACAAGTCAACTTCACATCAAAGTCTACAGGTCTGCAGATCAGTAACTTATTGTGGAATAAATCAATATATAGTCAAAATTAAAAATTAGATAAAAACTCGAACACACCGATGCATGTATGGAAATTCAGACAACTGTCGATTGAAATACTTGATTCATTAAATCACCTAATAAGAACTTTTTCCAGAGCTATGTTCATTAAGCAATTAGAATAAATTTTTTTCTATAAAGCTCTAAAAGCTGGAGTTTTGAGCACAAAGAAAATGTATACATTATTTGTTAAGCGTATATTGTTAAATCAATATTAATTACAAAAAACTGTGACTTACACAAATTAAATTTCTTATGCACCAATGAATGCCAAATAATTCTTAAATTAGTTGCTAATAGCCGTCCTGTATCACCAGGATTGCCTTTAGTATCTTCAATGTGGTGTATTGTACTTAGCACCACTTCACCTTTTCGTAGGTTGTTTTGTCTACAGAAAAAAAATGTTAATTTTAATTACTATGTTATAAATTATTATTTTATAAATAAATCTTAAACATTTCTTAAAGATTTAAACTTAACTTACATATTTGCTGTATCAAATTTCACTTCTTTGTCTTCCCACAAAATTTTGTCACCTAAGGATTCCATCTTTAAAATTCAAGTCTCCTTTATTTTAGTAATAACTTAAATTGTTTACCTAATTGAAAAATAATAAAATATAGTTTAAATATATTTTAATAATATTTTATTTTTTTTAATTCAAATGAACACCTTAAATATTTCTGTTTTTAATTCGTCGTTGCCATGGAAAAAAATCGTAAAAGAATTCATAGCAAAATTAAGTGATGGCTGATAAGGAGTGTTTTAATACGTATTTTAATACTACATACTATTATTAAATATTTAATAAGAAAATTATTCAACTATGTTGTATACATATACATAATTATTTTAATTTATATTATAATATTCTTTACACAATATAATATATTTACATATATGTATATTAAAATCAGATCCGAACAGAAATATAGAATATTAACGTAAAGTCTTCCTTGTTGTGTGTCTGAAGTAAGATGTCGAGGTGAAAAAATGTATTAAGCTCAATCAAAATAATTCACCACTACTTAATTTTTGATCTACTTCTGGTCTTATTATAGCAGCAATCGAGTAATCGAGTATAGAGAGACATGTCTTATATATATACGACATGCGTTGCACATTGTTCCAGACACTCCAGAGAAAAAACAGTTTTACAATGTTAGGTTAATTTACATTATAAATGATATTTGTTATATGATAAATGATAGTTTATATATAAATGAACCTATTCAATAAAATTTTTGTAATATTACAACGAATAGTCATTAATAAAATACAACCTATCTTGCTTCTTTAAGTGTTAAAGTAATTACTTTTTAAATATTAATAAATTCTATCAAAACTACTATTTCTTTACAAAAGTGTAATATAACTACCAAAGAAAGTTACCAGCTATTATCGTAATATCAAACTATTCAGTGTTCTAACATATTATAGTTCAATGATATTTTGGTTCTCCATATTTGAAGTTTTAAACTATCAAATCTTTCTGTGCAAATTAGCAAAAACAATAACTAAACCAACATATCAGTGTTACTTTATACCAATCTGTAGGCTATTTACATCTATTTATTTATTATATTTTATAATATATCTATTTTTTTAGTTAAAATTCATTTGCTTTAATACTGTTTCACGTCTAATTTATTAATAAAAACGTTTTTATTCAAACATAATTATATCTGATTTACAAATAAATGCGAAAATTAATTATACAAATTTAAACAAGAATTTATGATTTTCTTTACTATTTTAAACAATCGCACACATATTTTTATTTCCAATATTTTTGAAAAGTTTTTATGATTTAAGAAGAGCATATTATAACAATTATGTGATTATTATATTATGGTATATATAAATTTTAATTTTATGTTACTTATAATAATTTAATTAAGTCTTTTTTTAATGAATTTTTATAAATTTATTTTTTAAAACACTAGCAAAGCTAAATGGAAATGTATAAAAATAAAATAAATTATTTTTTTGAAACAATACATATAGAATTTGTATATATAACTTTAAAGTTAATATTGCATATGACGTATTTAGAGGAATTATTCAATAGTATTTCACGGTTTACTTAAACTTATATAAATATATTTATTAAATTTGTATTTTAAAGTATAATTATATTATATGGTTGTAAAAAATATATATAAATAGTACAAATTATTATTGTTGTTGTTGTTGTTATCACCAAAACTATTCCTCAGTATTTTCTATATAGTTACAATTTCATCTAATTTACATTATGATTTGTGGCTCAGGAACACTGGCAGCGATACTTTTGTGAGGCAACACTTGTCCACCATTAATGTATATTTCATCTTTAACAATAACATCCTCACCCAACACAGTTATGCCTTCTAGGCGTACCCAACGACCGACAATGCATCGCCAGCCCACAATACAGGAATCAAGCCATGAATGCGATTTCACTATAGCACCTTTTAATATAGTCGAACGTTTAATGCAAACACCGTCTTCAATAACAGCATTTGGACCAATTGTTACGTTAGGACCAATTCGACAACCTTCACCAATTTTGGCAGTAGGATCAACAAGTACATTTCCAACAACTCCAGGGCCTGTATACAGTTGAGGTGATTGTTTTTGACGCAATGATGTCAAGTACAAGCACATACCTGCATGTTTAAATCAATACATATTTAATAAATTTGTTTTACTTGAAATAGTAGTTACATTTTTATAATAGGACAGAATACTTTTAAATTAATATAAGTTAGGTTAGGTTATATCAGCGATTCTAGGGGGATACACTTACGCCTATAGACCCAATGTACTATCGTATTACTAAAAATCTAAGGATTAAAACCATCTAGATGGCAAAGTTAATTAATATCAGTTTAGGAAAAATTGGCCAAAAACTAATTAGGTATGGAACACACAATATTTATAGAAGCTCTCTTGAGCAAAGAGCACTATGACCTTAAAGATGTTTTAAATTGTAATAAGAAGTAGCTAACCAAACAGAATGCCTTCTGCCTATTTAATGAGCTACAAAATACCTTTCGGTGAGCACCTCCTTATCGTCGATTTCAAGAACAATTGAACTGTTGAACAATTTTACAACAATATTCTACTTCTAACTTAGAACGGAGCATCCAACTACATAAAATAAGAAGGAGCGAATCTATTTACTAATCAATCAATTTTACAGATGACCGAATTCGTATTTTACTACATTCATTCATCTTAGCGCTTTTTAAATCTGTGAACTTTATTATAGAAATGTAAATAAATAAATTATTAAAAACGTAAATAAGTAAATTATTAAAAACGTGGCTTTTGAAGTATGTCGTTGTTTTAGTAGTCCGCTGGGAACTGCTTGTGTAGCCTTTTTGGGGCGTCTTGAACAGCGCTTTGTCATCGAGGTCGAACAGTGGCTCCGAAACATAGACCCCATCGTTCTTAGAATATTTTTTTTTAAGTATGCATGTATTATGGAAAACATATGTATATTATTGAAGATGCATGGATTCGACAAATCACCTTAACTTTTGCGACAAATTTTTTATTTGTAAAAAATAGCTTTAAAGTAAAATAGTAGTAATATTGTTAAATTTCAAAAGATAAATTTCCATTACTTTTCTGTGTTGGACTCTGCTTATAATGTTTTCATTAATTATAATCGGTACAAAAAAAAAAATAAGACCGGAAATTAATATCGGAAGCTAGTATTTGATAAATTACCCAACGATAATGGCAACAGACAACTTAAAATCACTTGACGTATTCTTAACGACTTTGAAAAATACGAATTCGTTATCGTAAAAACAAATACAACTACTAAGACCAACTAAGATATTTAAAAAAAATGTTAAAGTAATTAACTGATAAAGCGTAAAAAAAAAAATATCAAATGACTAACAAAAAAGTACCTGAAAAATAAATAAATTTAATGATTATAACTGTCAACAACACCTACCGGTCAAAAAATCTTTCGGTTGTCCTATATCCATCCAAAATCCCGTCAAATCCATAGCGTACAACTGCTTTTCATTAGCCATTACTGGAAAAATTTCCTTCTCGATAGATGTTGGTTTAATTTCAATACGATCCAATATGCTAGGATTAAATATGTAGATTCCAGCATTAATTTTATTGCTTACAAATTCCTGCGGTTTTTCTATAAAACTTTCTATGCAACCTTGATCATCGTACAGTACAACACCATACTTTGAAGGCTCTTCAACTTTTGTGACAACAATTGTACCTTCTTTTCCATGGTGTCGATGAAAGTTTTCAAGTTGTTTAAATGGAAAATCGCATATAACATCTGAGTTAAGCACAAAAAATGGATCATTGCTAGCTTTAAGTAAATGCTTTGCTAACGCTAGTGGGCCAGCAGTGCCCAGTGGTTCGGTCTCATGCGAAAATAGTAATTCAACACCTAGTTTTTCTGCTTCTTTTGTCAGTTCATGTTCCATTTGTTCAGCGTGATAAGAAACTGCCAATATAACCTGTTGAAGAAAACATTTAAGTAAATATCGACATGATATGTTTCAAGAATTTTCTTACTTGTTTACAACCCGCGCTGACAAGCGCTTCTAGCTGATGCAATAAAATTGGCTTATTCGCAAACTCCACTAATGGCTTTGGTGTACTTAAAGTTAATGGGCGCAATCGTGTACCATAACCCCCTACCAATATTAAGGCTCTTGTCCCTTTTTGTACTCCATCTCCGGCACCGCACATTTTTAATTTATTTCAATTTAAATTTATTAATTAATATTAAAAGTTGTAAACCTTTATGTGACCTACAATATTGTGACGATTGCTTGCATATATATTTTGTATGAACCTCAAGATTTTATTGCTGCTACGGTCTATTCAATTACTATACAAATTAGCTGATAAGGTTTTTTCCACTACTTTTCAAGACAAATCGGACCTGCCTTCCCTTTCTCTGACTACGCGCAACAATAAATTCTTCTTAATTGTTTTTTGCTCTCACCAATAAAATCATGCTACGTCAGGTGAATTGTTACTTATTGGATTAGTTATTTCATTATATACCACTTGTTGGACCATCACTTATAAATAGAATTCCAATAAATTATAATAATTCACTTCATTTACATTTTAATTTTTAATAATTTATTAAATTTAAACACTATCTTTATAGTTTGTTTACAAATGTTATTTCTCTCTAAAGTTCAACTCAAAATTTCATTCCAACAAAATAGAGTTTTTATGCCTAAAATCAGGGTTGTTACTTTTGGAAGAAATATTAAAATTTCCTTTTTTTGACAAACAGTAAATTAGAATAAATTACAATATTTTGTTTTTTAAGACCAACATATGTTCCATAATTATAAATAACATATGTTTTAAATTCAGAAATTTTTTTATTTAAATTGTGTAACATAAATTTTTCGTTTACTGTAGCCATAAGTTGTGTTGTTGTTGAATATTCATATTCATTCTTGAATATGAAAAACTACGTATATATATAACGTTTGTCCATCAACATTAAACATTAAATTTTATTTTTTTGATTGAAATTTTTTACGTTTTTGTTTAGTTTATTCCTCTAAAAATGTTCTACACATTTTCGTGTTCTATTATTTTCAAACTTAAATTTTCGATAGATCTTTACTTTTTGCATTTGGTTTTAGTCTTTGTAAACGAAGAGTTCTTTGCTTTCACTTAAACAACTCATTACTTCTTTTTTTTATTCTTTTATTAAAAAAAATAACACTGTACTGCAGTATGATAGCGACATAAGTGCACTCCGGCACACATTACATTTTTAATAATAGAGAGAAAAATAACACTGCACATGATGACGTCATAAAATAAAAATGCACCAGCACATATTACTGTTTTATATTTTAATTGCTTTATTAATTACCCAGCAATTCCCAGCAGACGAAAGTATCGATGCATCATCGATACTGTATCACCTTTAAGGAATCAATGTTGTACCATATATAACCTCAATATGTTGTAAAAATTTTGTGTTTTTTTGTATATAAATTCTTTGACTTCTCTTTTATATAATATATAATATTAATTTAATTATCATTTTTAAATAAATATAATAAAATATATATGTACATATATTCTTCACAAATATAAGTGACTGTTATTTGAATATGTTGATTCTTTGTTGATGCTTGTGGATGTTTTATAGCATCGATAACGATTCCCCTACAAAATTATATTAATTCCACCTTATAATTATATCAAGGGTATTCACTCTCTCTTGCAAGAAGCACGAAATGCAAAAATGCTATACAAACACTGCAAGAGTGCGAGAACACCTCTGTTGCAGAATTGCATCATCAAACTGAATCAGCTGTTTTTGCAGCCGTATCACATTGAGCAAAGAAAAATAAAAGTATAACAATGTCGCAAACAAGTAAAACACAAAAATATATAGATATTTTAATTGAAAATAGTGCTTACAATATTTTGACTGAAGGTATTAACATATAACATATTAATTCTGCTTCCTTCTGCAGAAATTCTATTATTTGGAGCACTTCCTACTCCGTCCACTTCTTGTGCGACTGCAACCTTTTTCTTTTAGTTGCTAGTGCTGTGTCTTCTATTTTTGTCTGAAAATAGTTAGAAAATTTTAAGGAACCAAAATTTGTATTATAGTACAACTAACTTGCTTTTCGCTACCAAACAAATTTAAAAATGAAAAGCAACAAATGTCAAAACAGCTGATTTCTGCCATTTTTGTTTTGTTGCAAGCAAATATACACAGATTTTAGTATAGGAAAATTGCAAAGAATTGCACGAAACTTTGTGTGTGTATTTTGTTGTTGTTAATTGCATGCTCGTACAATCTGTGCATTTCGTGCACCTTGCAATGAGTTTGCAAGAGAGTGTAAATACTCCTATTGATTCCACACACCTTATTTCACATCAAAAATCACCCCCGCAATGATGCTTTGAAGTATGAATATTTATGGATCAATATTTATGGATCTCATTTTACCAAAAAAAAGTTTTTTTTCTAAAATTGATATATCGAATAAATTATAAAAAAACCCGTCAAGTAATATTAAAGTAAAAGTTGTTCAATTGAGAATTTCCATATTAACTTATTTCTAACATTGTATTTTCAGATGATTTTTGTTTAAATTAATACAAACAATTATATATCTGATTTATTGATATCCCTTTTATGCACATTTTTGAAATATAAATCCCATTCAAAATTATAACAATTTTAAGTAAATACTATTTAAATCGAATAGGTTTTGTTTATACCATACATAATAAACTTGCTATAAGAAACAAGATTTAAATTAGAAAAAGAATAAGTCTTGTGTCAAATAAAAGAGATGGACACTTTTCCTTCATGAGCATGGCGAAATAGGGAAAATATTTGTTATTAGATTATATTCATCAACGAAATGGAATATCTTTAACACTTACCTTATCAGGAATTGCCGCTATATTGTTGAATAGCAGACCAATAGCGCACTTTTCACTCTAATTTTCATACATTTATCAAAGATTCAATATATTCTTGTTTAGCAAAAAATTCTGGAAATCGAGGATCCATGTACCATTAGTTCCAAAAAATTACATGATCTTTTATGGCCAACCTCACAGTCATGACTTAAATAAAAAAAAAAATAAAAAACAATTATAGGTTTTAAAAAAATATTGTATTTGACATCTGCTTGTTTTCTGTTTTTCTTCAAAATTGCCACGAGATCAATTTTGAAGAATTGATTGTTGTTATATTTAGTACTTTTGATATAGTTTATTCCACTTCCAAGGGAAGAGGTAGAGATTTATTTTCATGTTAAGTGCGACATATATTTTCGCTGCTAACATACACCATATAGTAGTTCAATTTGAATTAGCGATAAACGTGTAATACCATAATTTTTATTTTCATATTCACTGTCTCCATTTGGCATTCACTATTGTTTTATATATTTTAAAATATGTTATAGCAACTTCGAGTCAGAGTGCACTTTGTTATAGATATGCATTTGACTTCTTAATAAGTATAGAAATAGGCGTAGACAGCTTCTTGAATTACTATCTTTCATAATTCACTTTGGCAAAAAATTATGATTCATCAGTCCCGATCGTATAGTTTAGGAAAGTAGCACTATCCGACTGTTCGAATTTTATTTTTTGCTCGATGGAGATTAACGAATTAAGAATTTCTATTCCAATTTTGGTCTTCACTAAAAGACGCAGTATATCTACACACTTAGGGCGTGTGCGAGTTAGGCTAAGTTGATGCTAAACCAAATGGGAGATTTTTTGGGATATTTTGCACTGCACTCATTTAGTCATTTATTAACACGTATCGACACATCACTATATTATCGGCACAACTTAGAATTTCCGTCATTTAGAACGCAACTTAGCCTAACTCGCACACGTCCTTAGAATCGATTATAGCACATTCACACTGTCTCATTTAGGCACTTGCTCATTTATATTAATGAGTGAACACTCACAATCTAATGAACTCATTTTTGCAGCTGATACAACTTTTATAAACTTTTATAAACTTCATTTAATAATACATCCCATATAAAAATTTAATATATAATTGATATATAAAATCATTTTACATAACAATTGCATATTTGATTAAAAAAACGAAGATTTTATTAAATACTTTTCTTACAGCTCAGCTGTTGTTTGTTTACCTTTTGCATATAAAACATATGACACGTATTTCAAATATTGGTAATTTTCCTTGTGGGATGCATATTTCTAAGGGTTGTATGCGACATTTTTCGCCTTAAATTAACTGATTTATTAATAATGAGCTCATTTGTATAAAAGCTCTTGGTATGGTAAGTTATTCTCAATAGAAGCTATAATGAGCAAAACGTCGTAAATGAAACAGTGTGAATGTGCTATTGGCAGCACAGACTATCAAACATTATCGCAGTGTTCCAGCCCTTTGGGAACCAACACCTAATATATGTTAATATTATATTATTTGTTACAAATATGGTTTTTTCGACATGTTTAGATATACTTCAATATTTAATCCAGAGAGTTCTTCAAGGTTTGCAATTATACATATGTACAACATATATTCATTATGAATTCATTATTACTAATGTAGAAGGTTAACATTTTTTTATAATACTGAGATTCTCTGAAATGTATCAGAACACGTCAACAAACCTGTTAACTACAATTCTAGTTACGGGCTTGATCGTCACACATCCATTTAGCAATACAAAAAAATATTTTTAACACAAAATTAAAATACAATTATTTAATTTATTTTTAAATATTACCGGGCTTATGTCAATTATTTAATACAGGGCTGTCCAAACCAGATGCGATCGCGGGTGAATACAAATCATTGTACAGATTCATAGTAGTTTTCGACAAAAATAAAAATACGGTTATAATGTTAAATTTAGTTTTATTAATTTATCAATTTAAATTTATTTCTTTAGTATAGATACTTAAAATAAAATGATGTAGTTTTACCAGTACACCAAAAGAAAATTTGGGTAATTGTAGTAGATCAAAAACGTGTCGCGGGCAGTCCTTTGGACAGTCCTGATTTAACAATTAAAATTATAAATATGTTTCTTTCAATAAAAAAAATACACTTATTGATTTGTGTTAAATATTTTAATTATATTTAAATTTTTATAAAAATGTTTTATATATTTTTATAATTTTAATTAGTTAATTATTTAAATTGTCATATATAACACCACAAATTTTTAATATATTTATGTTGCGAAGATGTCTTCATGAAATAAATTTAAGCAATTACTCATTGAAATTATTAGAAATTAAAATGGCATATTGATTTCGTTCCGTTTTTCAGTAAATGTCATCAGATCACAATTTTTAAATAGAAGTTTATGATTTCTCGTTCGTGATAGTATTTTAACTTTGAAAATATATTGCAGTCTTTGAAATTTACCAAATTTAAATATAATAAGAAACAACCTGGCATCACTGTTCATTCACTTGACACAAAGACGAAGTCTTTTAATCAATTGAGTTAAATTTTGTGTGCAGGAAGTTTGGATGTTCAGCCTGCACAGAAAGTTAATTTATTAAATTTGTGGGTAAAATATTTATAAAATTAAACAAGAGATTTGAAAAAGGTAAGTGCAATAAAAAGTGTGAAAAATATAGTGAGTTACATTATATACACTGATTATTTAAAACTGTTCTACGTATTTCGTCATCGAGGCTGCTGTAGACAAACAAAATGTCGACTCGCTTTTTTTTATGTATTAATCATTTTATTTTAATATACATAAATGATGGCAATTTATAATGTTCAAATATTTTCACAATAATATGCAATACTAATATGTTAAAGTGTTTTAAAGTAATTTAAATATTGTTAAATTATATTAAATTTGTTTAAAAAACGTGGTGTTAATAATTTTCCTCAAATTGGTATTGATTTTTCACTCATGGCACTTTTTTTCAAGTCAAGCAAACGTAGCTCCCCTCTTTATTTAATTTCAATACAAAATGAGAGAATTTATTAAGTGTGTATGTCTAGAATTTTGGATATATATAATAAGAATCGTGTTAGCATATATAATATATTCTCTATATAAAATTCTTATAGGTTTAAGGAACTAAAAAATCTATAGTTACAAAGTCTAATTTTCATTATAGTTTTACAAATATTTCCATTAATCAATAAATTTTAATAGTTTGGATTAACTAGAATTTTTGTTTATTCGTTTTCTTTTCTTTTCTTTTAAATTCGAATAAAAATCATTTTTCTTCTTCAATTGTATTAACAATTTTCAGCGATGTATACATATTAGTTAGAACTGATTAACTTTTGATTTATTTATGACGTCAATGTTTTGTAAATTCTATTTATTTTTCTTAAAAAAACAAAAGAATTTTCGAATACGTCATTTTAAAAAATTATAATTATCTTTTATATACTTATTTACATCGTTATTTTGTTTAGTCATGATTAACAGTTGTCATTCAAATTTAAGTATATACAATGAGTTTGCTTCTAAATAAAAGCATATGCATGTCAAATCTGAAAACACTAAAATATAACCAGATTTGAAAAAACAGTATACAATGGAAATTAAATTCCATTATATTGGATAATATTATATTTTTATTAAGTTCTTCAAAATCTATAATAATTTTAACGACAGAAATTCACTTATAGTTACGACCTAACCTCACTAAAATAAATCATTCGACATTTTGGTATTTATTTTTTCAATTTTTATTTTAGAAAGTATTCTTTAGTGCATTATAGATACCCCCAATAATTTCAAGAGATAATTGTTATAAAATCAATAATTATTTCAACAAACCTCACTTTGTGTAAAAAAACCTATTGGTATTTAGTTTTTTCCTTAAAAGTATTAAATTTGGGAGTAATACATTTTTTTATAATTGTAAGCAATTTTATAAAATTATAACAATTGAGTCAATAAATAAATTTCAAATTTAACACTTATATACACCTCCTGTGGTATAATTCTAAACCGTTTATGTGATTTCACAATTATGATCTATATTATTTTATACAGTCATATATGTATATCCTGCATTATAATATACGCATTCTGCCTGACCGAATTTTTATAGTCAACGATGACTAAGATCAATATAAATCAATTAACCTGAACCTGGCTACTGTCAACAGTTTTGCAAAATCAGCAAAAAATTAATATTTTATTACCAAAATAAGAAACACAAAAGTATATATTTTGAATAGTTTTCAACGAATATGTATATTTTATATGTGTTATAAGTCATTAGTTGTTACAACATTTAAATATGATATTTATTAATTGCGCATATATATTTCCTAATTTGGATGTTGATTTTATTAAGAAGTTTCTTGTGTTCCTATAAAACAATTTCAAAAACTATACTAACTAGGTTTGGGTATTCACACGGCAACAGTTAATACTTGAAACTAGATTACTTCGGTATGCACATGATATTTTTTTTACAAATCTGGAGTCAACAGTAAGAGAAACATACAAATAAGAAAACATAAAACAGAAAATGGTATAGAAGAATAGGAGGGTGCAATGAAAGTATAAAATTTACTTTCTAATTAATAAGAAGTACAAAAAAGTGAAGATTTAATTTTATGTGTTCAACTCTTTAGCAAAGAATTATCTATTGATTATTCCAGTATTGTTGTTATAACGCATCAGGAAATCCAGAAACCAGGAATATGATTGAATAATATAATATATTACAAACGGTAGCGGTAGAAATGAAAAAGGGACTTAAGGGAAATATATGGGAGGGAATGTAGAAAAAAGGTTTTCCACTCTACTATAAGATTTGTTTCCTCTTTTAGACTAAAATATCACTTCCTGAATTTATACCACTTTGGTAGATAACCATACACCATATATATGTATTTTTATGTGTACATTTACAATATATACATATATTTATATACATATATATATTGAATAGTTAAAAGGAAATGTTTATAAAAGTCCTACAGATTTAAACTCAGAAATAAGTCGACTAAAAACTCAGTTAAAATTACATTTGAATGATAGTTGTTAATAGTAATAGGTAAAACAATCTTACAAACTACATGATGGCAAAATAGGGATAATACTGTCTTTTCTAGTTTTAGCTATAATTCATAACTGGCAAATAATGCCCATTGAGTTTCTTTGTTTAAAACTGAAATTCAATGAACTTTATTTCATTCACTTCCCATCGATTCTCCTCGTATGCAACCATTTGCTGCGCTACACACTTTATTTGTGTACAAGTGTAGCAGGAAAATAGTTTCACAGATGAAAAAAGTCTTTTGTGCTGTTCTATCTTTAGAAAAACCAAAATTTATATTTTTGCTTATTGCCTTCTCTCTTCATTTGTCCTCCTGCAGAACGGCTTACTCGTATCCGTAGAGTTGAAAATTGTCATATGTGCAGATATATAGATATTTTACTTATAGTCTTAAAAATATAATGTAGAAAAAACAAAAACAAGTTGGAAAATTCTGACTTCTTCTTCTTCTTTTCCGTACCATTCTTTTTTCATAAATCAACAAAGGAAGTGGAAGGTGAGAGCATTCAAAGCAACAAATTCATCTACTTTCTATAAAGAAAGATAATATAATGAAGTTTCGTGCTATGATGGTGGACCCGCAATATATGCGAGAGTTTCAAAATATAGTGATAACACTTTCCAAATTGACCAAGGAATGCGTTTTGAATATATCCCGTAACAAAATCTACTTCATTGCAAACGAAGAATCGGGCACGGTAGCACCACTTGTTTGGGTCGAAATAGATGCAAGCTTATATTTCTCTGAATATGCTATGGAAGGTGCTAAGGACAAATATCAGCAGATTATGCTGGCAATACCGGCTGTAAAATTAGGACGTGCATTAGGTTCACTACGTTCAGGTGCATTATATTGTAAAATTAAACTAACAAATATACAATTTCCATGCCTAACAGTCGAGTTTGAAGTTAAGTCACATGTTTCGGATCAAATTCGTAAGGTTGTACATGATGTACCAGTAAATGTAATACCACGCTCTGATTGGTCTCACTATGACGTTCCGGAAGTGCCATTATCTAAAATAATATTAAACGTACCTTCAAATCGTTTAATGCGTGGCCTTATCGATAAAATGAAGAATCTATCACCGACGATTGTTTTTCATGCTATGTCAACTGGTGAACTTAATTTGATAGCCGAAACAGAAATGGCCACCGTAACAACGCGTTATAAAGATCTTGAAGTACGTGCTATACATCCATCTGAAACAGATAAAGAGAAGGAACACATTGAAGCATCGTGCTCAGTTGATTGCAAAAAAACTTCGTTATTATTTTCTTCGCTGCAGGTGCCCACACTGGAATTATCATGCGGCATTGACGATGAACGTTTATTACATATGGAGGTGAATGTGCGCCAGGGCGTCACTATACACTCAATTATACCTGCAGTTTGTGTGTAAATATGTGAAACAATCTACTTGTAATGGTTACCTTACCTGTCATTCTACTTCAGTACTCTTGCGTTTTATCAGTTATGAATAAATGTGTTTTACTTTACTTTTTTCATTCAATAATAAAATAAAATACTATTTATCAGTTGTTTCTATATACAAAAAAAAAAAAAACCTACAAGAACAATAGAAATTGTGGACTTCTGTTGCATTTGTATCTTCTAATTAAAAATCCGTTTGTTATTACATTAAAGTAAATTTTTTTTATTTAAAACCATATGTTAAAACAACTCACGTTGTCGAGTCATGTGATTGAGAAAACTTTGTATCGCAACGCAATTGAATTCACAGTAAAAGCTATTATCGAACTTTTAATGTGTATCTGGAATCGGACACATAAGTTAACTCAGTTATAAAATAAAATGTCATAAGGTTTTAAATCCTTAAATCGACATATTTCATATTTCAATTACCAGACTATAAAAAATTTTTATTCTCAACTAAATTTAATAGAAGTTATATTTAAATGTAAAAATTAGAATATTAGAGGTATATTGTCCTTAGATATATCCAGTAGTTCTAACAATTGCTTGGTGTAGATTTTGGTAGTACCTAGTAACACAGAACGGTTACCATCTGATTCTTCCACTTAAGATGTATGCATCCTTTACCGTATATTCTACCAGCTGGTAAAAGCTCCAAACATCTTTCTAATCGGAGCATTTTTATCTACTTATTTTTACATAATTTACATTCATGTGAATCGAATTAGTTTTAATTTTCTAGTATTTTAGTGCAATGAAAAATTTCATAAAAAAACAAAATCTCGTCATTTTTAATAAATCTGAGCTTTTTGCTCAGAAAAGATTATACCTAACCGCTCTACCAATTATATAAATGATGGTATATCTTACCTACATACAAATAAAATAATTAATATACTACTATAGTCAATTATTAAATAGAATAAAATAAAAATAGTTCATTTTTTTTTTACTAGTAACCAAGAGCAAATTTATATTGAATAACTGAAAAAATAAACATTTTTATAAATAATCCGAGCACCACACCATTAATATTACACTGAATACAATTAGAATACATATTTTCTGGGTCTGTTACAATGTACATAGTGTGGTTTATTTGCAATGGTAGATCCTGTTTCTCCAAAAAATAATTAATTCTGTGATAAGTATCAATAGAATAGAACTGTAAATGCACAATGTTCAGGACAGACATTAAATTATAATTCATATATGTAAGTCGGAATACTTAAATGTACATTGTAATATTTAAAGTTACATTTAAGAGATATTCAAAATAAAATATATCTAAAATATGGTTTACATTTGTATGATATTTTATGTTTATTATATATGATGTTTTATTTTATATTTATTTTTTGTTTATTATATATGATGTCTTATTTTATATATATATTTTGTTTATTATATATGATATTTTATTTTATATATATTTTATATTATTATGATGTTCTATTTAATATATATATTATGTTTATTATATATGATATTTTATTTTAAATATATTTTATGTTTATTATATATGATGTTCTATTTAATATATATATTATGTTTATTATATATGATGTTTTATTTTAAATATATTTTATGTTTATTATATATGATATTTTATTTTATATATATTTCATGTTTATTATATATATTTTGTATATATTTTTTATTTATTATATATGTTTTATTATATACTTTATTATATATATGTTTTTTATACTTTACTATATGCATTTTATTATACATATTGTTTATATATTATATCACATTTTGTATTTCATGTTAATTAATATAGATTAAAAAACAAACTAATTCTTAAAAGTAACACAAGAATCTAAATGCTGCATTTCTTCAGTGTTATATGCAATGTGCTACTATTTTGAGTATCGAAACTCATATTTTGTTAGAAATAAAAGGTTAAATTAAATTAAATAAGTTTATAAGGATTCCAGTAATATGTAAAAACAATAGAGTTGAACATATTAGTTTTAGTACGCTAGAATCAAACAATTGCGTTAATGTCAGGGATAGAAAATTACTTCAATTTCACATAAAGAATGCCTTACAGGGTATCTCTATTGTAAAGCTAATAGGAGTAGTCGATTTCCTACTGAAATTGTTTTTTTTTAGTGCTTTTAGCTAGCACTTCGATTTATATTATTTTGATGTATCTACACATGTATTCAAGTAGATTTGAGCTTTTATTTGATATGGTAAGATAACTTTAGTAGGATAATTTATTTATTATTTTGTTATTAATAAAGGAATTTTACTTTTAAATATGAAATTATTTTCTGGGTTTAGGTCAAGGATAAAGTTGACACAATTGCGCGTTTAGATCCACTTACAACTGATTTTCACACATCAAGTTTTGTAATAACATGTAAAATATCCTTTTTCACGCAAAAACCTTCATGTACACAAGCAGTTGTCCTAATTTCTGCATTCTGACGATTACGATTTCGTATGCGTTACTCGCTCTAAGTTAACGTGAGAAATTCTCCCAAAAGCCAACTTACCACTGAAATTGTTTTTGCTTTTAGGCCTTTCTAGCAAAGCAAAGCAAAATACACCAAATTTGCGTGGATTCAGGCCTATATATAAACATATATATATGTGTATGCATATGTGTGCTGCAAGATTTAGTTGTTGACCTGACGAAAAATTAATCCCGTTGCTCCTGTTTGTATTTTGATATATTTTGTACTTTGATATATGTATGTTGTATTTTTGTTTACTGCTCTCCTCACTGCCTTTTTCAATTTTTGCTTTATCAATATTCAATCTTGTTTTACTTCTTCCTACGCTTTGTGCTTAATTCTTCTGCAAACATAGACGGCGTTGTTGTTGGTTCTTTATGTTTATAGTTGTTGCTTTGTTTGTTTGCAGTTTCATTTTATATACATTTTCCTGTCCTCTGCTCAGATTAAATTATACATTCATACATACAAATATGTATATAAATTAAACGTTATTATATAAACAATTATTTTTTTTTAATAATAAAGAATAAACTATAACAATTTCTTGAAAATATACATAGCTTATATTAATTTTACTGGATATTATATTAATAAATAATAAAATAATAATGAATATTATTAGATTATTTATATCAATATTTACAAATACTACATTATAATTTTTATATACTTATCAATATATTTATGTATGTGCATGTGGTAAATAAAAGAGAAAACTATGTCACATCAGTCATATGTGCATATTATATATATTTTCTAATCATTTAAACGACAGTGCTGAAATTAAAAAAAAATATATATGTTATTATCTGTTTATATCCTAACGAAATACGAAACGAAACAATAACAAATGACCACATTTCAACCGTCTTTATTTATATTACGTTTGGAGTCGCATATTGAAATTTTAATGTTGATGAACAAAAAATAGCTTTTTATGTAAAATGTGCTAGCTAGCATTGTCATTGTAGATAGGTAAATCACTCAGTTTAGTTTTTTTGAGTTTATTTATATACATACAACAATCTATTGATCAGCTGATACTAGTTTTTTTTTGTACTAAAATGAAATAAAAATAGAGATAATAAGAAAAGTTACATATGTGTGTATATCAACTGCTTTGAAAAATCCATATGTTATCGTTGTGTTTTAGCTAAAAACCATACATCAAAACGCTTTCAAATTTATTATTAAATTACTTACATATAAACATGTGCACACATATCGAATGCCATATTTACAAAACAACTCAAAAAAAGGACATTTTTACGTGAGTATTTTGTGTACCCATTAAAACGCAGTTTATTGACCTTATTCCCTGGTAACACCAAAAATTCTTCTGCTGTGCTATTTTAGGTATAATTTATTTAATAAACTTTATACAAGTAAATAGCAAAATTTTATTTTTATATCATAGCTATAGCAATATTCGTTTTCTTTATAATTACAAAAAATATACATAAAATTTATATTATCTCCATTTTGAGAATTAACAAAAAGGTGCTCAATTGAAGGGCGAGCTGGAAACTATGGTTACCATATTGAAGTAAAAATAAAAATAAATTAGAGCTTTAATTATTATACGTAGGTGTATAAAGTTTCTTAATTGAACTAAACTAAACATTTTTAAATAAGGAATATAATAACTTTATATAAATACAATTAAACGTAATTTTCTTTTATATCTTTTATAATAAAAAAAGATTTTTACTAAATGTTGCAGTTGTACTTTTTGTCATACATTCAATGTAAATAGTATCAAATATTTGTCAGTCAGCAACATTTATATTTTTCTACAAAATAATCAAAAAGAATATGTACTCTGCACCCACATAAATACAAACAGCTTTTTATGATGATTTATTATAAACATAACTACTATTGGCAACCCTTAGAATAAGTAAAACAAATAACAGCAATAAACAGAATTGAGCAAAAGAGATTACAATTCGTTTGCATTAAAATTAGCACACAACTGATTTCGTTTGCTTTTATTTATTTATTTATTTTTTATTCATTAAAACATTATTGTAAAAATAATATTATAAGAACTGTAAAATAGAATGATTTTTAACGTTATTGCATAAATTTTAATAAATAAAAATATGTTACAAAAACTAAAAGTTTGTCCTGACCTTAAACAAAAAAACAAACTTAAGTGGTTGGTAATATAGTAAACTAAAAAAAAATTATCTACTGTAGTGTTGCCAAAGTTGTACTTGTAATGCTGGATAAGCAAATAAACTTCTAAGTTTAGAAAAGCTAGTTTCATTTTGAATAAGCAAAAAAATAAATAAATTGAAATTAGTTGAGTGCAAAATAATTTTAATATCTATAATACAGTTTTTTTTACTTTTCTTTATGAAGTCTTTATGAAAAATAAATAAATGAATTATACATAAAGCATATACTGATATGTATAAGATTCTACATGTATGCAAACCAAGTATGAGTGTTACCAAATTGCACTGTGTATATTAAAAATACTAAATTTCAGTCTACAGATATGTATGCGGTAAAAGTAAACCTTGTTTGAAAGTGTATAGCAAAAAGCTTACTAGGTCTGCATACTTAGTGCACCTACATGTAGCATTATCTATATCATGCTTAGAACATATAATTTATATTAATAAGGTCAATTTTAATAATACAAATACAAAATAAAACATCATTTACAATTATAATATGTATTTTTTTTTTTTAATTCTATATATTCCCTTTTACAATTTAATTCTTATTTTTGGTATATAAATATTAAAATAAAATTAAATTAATATATGCATATCAGAAGATATTGGAAATATACTAAATTACTGAACGTACTTGGCATTAATTTTTATAATGATGGCAACTCTATAGTCTTTCCATGACATATCTCTCGCTCTGTCAATTTTTTTTTGTATTCACCTTCTGGCATTACAATTCATTTGTAAATCAGTTTTAAAAGTGAAGTGAGGAAGTTAGCAGCTAAGTGAAACGTGTGGTTAATGTACGTATCAAAAAGAAAAGTAACATCGAAGATATTTAGCAGTTTTGAGGCAGAAAAATAGAGTAATTATATTGAATTTGTGTTTAATTAAATAAATATATATATTATTTGAACTATGTTATTTAAATTCAGAAAAAATTTTGTGAAAAATCATCAGACTTGAAAAGTTTTAAGTGAAAAAGGCGTGTTGTGCATATGTGTGTGAATAAGCTTGTGAAATAGAAGTAGAAGAAGAAGGAAACAAAAAAACGTTTTTTTATTTGCTGTTTTCGATTTTTTCAATTCTAAATTTGCTTCCTACGTTTAAGTTTTCATAACTTATTTTTTTATTAATATTAAATAACGTATAATTTAAAACAATATATTGAATTTTGAATTATTTTCGTTTATATAATTATGTAGTTGTGTGCGAACACTAAATTAAAAGTTTTCATAATTACTATTCAAAATATAATTACTATTTCTGTAAGTATTTATGTACACAAAAAAAACATATGTGCTTTTATTTTCCATTTGCCTACAAAAACTTATTGTTAAAAATATTATTAATACTTATTTTTATAATTTTATTACGAAATTCTTACATATCATAATGTAACACAAAAAATGTATATCATCAGTATATATTTTTTGCATTATATATTAATTTACAAATTTTCATTTAAATTATATGAAACGAAATATACGAAATTTGTTATAATACGTGTGCAAAGAGCAATAATTAAAAAATTAAGAAAATTTTTGCGGTGTTTAGAGTTAACAGCACTGTTTATAAAAAAATATTATTTCAGCTCCATTATAACAGTTTTAACAAAGAAAATATTTATGCAAAGATTTTTTTAAACATTTTTAAGCATAGCAGCACTATTGCCTTGCATTGCCCGTTTTTGGTGCTGTTAATTAACAGATTTGATCATTTTTGGTGCTGTTTCTTCAAATATAATCCTGGTTTGGCTTTACTAAATATTTTATTCGTTTTTTTTTTTAGTACTGTCAGCTAACAGTTTTGCGATCGCAGTTGTTGTTTTTTTTGAAATTGTTCTTGTGTGTGTGTGTCTTTGCTATTTGCTATTTATTTCCAGAGTTTGGAGCTGTTAGCTAGCACTTTGACATCTGCTTTGACAAGTAACAACGTATAGATTATAAAAGTGTATTTCTATGAATTTAATAATTTTTTATGTGTTTAGATGAACTATAACATATGCTCAATTACTTAGAATTTATTTTATTGTTACCGTGAACGAAAGTGGTATACAGTACTTGATTTTGACGAATCGATTCCAATCAAGAGTCGACCAATAAGTATATAATTAATTTTTATTAACTTACTTGACAGTATGTACTGCAGTGACTATATAAATATTTGATGCAGCGCCTATTGTAATTCCTTTCTATATTAATTTAAAACATACGATAAACGTACCACCAATAAAACATGTTTATGTGTATATTTCAAAAATGACGACTTAAATTCAAATAGTTAACTAAATAATATGTTCTAATTTTATGAAAGATTTCGGAGAAAAGCAGCTTAAACTATATTATAAATAGATATGTTTACTATCTCAGAAAGCATATAAATTCAAAATTTTCCAAAGCTCAATTATGTGAAAGAAAGAATCCGAATTCTACGTAGTTAGCTATATAGCTAATACATAGTACACTATTATCTATGCATATATGATTTCATTATAATTAGAATTAATAGTTCATTTACCAAAGAATTTTATAATCACATTGGTTTAAATTTTCATTAATTATAATTAAAATAAACATATGGTATATCTGTTTTTTGTTTAAATGATAATTTTAACAAGTCTTGTAACTTATTAGCAATTGCTTTAATTGATCTTCTCTGAATATATTTGATCGATACGTCTCAGTGAGAGGACTTAGTTCTCATTTAGTTTTTCTACCTCAGATTTTGGCTGTAAAAATTTTTTTTTGTATTTCTATATGTATATTTTTGATTACTTACTATTTTTTACACATTATTTTTTATTCACAATTAGTAAAATATAATACTTTAGTACAGCAAACACAGTTCTAATAATTCAATGTGTATATATCAAGACAAAGGGTGAGGTAATCACAAATTTGATTGCAAATCGAAAAAATATATTTTATTTTTTAAATTTTAATATTTATTTATATCATATTACACAGCAAATGGTTTTATTACCTAAAAAAAAGTGAGAATAATAAAACCATTTATAGCTTAAACAGAACACATGTTTTCAAATTACTTGATATGAGACATATAAATATATCTTTAACATATTATTTATTAATAAATCAAACAAAATCACTTTAAATATTCGTAAATGAATATAGATTTATTATATAGCACTATAATAAAATTGTGCTTATTTCTTGTATATATAATATACTTGTTTTGAGAATTTACTTTACACTTTTTTGTGCTATGTACTGCATACACTGAAATAATATTTTTGTTGTGTTAGTATAATATTGTGTATAATAAGCATTTATTTATGTACAAAAATTTTACAGTGTAGTCCATTGCATTATTGTGAAGGGGGTACCAAATTACAAAGTGGTTTTTCTTATTACATTTTTTTTGCTTGTAATTCAAATTGTAATGTAAATCGTAACGTAAGGGTTATTTTGATACCAGAAGAATATATATTTGATATAAATTTGAACTAGTTTTTTTTCTAAATCTTTTAAAATATTTTTCTTTTATTTTTCCTATGGGTTATTATACATATGTGGTTGCAAGACTAGTAGCTGTATATAGTTTTGTAAGTTTTTAAAAATATATTATTCTGGTAACAGTTTCAATTGTGTATATTATAAATACTAGATTAGGTTGCCGCGGTGATAATCTTAAGCATTGACCTAGGCTTTTGGTGGAACCATTATGTCTAAATTTATGTATTTTTCATAATATAATTAATTTCTTTCAAGTTGTTCTACAATCGAATCTGAAAAATTTCAACGCGACAATGGTCATTTCTGTCAATTTATTGAGTCAACTGAAACCGATTTTTATTCACACAGCATTAATGTTTTCAGTAGGTCATAATCATTTTCTTAGGTTATATTTTCTGTATCTTTCCATAGTAATTTGTCAAGGAATTCTCAACATTGGTATCAATTTTGGTACACATCTGAAAGAAATTGTCGCTATTATTGCATTTGAAATATATTATAATGCCGCTTTGATTACATTTATAAATATAATATAAAGTCGTGATATAATTTCCTATATTCATTATATGAATAATTTTAGATCTACTAGATTATGCAGTTTGATTTCCTTTAATTTCATTAAATCTAATTTTATTATGATTAAACTGGACTAACAATTTTATAGTGTTTAAAAAAAATATATCATATATGTTATTTATTTTAACTTTCACATGACTTTATGTGACATAATTTTGATATACCCTAAATATGTAATAATATATTGTATTATTCTACATTATAGTATATTTGCTGATGTTTTACTAACCTTTCGACTGTTTTATCTATTATGTGTGAAAACCTTGTTGAGTTTTAAAATTTAAAATTAAACATTTATATAAATTCCTATCAGTTGATTGTAGAGGAAGTTACTTAACTTATGTCCCAGTAACATATGTGTGTTACCTATATTCAATAAATGCTTCATTAGTTTTTACATATTGATGGCAACCACTTTTTGATAGCTAACTTTTTATATTTCGTCTTTAAATATAATTTTTATATGTTCCATTTATTAAACGACCTTGAACTAATTTACTAGCAATTGTTTCTCTATGCACCCGTACATTTCTTGGTGCCATAAGTTTCAAGAAAAAAAAAAAAAAATTTACTAAAATCATTGAAAATTGGTTAGTGTAATTATTGTTCGCTTTTGCCTTCATTTATCTGTATACCACCCGTGTATGTATAAATACTTGGTTTAACAATATATTAGCAAAAAAAATTAAGAATTTAACAAACAATTTACATTTGTTGAAAAATTACAAAATATATACAATTCAAATAATTCTTTCAGTTATTCTTCTATTCTAATAAACCTCTCTTATAAGGTATAAAAATGTTATATATAAATATAAATTCCTGATTTCGTTACAAAGAGCTGCTTGGAATAATTAGGAGTTCAAATATTTCAGTTTCAGAAGACTTTTCACCTTTTCTATATACTATCTACTTGTCATTCTATAGATGAAGTCATGTGAGACGCAATCACTTTAGATAGTATATAAATGTTGACAAAACATTGGTGAGAAATCATCTAATCGATTCCTAAACATACTAGGTGGATTGATAAATACCCGACCTAAGCAATGAAAACACATTTTTTTTTTGAAAAATTATATTTTATGCTTCAATATAGTCTGCGTTTAGCTCGACACACCGAGTCCAACAATCTTTCAACATTTCGATACCTTTAAATAATACGATTTATCAAGTCCTTCAAAATTACCTTAGTTTTTCATTCAACTTCAATATTTGATGTAAATTTTTTCCGCTCCTTTAGGACAGTACTAAAGACAATTTGTGATCACTTTTCCACACAACTTTTCCATTTTTCAAAAATCGTGACTTTATTTTTTTTTATTTTTTGTATAGAAATATCTTATAACTTTGTAAATATTTTTTGATAAAGCATTTCACTCATGATCGTTTTCTTATACTTGCCATTTGAAGCAGGTTATCTACTATACATTTCTTCGACAAAAAGCTTCCATTAATGATCGCATGAGTCTACGTCTAAGAATTTCTTGCTGATGTTACCCACTAATATGGTTTGGCGATGTTTTAAAAATTTTTCTTGTTTTTTAAAATACTGATGAAAATTTATCATTTTTTGTACAGATTGATTGATAGACAAAATTTTATAGCTTCTACTACTATTCACAGAACAAGTTTAAACAGTCAAAATTTATTATTTAATGAAAGCTGCAATACAGATGAAATTAACCCATAACAGATGGAATTTTTAATTTATTTCTTATAAGAAACTTATTGAAAAATAATAAATAGTTTAGCTACTTTATATTATAAGTTATAACGACTTATTTTCCATATGAAAATATGACTGTTATGCGTGCATTAGGTATGGACTATATAATTCCTAATATAGTAATTGTCGTAAGTTTCGCTACCATATATAAGAAACTATACTGTCTTAAGCGTCGATAGTGCATTACTATATTTAGTCTGATTCTTAGTGTTTTAGGTAGTGAAATAATATTATTGCCCCTCAAAATACAACGTTCTTCATTTGTTTAAACAATTTTTCCTATTCGTTATAAAAATGTCAAATCAAATTCAAAAATTGAAGATATACTGTAATTAACTGTTTAATATTTTGTATATATATATGTCTTAATATAAAAAACAATTAAATCTATATACATAAAGTGTATATAAAAAATCTTATATATTTTATTTTATATGTATCTACACACCACTTAAAGCTACGCTATTTTAAAATTTGTATACACAACCAGCTGTCTTGTACATTATATATATTATAATAATGTATATATAAGCATATATATACACACACATACACATGTATGTATAAAACAAGTATATAGTCGTATGTTTAGAAATCTGTATTCTTATATAGAGAAGTAAGGGTGCACTTGTTTGCATTGCTTACCCACGTTTGATAACTACGTATCTCGTATCGTATCTCTGTTTTAACTAAAGGGCATTACATCTATTTGCTCAAAGATGTCATTATACACTTTGTATAATTTTTTATTAATTATCTTTTTATATAAAATATATTAAGAATTACATTTCAAATAATATTTATATTCTTCAGTCTTCAGAATTTCGTATCTATAAAATATATAAATTTTCAATTGTAAATCATTTAAAATTACAAGCAGCAAGTTACCTTATGTTGTATTATATTTTAGATACATACATGTATCTTCCATAGGACAATGTATATCGCATATATGTGTATATATTTTCTCACTTTTTTTTTTTTTTTTATATAAATATTTACTCAAAAGCGAACCAGTTGAGCAAAGCAGAAATTCAAAATCAAAATATAAACAAACTGTTTAACAGCTGATTTTATTTTAGCTTCCATTGTTGTTTTTGGTGTTGTTGTAATTGTAACAAGTATTTTTATTGTCTTTTCATTTTCACTGCTGTTTTCAGTATCTACACACAATTGCATATAGGAACACAGATACGAAACACACATATACACCATACACCATACACCAACAGAAAAAGTATCTCAAACTAATTGTGCACAGTGTTTACAGAGCGAGAGCGATGGCTAGTTTTTTTTTTTTTTGTGTTTTTTATTTTTTTCTTACTATTATTACCTACGGTGGTGTTCGCTCAGTGGAAAACGCATGCTTCATGTGTACGTTTTCCATGTGATCAAATTGAGTGTGATTCAGATACATTTTGTATCTTTCGGAAAACTAACTCAAAAAATTATTGCACAGCTGAGTTTTGTTTAGCTTTGTTGTTGGTTAGTGTTTTCATCTTTATGAGATTTTGTGTATTGTTGCTATTGTTTTGTTTTGGTGGTTTGCCTGAAAATACATGAAACAAACAAACATTTTACATATACTCTTATATAGAGACGTGCCCTTTTTTAATCCTGTAGTTTTTTCCACTTCGTTTTTTTTTTTTAGCAATCAGTCCTTTTTGCTTTTTTGTTTTCAAAAGATATTAATAAAACTGGCCTAACTTGCATTTTTCTTGCAGTTCGTAGCATTCTGTTCATATAAAATAATAAGCAATGTACACGCATCATATGTCGTCTATATAAATGATAGGCTGATGTATAAGTTACACACAGATACGCATTTCCGTTGCTTGACTTTCTTACTTGTATCGTTTTACGTTGTATTTTTTGACTATGTATCACTTTTACGTTGTAATTTTATTACGTCGTTATATATGCGTATTCAGATACAGCAGAGTATTTATGTTTAGCATTTATAAATAGATTAAAGTGAGCTTTCAACTTATGCTTTACTTGTATCTCTAGCCAACGATATATTTTTCAGCAACATATGAATAGACTCAAATTTTTTATTTTCAGTCTGAAGCGTGTATCTTATAGTAAACCAACTGTAATAGTTCATAATATTTTAAATTAAAGTCTCACTTAAAAAAATTTTATAACATTGTATAACAAAATTTGAAGAAATTGTTAAACCTTTTAAATGTCGTGTTAAATGTTGTGCTCTTTAAAGTGCACACTCTTTAAAATAAACAACCCTTTCATTTTGTTTTATAGATTCGTCTAATTGTGCTGTCATTAGAATTTCGGATAAGATAGTTTTGTTTATAATCTATTATCTTAATAGTTCTCCACCAAAGTTTTGCAAATTCAAGTATCTTCTAAGATACAACAAGATGTAATAGTGTTTTGATTGTTAGATCAAACTCTTTATTTTATATATTAAAGCTTAGAAATACAAAATATCCGTGGCTAAATGAACAATTTTATATACATATACTATATACTAAAGCAGTAAGTTATAATACATGTAGCATTGAACAACTCTAGCCATAGTAGACTATTTGAATCCCCCTCGTATTAACTGAAATAATTTTTCATTTTTTTTTTAAATATATACCAGCAACCTTACTCTGTAAATATGATCAAGAAAACCATAGTTCAAACAATGTACTTAATTCAAATTAAATTTTATTAAATATGCCATATGCTCCTTTTTAAGAAAAGTAAACAAACATATCTATTTATTATAAGTTTATAATATTAACAATAACATTTTCTTTTGTAAGCATATCGCAAAAGAACAACATAAAATAACATAATGGGCCATTAGACCTAAGTGGATCCACTAGGGATCACCGGTATAACATAACGTAACATAAATAAGCACTACTTCTTCCAGTTCTTGGAAGAACTGGAAATTTTATTAGGCTTATTATGCAAAACACGTAATAAAATTTAGAGTTAAAGTTTCGAAAATGAATAATTATTCTTTCTAATTATGGGTAAAAATATTTTATTTATTACATGATTGTGAATAAAATTTTCATGCCTTTTAACAGTAAAATAATAAATAGAAAACGTGACGTATTTGTTACGAACAATGACGACACAAAATACGAATAATTAACGAAATCATTCGTTGACAGTTAACTGGAAATTTCGTATGTACTTCCAAAAATCGTTCACAATAAACGAATTTTTAATCTTGGCAACCATGCCATTTGAACTGCTTATTAGTTAAGCGATTTCAAAAAGATTGGACTAAATAAATCAGCAGTGTTGTTTTTTATATGTTATTTTTAAAATAAGGTTCTGTTCTTTTGTGATATGCTTACAAAAGAAAAGGCCTAGAGTTATTAATTCATTTGTTATATTTAACATTAGCAATTGTTCTTCTGTGATATACTTATAAAAGAAAAGGCCTAATATTGAACACTGTTTTCTTATTTATATAAGCAAGCTTTCTTAAAGCTTTCTTAATGTAATTGTTGGTTTTTATTATTTTAAATAATTTTTACAAAGACGCGTAGGTTTCGTATTTAAAATAAATTTGTTAATGTTAGTTCTTTTTTTAATAATTTGACTTCTTTATCTAATATTGACATAGTACGTCGCATTTTCCCAACTTGATTTACCTCAGGTATAATTTTAAAATTAATCTCATATATACTATAAGTTTTTTTCTATAAGTATTTTAACTAAGTATTTTTCTTTTGCAAATTTTTTTTTAAAAATGATTTATTAATAAAAATGTATATATCTTTTTTTTACAGAAACGTATACATATCCTGCAATTTGTGGATAAATTGATTTTTGTGCAAGGATTCCACAAGGAGCAGTGATTAATTTTTAATCTTTCGTTTACCTTTTTATTTTAAATTATTTAAAAGACAAAGAAAGAACTACTGGGCATGTTCTGTTGTATATTAAGTGTGGTTAAGTGTCGTCTATGGCAGAATCCGCTAGCAGTCAATCGCTCTCTGCAGTGACGGAGGGGCACGGCGATAATATTACAAGTACAACAAGTACTACGACTGTTAAAGCAAAAACTCGTCGCGGCAGACAAACACAAAAACTTATATCTAGTTTTAATTCAAAAAATACCAATCAAACTGAACAAACAGCGGGTGACGGTTGTAAAAGTTCTCGCAGTCGCAGCCATAGTAGTTCAAAATCTTCTAGTGTTAAGCGTGCCTCTTTACGCAATTCATTAAGTTCCAATTTAACTTTAGACCCCACTTCAACGGCAACAGAAGCAGATATTGATAATAAAGTTTTATCACGTAACGAACGTAAACGCCGCAGTTATCAACAGTTCGTTAATTCATCTGAGAAAGAAAAAAATAGTACGTATTATTAATTTATAGATTCAATAAGAATAAAATAATATATTTATTTTTATATACACTTTACAGTTGATATAGAATTTAGTAGTTCACCTTTGAAGAAACGTCGAAATATAAGTATCGAAGATTTTACATCTACATCTTTTAATAAATCGTCAACTTCAATTAGCAGCGAGTTTAGCGATTGTGTAGCTCAACGTACACGATCGAAAACTCTTTCACCAGACGAACCTAGTACCAGTCAGGCACTAAATCGCGTACAAGCTGACACTGCTGATACTAAACAAACAAACAAACATATCAGCAGCAGCAGTTTGACTGATAAGGCAACACCACAACGCTGCAGCAGCACGAAACGCATTAATAGTAACAAAAATTTATTAAATTATTATCGCAAAACACGTAAAATCAGTCACAGTCGTACTTCAGTACAAAAAAAGCAATCATCATTGACAGTTATCGACGACAGTTCCGATAACAGCGACACCCAGCAGAATAAGTATCAGAAAAAACGCAAAACCAGCGTCGCAGAAGGTAAAATATTCTTTAAAAGAACATCATGAAATCACTCAAATGTATTGATAATGTAGTTTGGTTTCTCAATACTGATTATAACTAATTGTAAAATTAAAAACAAACCGAAATAAACAAAATTTCTTATCTATTTCTACAGCCAATCAAACGAAATTGAATTTGAAAAAAGCAAAATCAACACAATCCTCCAATAATTTACGTACAACAACTACTTCAAGCTCAAATAACTCTACAGTAACATCAACTCGCCTTATTGAAGAAGAAACGCCATTTCCTGGATTTGTTTCACGTATTAGTAAAATCAATAGCCTTCGTAGCAGTCTTCAACATTATCACGAATTGCTTGCAGGTTAGTAAAACATTGAATATTCAATGGTTATCACTGTAAAAGTGCAGTTATCAAACAGAAAGATTTTCAGTTGTGTGGGGAAGTAAACTAAAACTCATACAAATTTTGGATTTTATTATTGGTCGTTTTTTTTTTTAGTAAGGACCATACTTTTTCTCTGTTAGAATTCCAAGTTTTTATCTCTGCAAAACTGATGACAGGTTCTTTTTAACAACTTTTTTGAAGTAAATTTTACGTGAGCAAGATTGTTTTACATATGTTGGAACAAATAATAATCTAAAAGAGTTAACGTCAACACTACCCGGTGAATGAATCTAAACTTTGCTAATCAAAACTTAGTTTTAACAGGACCGCCAAATGTGTGTGTGTGGTCTATCGTTATTCTGATGACGTACCGTGTTTGTCTACATCAATTTTGGATCTTTTTGCATTTTATTACTATTTTCTTATCTAATCCAATTTGCTACCATTTATTGTATATTATTTGGTCTCGTAATTTCTCACCATGTTCTCTTGGTTAACAAAAGCGAGCATTGAATTTTCTGGTATTTGATTGCAATACAGAAACTGTAACATAACATAAACAACATATACATTTTTTTGCTATGTCTGTGCTGTCATCTTTTTTTTAATGGAATGTAAAAATTACAGCATTTTATCAAAAGTTTAACAGAAAACACTGATCTCAATGAATTATTGTTAAATAAGTAATTATTAAATCTATTTTATGTCAAACAAAATAAATTGGCATATGCAGCTAACCGTTTTAAAGTTACACTGTGCTTAACTTAATATATTAGGCGGCATTTAAGTAATACATAAATCAAACTTTTTATCTTTTAGATTATTATTGATTTTAGTGATAGCTAAATGTTGCATGCTCTACAAGTAATCCATGGACAATTTTTTATTTCCTAGTCATGAATATCTAAATCTTAAAATTAACCTGCGTGGATTGAAAACGGTGACATAAAAGAAAGTATTAAATTGTTTCGTTTTTCTCTTCCTGTCTTCAATCCTGCTTCTGATTCTTTTCTAGGTTGTTCATACGTATTTTATATCTTGTATGATATAATGTCATTGTGATTATACACTGACCACAATTAGATTTATCACTGTATAATACCTTTCATAATGAGAGAATAGCAGTTATACTATTGGAAGAGGTTGTAATCCATTGATTCCATAAATATATTTTTTTTAAACAGTTGATGCTGTATCCTTGATAGCAAAGATTGTGCTTTGGAAGACACTGGACGAGCTCGGTAACTGAAGCAAGCTCTTTATATGCTTTGAGTTAAAGATTTTTGTGATGATTTATCAATTAGATGAAACACATTTTAAAATAATATTAAAAACTGCGGCTATTTTAAAGAAGTTTTTAAACTACCAGAGTTTAAAATATTTGAACTATCTATTTTATATTGTATTTAAAAGTTAGTTTGGAACTTTAATTCAAAATATTGATTTCTAGATCAACACACGTTACGCAAATACTAATAGAAATTCAATCCAGTAGAAAGACCATGAAAGACTTTTTGTATCAAATAATGTGTTGCTATATAATCCTTTTAGATATTAACACCCTAAAATTCATTTGGATTGATTCTCTGACGCTGTGGTTTCTTTTTCTAATACACAGAACGATTCAAGGGTAGAAAAATTATTGCCACATGACTTAAATAGATCAATCGAATACAGTCAAGATGATCTCTTCTTCAGCTAATTCAGAGCTTATTAATATTATTGCTACTGAAACGATTAAACTGGCGGTTATATTTGAAATCACTGCTATTACAACTTCACTTTTGTAGAACCTATCATTAATTCCTGCTAAACTAAGTTGGTTTCTTTTTTATTTTTTAAACGAAAATAAAATAAATATAATATCTTCATCTATATTTCTCGTTATTTTGGGATACAAGTATCAATATATTGAAAAGTCCATAAAAAAAAGGTCCATATAGTAAAAAATATATTTTCTTTCTAAATGTCAAAAAAAGTAAAATTTTTATTTTTTATATAAGAATATAATTTATATCAACATTAAGATTTTTTAAAAGTATGTTGTTAATTTTTTGAAATTTATTGTAGTATGACTTAAACCAGTAACTTATGACTAGCAGCCATAGTCCGCCATTTTAAAAGTAATATTCGCTTACAGACGAAGTCAAAATGTGTGGTTTTACAAAGGAACTCGTCGTTTGTTAAACTTTTCTTCCATAGTAAAATCACTATCGCTTTTTTAAATTTACTTTTAAAAAAATTTTAATCAAGAACTTACTGTCAAAATTTTTCTTAAACTACATTACAGTTGTTTGTTACAAGTTTTCATAGAAAAATTTTCTGTGTTCTTTTGTTCAATCAATATAGATATTTCAATTTAATCACACAGTAGATTACAAATTTATAGAGAAATTTTTTATGAATAAATATTTAATTTAATTTTAAAAATTGGTTTACAATTCAGAATTCACAACAATGATTAATTGTAAGCTTAACGAAATATAGTGGAAAATTGTGCTTTTTACGAAAATTTTTGCAGTTTGGTACTTTCGTTGTTTGGTTTTATTAATAATATTTTTTTTTTTAAATAGTTTACAACGACGAAGACATTGAAGACGAAGACGATCTTGACGACGAAGAGTTAGGTGAGGAAGAAGATATAATATCTGAGTTGGACGACACTGCAGAGGGTAAGTTTTTAACGTTATTAAATATTACTAAAAGTAAAAATTTTATTGTTTTCTGTACGCTTCGTAAAATTTTAATTTGTTAAAAATTTTTTGTAAAAAAATATCCCTGTTTGTCTATGTTTTATTACTAACTAAAATTAGTTTATAAACTAATGAACTCAACTGTATATAAATGTAAATATAAAAATAGGAGGAGTGTATATAAACATTAGCATGAACTAATTTATGTTTTTTTATTTTATATATATTTTTTTAAATTTATATGTATATATATATATCTATATATGAAAATTGTGCTTTTCAGAGTGTCTGCTAAGTATTATATACACTCTTATTGAATGTAATTAGTATTTTTTTAAAATGGTTGATATAGTTAAAATAATTAAAAATGTATATAATAAATAGTCAGTTCCATATGTTATTGATAGTCGATTTTGATTATATAGTCATTGTAATGATAGTGTAAAATATATACTTATTGTTTATTACGAGCAATAAATTCGTCAGCTGATTTCATGTGTAATTGTAATAATAGTAAAGTTGCGCTTATATATAAAGAGATATGAACAAGGAAAATTACAAGAAATGTTAGCTTAGCATATATATATATAGGTATCAAACAAGACAAGATCGGAATTTGTTTCTAATTTATTATATTATATCATATATTGTTTGTATGAGCGTTATTAGTATAATTATTGTACTGTACTGTTATTACAATATGTTTAATGTTGTCAGAAAAAATAAAGCGACTTGAAAACGTGGCCAATATAATTATGAAGACTTAGGTTAGGTTAGGTTATACCGGCGATGCCTAGTAGATCCACTTAGGCTTGTGTTACCTTATATATAGGAAAAAAATATAATTAATATATTTATTCCCTTACTTTGTTGAATACATAGCATTGATTACATTATTGAAATCCATATTCTTTTTATATGCATATTGTGTGATTTTGGTTTTAAATTTTAACTACATATTGCATTTTTCATGCAGTAATTATCGCCATTGAATCTATTGGCGTAAAAATTATATGCATTGTAGTTCTTTAATAATGTGAAAGACCACAAAACAATAGTTTATTATCATAATTTAGCTGAAGAACATCAACTTACAGTTTTAAAAATTAAATTAATTTTTGGTTTTCATAACACTGAAATATATATACTATAATTTATGCTTACTTTACGGTAGTAACATTTTAAGCATTTAACACAAATTCATATTGTTGCAGATTTATATTTAATTTTTAGGTACCTAATAAAAAAGTTTCATTGAAACGAGTTTTTTAAGCATACTCGTAAATTATATATTTGAAAATTGAAAATTTCTAATATTTTAAATTTTGTAACATTTATCCTGTAATAAAAAAGCAAAAGACTACTGAAGAATTACAAATTGAATTCATCTGGGTTGGCAATGAAGCGTTCAAAATATTACAGAATTGAAATCAGTATTATCCACGTCAAGAATGAAGCTATTTATTCTGCATTCACAGATGTATCGGTTCAAATTAAATCTTCTTAAGCTAATCACTTCTTCAAACGCCCATATTTCTATTTCTATATAATAAATAAAACACCATAACTCAGCTACAGTTCATATTCTGTCTAGATATTTTTCATACTATCAAAAATATAAAATATATAGCAACTTCTTCACTTCTTCAAACATCCATATTTCTATTTCTATATAATAAATAAAACACCATATCTCAGTTAGCTACAGTTCATATTCTGTCTAGATATTTTCCATACTGTCAAAAATCTAAAATATATAGCAACTTCTTCACTTCTTCAAACATCCATATTTCTATTTCTGTATAATAAATAAAACACCATATCTCAGTTAGCTACAGTTCATATTCTGTCTAGATATTTTCCATACTGTCAAAAATCTAAAATATATAACAACAAAGTGTAATACCGGAAGTAGTTAAAAGATTTATTTTTTGTTACTGTAATAGTAGTGTGGCTTAGCGCATTTTCCTACGTTAATCAAATTTGACTATATAATGTAAATAATGTATTATTGCGTCAACTTAAGCTTTTTGTAATTATGCAATTTAGACTCAGTGCTGTCACCTTTTTATAACAGGTTATTATCGTTTTCATACACAAAACATTATATATTCATAATCTCTAATAACAGATTTGCATAGAAATCCCTTCCTCGTTAATCCTTTTGGCAATTTGGTTTTTTTCGTATTTTATTTTTATTTTGATTTTAATTTTTATTTCATTTTATATATTTATTTACTTTTTTTTTGGATCTGCACATAATTTGCATAATCATAAATTAATAAATTATGTTTTAACGAATATACAAGTATATATATATACATATACTTGTATATATATATGAAAAAATAATGAGATACACTAAAGGGTTTTAAAGAAACATATATGGAGGTGGCAGCTCTGGCAGATGACTTACGACGATGTACCAACAATTTTATTTTAGAAAATACAATGTGATAAAAAAAATTACTTATAATTTTTTTTTAACACAAAATATAAAAATATGTATTTTAATAATATTATACAAATTTAAAAGAATAAAAATTATATATTTTTATTTTGCACGTTGCTGTTGTTGCAATTGTAGTTGTTGATTTCTTGATGTTGTTCAATACATTCAATACAATACCATATATCATAGCTGAAGATAATTTCAATATAAGAATTTTAAGCATTTGTTGTTGACAATGATTATGATGTTGTTGTTTATTTACTAAAGCAACTCAGTTAAACGTAACGTCAAATTTCCTTTTTAAAGTCGTAAGTTATTCTACACAACACGCTTTAGTTGTATAGTTTTTAAGTACCAAATTGTTTCCAACAACAAAATTGTGCTTTAATAATAATAAAACCAGTGTGCTAACACATCTTCAACATCATTATCGTTATCAACAATAGTATCAGTACGTACTGGTCATCATCAAACACAACCATAATTTTTGTAATGACAAGCACTGTCAGTGAGTCAATCAATTAAATTTTTATTCAACACGTCTCATATAACAAATATTTCAATTCAAATATATATATATATATATATATATATAAATATATACATATATAATATAAACTAAAACTAAAACCTTACATCGAATGACAACAGCAACTTCAAAATAAAAATTACAACAAGAGATTTTTTATTTGCCTCATTCTCAAAGGTATCCAACGTCAAAAAATCTGTTCCAATATTCAACGTGAAAATCAACATAACGGAAACAAGAGTAACGAAATTGTCAATAATAAGGATTTTATACAAACAGAAAACGCAAGTCAAAATAACAGTGATCAGGAAATAATTGCTATAGAGGGGTCGTTATCAAAAGGCACTACGACGACGGGTTACAATAGAGCCCCAAATCTGGGGGCACGTCAAACTCGCAGCAGTGGTGGCAGCACAGATTACGCTGGTGGCCCAGCACCAAGCGGTACACCACATCAACAACAGCAGCAGCCTCAACCGCAGCAATTGCAGCAACATTTTTTGGCACATCCATTGATTCCTCATTATCCACAACAGCCGGTTCACGTGCCACCACAATCGCATAATCCACACCAGCAACAATATTTACAACAACCAATAACAGCACATTACTATAATCCACAAGTACATTTGCAAAATAATCCACAGCAACATCAACAGCCACCACCCAATCCACAACAGCAGCACGTACAGTATTATCAAGCTTATCCAAATCCAGTACAACAGACGGCCGCTGCCGCCTCTTCTTCGGGTATATTAAATTTAAATTTAAATCATTACCCAGCGCCTGGACCTGGCCCCACTGGCCAATTAGCAGCAGCTGTTAACGGTACACCATTAATTTATCACCAACAACAGCATCAATTGCCAGTAACGATATCAGGACGTTATCATCATCCGCCACCACCACCGACACATCATCAGGCACCACCGCCAACAGGTCAACGCCATCACGTATTGCATCCGGGTACCATAGATATTGGACTCGGTTCTGGTATATTAATTGATCATTCGACAGGTGGAAGAGCATACGTAACACATTCTAACGTACCTCCGCATCCACCGTTACAACACGGCCCAGTACCGACACACTCCGTAATACCAAACTCTTCGCATATACTTCGACGGAGTTCACGTAGCAAAACGGGTTCTTGTGTAAGTTCAGCGGCGCAACAAAGCAGTGGCAGCACTAGCGGCGCAACTGCAGGTGCCGCCTCATCGTTACTAACAACATCCACCAATGTACCGCCAAGTGCTGCGGCTGGTGCAATAAATATTGGTAATCATCATCACGGTCACCATCCTATACATCATTCTGTAGCTGCTGCTGGTGGTGCTGTAGTTGTGGCAATTGGTTCAAATCAACAAACACAACAGCAACATCAAACACAATCACAACATCCTCAACAGTTGCCAGCGCATCAGCAACATATACATCAGCGTGCCACTTTGGTGCAGCCAAGTTTTCTATATCGCACTAACGCTCATATTACTAATCTGAATAATAGTGTTGGTCCATCGTCTGCAAATGTTGCTGCCACCTCAATTATTGCTGCACCAACATCAGCAGCAGCAGTAGCGGCAGCTACACATACACACAACAATCCTAACATTCATAAACCACCAACTGGTAAGTGTGTGCGTATAACACATAATTGTAAATTTGTATGAGCATAAATGTTGGCGTTAAAGAGTTTTTGAATAAATTTAAAAACAAAAAAAAAAAAAAGAGAAATGCAGATCCTCATGTTATCACACCCTCCTTTTACTTACTACTTACCCATTGACTAAGACGTAATAGGTTTACAATAAGTTTTGATATACAAAAATTGGTGCTGGTTGGTCGCTTCTCTTTATGCTATATTAGTTTTATAAAGAATGGGTATATGTAAAATATTTAATATAATAAACAATAAACGGACTTTTGGGATATTATTTTGTGACTATTTGGTCCAAATATTTTATAAATAAGCGGGAATATTATTTATAAAATTAAATAAAATATCAATTTATATATAATATATATATATATATATATATTCTTTTGCACCAATGTAATGATGTGTATAGTAAAATAAAATATTTCATTAATTTGTCATAAAAAAAAACAATGCAATGATAATTTTAATTAAAATGGAGAACCTCTATCTATAAAAGCACATATAATTTCACCCTCATATCCTCCTCTCATGTTGAAAGTTTGGGATTTCGGAATTAAGATTTTTTTTTTTTACCAATTTTAAGAAAAAAAAAATTAAAAAAAAAAAAAAAAAAAAAAAAGTTCAATTTACGTAAAAATTTGAGTTGCATTAATATTTTTAACGGTTAAATTAAATTTTTACCCCTCAGATTTCAATGAAAATTTTTTTAGTTACTTTTTATGTACAAGAAACGTTTAACGTTTTGTGCTTTTAACAAATAACAATTTATGCTTTTAGAAGCCCAGTGTATTTTTCTTATATTTCATTAAACAAGGACATATTTTATTTTCATAACAGCTTCATCGGATGTTTTAAATTATAATTTAATGGCCCAACAACCGCCAACTGGACCGCCGAATACTGGTGGACAATCCGCAGGTTAGTTTGATGTTTTCATGTTTTTAGTTTTTTAACTTAATTTTGATCAATTTATTTATTATTTAATTATTATATTTTTATTTAATTTAATTTTGAAGGATGACAGCACATTAATTAGAATTGTTATTTTAATTTTGTTATATTTAAAATTTGCTAAAATACGAAATTCTGTTATAGTTTTGTTATTGTATGCGTTGTTTTAAATGTATAAATGTATTTATATTAGAAGAAAAGCAACAAAAACAAAAAACACTAATTTCTATATATTTTTAGCTTCAAATAATCTTTCGCTGGGCTCCTCAAATTCAACTAATCAATCGAATGCGGCAACTTCTGGTGGATCATCTTCAATAAGTATTGCCAATATAGGTTCAGTACCAAATTCGGGAGGCAATAATGCTTCACATGATTCGGAAAGCGATGACAGCGAAGTGGGTCGCTTACAGGCATTACTTGAAGCCCGTGGTTTACCACCACATTTATTTGGTGCTCTCGGACCTAGGATGACACATATTCTGCACCGCACAATCGGTAGCAGCAGTTCTTCAAAAGCTCAACAACTGTTGCAAGGTCTACAATCACCTGATGAATCCACACAATTGCAATCTACAATAGAAATGTGTCAAATGCTCGTTATGGGAAATGAGGACACGCTTGCAGGTTTTCCCATAAAGCAAGTGGTGCCAGCTCTCATAAATATTTTACGTCAAGATCAGAATTTTGATATAATGAATAATGCTTGTCGAGCACTTGCATATATGCTAGAGGCATTACCGCGTTCATCAGGCACTGTTGTTGAAGCTGTACCAGTCTTTTTGGAGAAATTGCAGGTAATACAATGTATGGATGTAGCTGAACAGAGTTTAACGGCACTTGAAATACTATCACGTCGTCACAACAAAGCTATACTCCAGGCTGGTGGTGTGTCAGCTTGTCTTACCTATTTAGACTTTTTTTCGATCAATGCTCAACGTGCGGCTTTAGCTATCACAGCCAATTGCTGTCTTAATCTGCATCCAGAAGAATTTCATTTCGTTGTCGACAGTTTATCTCTACTAGCACGTTTGCTTTCTCAACAGGATAAGAAGAGCGTTGAAAGTGTTTGTTCAGCATTTTGTCGTTTAGTAGAAAGTTTCCAAGATGATCCAAAACGTTTACAAGAAATTGCTAGCAAAGAACTGCTTAAGAATTGCCAACAGCTTTTAGTGGTTACACCAGCCATACTAAATACTGGCACATTTACAGCTGTTGTGCGCATGTTAAGTCTTATGTGTGGCAACTGCCCAGATCTAGCGATTGCACTATTGAAAAATGACATTGCATCTACTCTATTGTATTTGTTGACGGGTAATGCTGAACCGATCAGTTCAACTGCTTCACATGTGGAATTAATTTCCCGTTCACCATCTGAATTGTATGAGATTACTTGTTTGATTGGAGAATTGATGCCCCGTTTGCCAACAGATGGTATTTTTTCTGTCGATGCTTTACTTGATAGACCCACTTTGAATACTCAAGATCAAATTCAATGGCAATGGCGAGATGATCGTGGAATGTGGCATAATTATTCTGCTATTGATTCACGTATGATTGAAGCGGCACATTTAAGCTCAGATGATGAATACAGTCTTAGTACGCTTGGAAATACATACACAATTGATTTTCATTCAATGCAACAGATAAATGAAGATACTGGTACAACAAGACCTGTACAACGTAAAGTTAACCCCAACTATGTACCAATACCGCCGCCAGTAATTGGCAATTCTAATACTGGCCAAGATTTGTCTGCTTCAGCTGTGATGAATGCAATAAATGTTTTAAGTAATTCTGTTACTCAAGCAATTCCGACACAACCTACAAATGTAACAACAACACCAGCAGATACACCAAATAATTCTACAGCGCAATCATCAGCTCAAAATACACAAACAAAGCGACGTGCTTCAGTTGATGCACGAATTGCTTGTCTTAAAGAAGAACGTGGCTTGGCCGCTGAGTTTATTAAAAATTTATTTAATGTTCTTTATGAAGTTTATAGCTCTTCAGCTGGCCCAAATGTACGTTATAAATGTTTACGTGCACTATTGCGTATGGTTTATTATGCAACTCCAGAACTTTTAAAAGATGTCTTAAAATACCAACTGGTATCAAGTCATATCGCTGGTATGATGGCAAGCAACGATTTACGCATTGTAGTTGGTGCCCTTCAAATGGCTGAGATACTTATGGAAAAACTTCCTGAAGTATTTGGTACACACTTCCGTCGTGAAGGAGTTATATACCAAATAACACAATTGACTGATCCCAATAATCCGATTTGTGCCAATGCATCGCCAAAACCGTTGGCGGCTTCTAGCGGTGGATCTCAAAGTGCGCCTGCATCGGCAACTAGTGTGCACGTTAATCCGTTTTTCTTAGAAAATTTTCATGCTTTTGGCGGTTCAAATTCAGCTAGTACAACACCTAATACTACAAAACCGTTGTTATTAACTCATCAGTATGCTATGAAGAATTTCTCACATGCAATGAACGCATTAACTGCAAATGCTTCAGCTACAACGATAAATAATAGCGGTGGGCCAAAGAATCCAATTACTATGCCACTAACAAATCCACCATCATTATTGCCTCAGTTACCATCAAGCAGTAACCAAATTCAACCATCAGCAATACCAATTAATTCAGGTGCTATAGCGACTCCACCGGGAACAATTATTGGAAATGCAGTAGCCGCTTCTGCACCAGAAATGCATTATCACCATTATAGCAGCTCTGCGCCAGCAGGGGCTGGACCAGCCTTACAACTACAACAACCAAATTTGTTGGTTTATTCTACAGCAGCAGGAACTGCGCCAACTGCTTTACCTGCTAATAATCAATATGTACATGGCAATTTTCATCAACCACCACCTCACATACAGTCACATGGTCCGCCACCTCCACACCATATAGATTTGTTGCCACCATCGTCTGTAAATAGTGGAACACCAACCATCATTACTCAACAAGCCCCACCGCCGCAACATATTCCGCAAGTAGTTTTCCCACAAATGGGAACAGCTGATGCACATTATCAAAATAATTCAATATCAAATTCAACTGCTATAGTATCAGCAACCGCGCCTTCATCATCTTCGGCTCCAACAACAAGTTCAACAATACAACATAAAATGACTGATATGCTAAAGCGTAAAGTCCCACCGAAACGTAAATCTCAGTCAAGTAGTCGTTCTAAACGTCCTGATGAAGGTTCTTCTACCTCTGCAGTACACGATTTATTAAGTCGTGCAACAAGTACGTAACAAATATTATTATTGTTTATCTTATTTAATTTAATTGTTTTTTATTTTTTTTTCTTGTTTATTCTAGGTTTGGGTACTAGCACTGGTCGAAATACACCAAGTTCAAGTAACAAATCACGCTTTAGCGGTGGAAACAATGCCAACTCTAGCAGCGGATCAGGTAAAACATCTTTCTTAGCATCGTTAAATCCAGCACGCTGGGGACGGCAAGGTTCACATCACGGTTCATTTACCAAAGACTCAGGAGCTAGCCAAAGTAGTAGTAACAGCGCCAGCGGTAACAATACAAGTAGTTCCAGTAATATACATGGTCATCATGGTACAAACTCAACTTTAGCTAGTTTATCTAAGAGCCTTTCGAACGCAAATATGATTGCAGCTGGTAATCGTGAAAAGGCACGTCAATGGATTCGCGAGCAAGCGGTATCATTCGTTAAACGTTATGCAGAACAAGAATCAAATAATGGCTCAGCCGAATGTTCTGGCAGTAGTAATAGTACAAATTCAAGTGGTGCTAATGTATTGCAACGTTTATCAGCAATTATTTTCAAATTAAGTAGTAGTTTTCATGAATGTTTGGAAGCACTACTTGAGTTAAAAACAATTCTATTAGAAAGCGATATATCACCATTCGAAGTTAATCATTCAGGTTTGATAAAAGCAATGATTAACTTTATGACTTGTGAAGAAGGAATTGTAGAACGTGATGCTCGCTTGCGAGCTTTTATGCATGTTTTTGCTGGACTACCATTGGAAAAGATGACAACCGTAGGACAATTACCAGCTATAGATGCTGTTGCTTTTAATGCATTGGTTGCAAAACTAAATGGTTGCGTTACACAACTTGAACAATTTCCAGTCAAAGTCCATGATTTCCCGTCTGGACCTGGTGGACGATTTAATCAAAGTGCTCTGAAATTTTTCAATACACATCAGTTGAAGGTGAGTGGACCTCGTATGAAGGTAAATAACTTTGCTTATTAAAAATATTTAGTTTTACTAACTATTTAATTTTTTCTATTAATTTATATATCATATTCATGTATTTATCATATTTATTTAAAAAATCCAATTAAATAAGAAATATACAGTGATATTCCCCTAACTCTTATGTAAGGACTTTGAATTTTCCACAACTCTTCTTATATTTTTTTTTTTCCATAAGTCGAATTCTCTTAACTCGAATATTTCCGTAACTCGAAGTAAAAATTCACGTTGCTTTTTACCACTTCCCTTTAAATTCTCCCTTTACTTTTGTCAGTTACTTTTCCAGCTTGCGCGACATTATTGGACTCCAATTTTCGGCGACACTAACAACTGCTCTTATTATTGTAAATTTCCTTAATGCGATGATAGAGTTATGCTTTTTATCAATAAAGCAGTAGACTTTCAATCACAAACATGAGTAAAAGAAATTTGAAATGTTTTACAATCCCGAAAAAAATTAATTTAATTATTAAAGTAGAAAAAGGTGGATCAAAGAAAAAAGATATAGAAGAAAAATATAGAATTCTTTGAAACACTTTAGCAACGATTTTATAGAATGAGAACAACTTAAAAAGATAGTTCTGTAATAATAAATGTAAACGGATTACAATATGTATAATGACTTGGTTGAAGCTATGTTACAATGGATAATTACTGTAAGAGCAAAAAATTTACCTCTTTGGTAGTTTGGTAGTATTAATAAAGAAAAGGTAAAACAGTTTCCAGACACAACTGCCGCAAATAAAGATGCGATCAAGGCAATTTAAATATTTATCCATTCCAGAGCAAACGCAATGGATGATATATTCCAATTAAATAATTTGGAAAATAATATAGAAAACAAACAAGTAAACACAACAGCAATACATATAATCGAATATTTTAAACAAAAATTATGTATGTATATTCAAATCATTAAATACTTTGGAAATTTAAAGTAGAGTGGTAAAAAGTAAAAAAATGTAGCAAATCCAAAAAAAAATGTTTCTGTAACCCGAATTTTCCCTAACTTTTTTGCCTCCCTTTTAACGTTTTGCGAGTTAGGGGAATATCACTGTACATGGTTTTAGTAGTTTAAATATATATAATCATTTTCATAAATAACAACTCTCTCTGTATTACTCTCTTGTGTGAAAGAAAAAATTTGTTTCTTTTATTGAGCATTCATTTTATTAATTAATATTTTTTCCAACTATGCCAAGGGAGACAACAAATCTAAGCTCTTGTTTATAATATTATTCGGATTCGAGAACACCGAAACGTGAAGTAACACTAGATTTATTGTACTTATTGTGTTAACAAACCCGTTATTCGAAATTTCTTATCATAATTGGTTTGTTATTTTTATATTATAATTATATTATTTTGTAAACTATGAGTTTATAGATTTATACATATATTTATAAATATAAATCCATAAACTTATCAGTTGGGTGGGGGTAGAGTTATGCCATCAGATAGATTAAAGTTCTGTAGTACTAAGTATATAACTTTTTGTTTTGGCGATGTTTTTCCTGTGACTACCGTATCCGGGTATTGTTATTAGACAATACACTGTGGGCATTGGTCGATAACCATGTAAGTGGTTATGGAGCCATGACAATGACAAAGCACCAGTTAGCAGATAACTGGAGGTTTGAGCATACAAACACACAAATTCAAATTCATGTAATTAAACATTAACAACTTGCAAACTCCGAAATTTCGGGAAATAAACTGTAACGTCATATATATATAGCATTAAAGTTGCTTAGAATACAGAAATGCTACAAATTCGTTGTTAAATAACGATTCCTGAGATAACGAAATATTCCCTAATCTGGAAGACATTTCAAACTGCGAAAAACAAAAAATCTGACATAATTACATTTCACTGCATTAGCTCTGTTTTATAGTCAACAAAATTAATTAATTTTTTTTGTATTATATAATTATTTTAGATATTTTGTATATTTTGTATATATTGTATATAATATATTGTAGTTGAAAATGATTCATTTATTAAATACTTGTTTCTTTTATATTTGCTAATAGTGCAATTTACAACGCCATCCTGACTGTACGAATCTCCGGCAATGGCGTGGAGGGACTGTTAAAATAGATCCACTTGCTATGGTACAAGCTATAGAAAGATACCTTGTTGTTCGCGGCTATGGTGGTATACGAGTTGACTCAGATGACGATTCCGAAGATGATATGGATGACAATGTTGCAGCAGTTGTAATGTCACAAAGTTCGTTTAAACATAGATTACAATTTCTAATTGGAGAAAATGTGCTTCCCTATAATATGACTGTTTATCAAGCGGTTAAGCAATTTTCCCCATTAGTTAATGATCAGTCAGAAACTGACACAGATACTGAAACTCCAATAGGTATTTTCATAAAAAAACTAAATTCCAGTACAGTTATACATGTAAAACTTAAATATTTATAGTAAATGCCCGAGTATGGGTACAACAACACACAATATATTATCGTCCAGTTGAAGATGACTCACACATTACTGGCGCTAGCACCAGCAATAATAGCACCTCTAATAAACATAGTAATACAAGTGTACAAACTTCTTCTTCAGGCTCTTCAACATCCTTTGCAAATGCGGTTATATCTTCCACATCATCGTCTTCGTTAAAGAAAAGCAACAAGTCTGGATCTAAATTTTTACGCAAGAAAACTGAATTATGGCAAGAAGGTGTTGCACCAAATACTATATCAGCGCTGAAACCATTCCTAAGCAAAACACTGCCTAATGAAGTTATTAATGTGCAAGATGCTTCCTTAGATGCTCTTTGCATGTTGCGTATTATCAATGCACTGAATCGTCATTGGGAACAGTTATATGGCTGTATTGTACATCAGTACATAATAGCACAGTCAGAATTCATTCATCCTAAAATAACGGCCAAGGCTAATAGACAGCTTCAGGATCCTTTGGTAATAATGACTGGAAATTTACCTCAATGGTTACCACAAATTGGTATGGCATGTCCGTTTTTGTTCCCCTTTGAAACACGTCACCTGCTGTTTTATGCAACAAGCTTTGATAGAGATCGTGCTTTACAGCGTTTACTCGATACAACTCCAGATTTAAATTCTGCTGAATCTTCAGAGCGTGTAGCACCACGTTTAGATCGACGTAAGCGGGCCATTTCTCGTGAAGATGTCTTAAAACAAGCAGAACACATCATGCAAGATTTCGGGCATACAAAAGCTTTGTTAGAAATTCAGTACGAAAATGAAGTGAGTTTATTATTAAAATTTCAATTAAGTTATATAAATTACTGATATATGTGCAATTCTTTCTTGATTTATAGGTTGGTACCGGTTTGGGTCCAACACTCGAATTTTACGCTTTAGTTTCAGCTGAATTGCAGCGTTGTGATTTGGGATTGTGGCATGGTGGTGACAGCTACAGACAAACATCTGCTGCTATTGTTGATGTAGTCAAAAGCCCAATTGTTCATATTGATGATGGACAAAACAATATTTCACAACAGGAGGAAATTACCACTACTACTGCTACAATTACAACAGCTAATAATACACGTACGACTACAATTACGCGTGCAAGCAGCCGTAATAACCGTGATAGCAACAATGCTAGCAGTGTTGGTGTCTCCACACGTAGTAATCTTGTTGCCACAAATAATACAATTAATAGTCATCAGACAAGCAATCATTTGGAGCATGGCTCAACATCTAATGAAAATATTTTAAATATGGTTATAGAGCAGCAACAAGTTAGTGATAATTTACATATTCAACTAGATGGGACAGGTGGCCAACAAAATCAAATTAATACGCTTACATCAGAGGGATCTGACAACGTTATACGTATCGAAAACTCTGTATCTATTCCTGCAATTTCATATGTTAACGCACAACATGGCTTATTCCCACAGCCGTTTGGAAGATCATCTAAAATACAGCAATTATCTAAGGTTAAAGCAAAATTCAAATTTTTGGGTAAATTTATGGCTAAAGCTGTGATGGACAGTAGAATGGTATGTTTTTTTTTTTTTAATAATATATTTATCAAGAAACTTTACTCTAAAATATATTTATAAAATACAATAAACTTCTGTATAATTTATGATCTTGTAAATCCATATTTTATTTTTTTTTTATTATTTTTATCGCAGATATACTTTTTGTATTTTAACTTTTCTTTATCAAAATGGTGTTTATATTTTTTTATTATTATGGCAATTGTTTATTTGTATTTTATTATTAGAGTTATTTATTTATTATCAGGATTTTAAGTTTATTTATTGTCAAGTTTAGTAATTCGAATTTTTATTATTTTATTAGGTTTATTTATTGTTAACGTTTTTATTTTTTATTAGGTTTATTTATTATTAGAATTTTTATTTATTACAGTTATTTTTAATTATTATTACAGTTATTTTTATTTATTATAACAGTTATTTAATATACAAATGTTTTTGCAATACCAAATTTTTAATTGTTCTTTTAAATTTTGTTTATTTATATATATATTTATATATAATTAAAAATAAAAATTAGTTATACATATTTGTATATAATTAAGAATAAATGTTTAAAAACATTTTATTTGTGTACCTATATTTTCTATATTTAATTTTTTAGAATGAGTAACGCACAGTCTAAAGTGATTGTTATATTAATTTTGTAACGCAGTGAAGGTGCTCTATAAAACCTACGAAATATATAAAAACTTGATTAATGTAATTTATTATATTGGCCATCAAACTTTAAACAGTGTTGAAGCTAACAAAATAGATTTTTTGATTTTATAAAAGTATTCAGTTAATATTTGATAAATTAAAAATGTATTTTCAGTCAATCAGTTTAAAATTCATTGCGGTTTTCGTACAAAAACTTCCTTATTCCTACTTCCTTCGATATTACGTTATACATATAACGTTGGCTGAACACTTAAATGGAAGCTTTTGTTTATTAAATATTTGCATCTGTAAATGAATCCTCTCTAAAATTTAAATATATTAAAATTCAATTTGTTTGAAGGGCAATTATTTATTTATTTTTTTTTTAATATTTGTTTGGTTTTTTTAAAATTTTTTTTTTTAAGATTTATTTTTTTTTTTTAATTTTTTTTTTTTTTTTTTTTACTATTTTTTTTTAAATTTTTTTATATTTAATTTTTATTTTTTTATTTTTTTTATTTTTTTTTTAATTTTATTTTTTTTTTTAATTTTATTTTTTTTTTTTAATTTTATTTTTTTTTTAAATTTTATTTATTTTTTTTAATTTTTATTTTTTTTTTTAAATTTTTATTTTTTTTTATTAATTTTTTTTTTTTTTTTTTTTTTTTTTAATTTTTATTTTAAAATTATATATGATTTATTTTATTATATTATTTAAAGATTGATTGTGTTCTATTTAGTTAAAATAAATGTTTTTATATACTATTATTTTTTGTATTATATTCTAAGTAAACTTTATTCATTTATTGTAAATACAATACCAAATTTTATATAATGTAGAAGATTTGAAATTAATTCCATTTTTACGTTTATTTTTAATAGAATAACCAATTATTTAAGACTATAATAAATAAACCAATATTAATCATTTTTAACCAGTAAATATTTTTTACTAGTTGGTTTTTATTATTTTAAATTATTTATTATTTCGAATTGTAATTTTTTTTTTATTATTTATAATTTTTAAGATATACTCTATTATCATACATAACATTATTATATATATCACAAATTGACTAGTTATTTATTATAGGGTTATATATATATTTATTTTTTTTTTTTTTGTAAAATAATTATTTATTGATAATTTATATTTATATTTATTATTTACTTGGTATTCACCAAAGTTTTTAATTTATTATCAAATGAAATTGTTTCGTATAAGTTATTTGTTTTTAAATTAATAATAAAAAATATTCTTCAGTTGGATTTACCATTTTCAACCCCATTCTATCGTTGGTTGCTGAACGAGGAACAATCTGTTGGTTTAGCAGATTTAGCATGGGTTGCGCCAGAAGTGCAGAGTACATTAATTCGCTTACAGAACGTAGTTCATCAACGCGAACATATATTATCTGATCCGAACTTTGATGCAATGGAAAAGACTGAAAAGGTTTGTACTTGTATATATTTTATTTACAATAATTTTCAAATTAAATTTTAATTTTAATAGATTGAAGCGTTAGATTTAGATGGCTGTCCCATAGCAGATTTAGGCTTCGATTTTATGTTACCTGGCTATAGTACTATTGAATTATGCCGAAATGGTCGTGATTTACCAGTAACTGTTCATAACTTAGATCAATATATATCATTAGTTACACACTGGTTCCTTGTTGAAGGTGTGCAAAAGCAATTTGAAGCACTACGTGAAGGTCTGTATTTTACTTTGTCTAAAACAATGGCATAATAAAATGAATATTTTTGTATTTTGTTACATAGGTTTTGATTCAGTGTTCTCAACAAATCGTTTACGTATGTTTTATCCGGAAGAATTGGAAAACGTATTTTGTGGATCTGGTAGCAGTAATTTTCAGCGTTGGGATATTAAAATGTTACAGGAATGTTGTCGTACAGATCATGGTTTCACGCAAGAATCACAGGCTATACAATATCTATACGATATACTTTCATCGTACAGTCGTGAAGAACAACGTGCTTTCTTGCAATTTGTGACTGGTTCACCACGTTTACCAACTGGTGGATTCAAGTCTTTAACACCACCATTAACAATTGTGCGTAAAACCCTTGATGGAAATCAGGATCCAAATGATTATTTGCCCTCCGTAATGACTTGTGTGAATTACTTAAAATTACCGGATTATTCGAATAGCGAAGTAATGCGTCATAAGTTAAAAATAGCAGCCAATGAGGGCAGTATGTCGTTCCACCTGTCATAAGGTGCTTTCAATGAATTGTATATTATAAAACGCACAACTCTTTATTTTTATATAATTTTATTAACAAACCAACCAAAATTTTAAGCAGTTCGTTTCCACGCTCAAGAAAGAAAGTACACCTAAACATCAACCAGGTTTTATGAATCAATCAAAAACTGCTTAGCTGCTAACTAAAAATTTAACATTTTCAATATTTGAATTTCATTATCAAAATTAATAGTATATTTTCCATTATAATTTGTGAAAAACCAATTGGTAAAAATTAAATTTATAAGAAACAGAAGTAACTATGTTGTAAAAACAAAAATTTACTGTTCTAAATTTAAAATATTAACATTAAATTGATTTTGTTTATTAAACAATAATATAATTAATCTTTGTTTTGTTATTATTCTTTTTTTTAAATAATGAAATTTTCTGTTAAATTTGTTATAAAATAGTTATTTTTAAATAGTGAAAAGTTATGATGAAATTTTAGTCTGTAGCAGATTTGAGAGATCTACATAACGGAGGATAACACGAATTAACGCTTTACATATACAATAAAAATAGTTTAAATATAACTTATTTGAATATTTTAGTTCATAGTAACATTATTTTAGGGCATACATATTTTATGTATGTGACTTAACATTTTGACGCAAAAGATGAATGAAACCAACAATCTATATAGGATCTTTTTTTATAACAATTACAAATTTAACTGTTTTATATATACAAAACTATGTTAAGTATAAAAAAGAATTAATGAAAGTATTGAATTTGAAAAATATTTACATAAAAAAGTCACACAAATCTGATTTAGGAAATCGATGAATTAATATTTGTACAATAAAATATTTTAATTTGAAGATATCCTAATAATAATGAATGAGGATTATCATTCATAAAACCACTACAGAAATGTTTCTTTATTATTATTAGTTTTTTTTTTTTAATAAATATCTTGCAAGTAAATATAACATTTTTTAAACAAAAATAAACATTTATATAACATATGTTTTAAATGGGCCTATGCATACATATATAATAAATACATGTAAGAATGCAGAGAAATATATATAATCGTACTTTAAATCTTAGCATTATTTACTCTAAACTTAAAAATATATAAATATATTTAAACATAATTGTCCAATTTAAATTTAAAGTGAATAAAATCTATTTTTCTGTTCATTAATTATATATAATATAACTTTACTAAAAAAAATATGAATCATTACCGAAATATTTCATGGATAGTTTTTACTTACTCGATGTATGAAATAAATAAAATAACAATTAGTTGTATGTATACAATATGTTTAAAAATATTTAAAAATGATAATTGTTCAATGAATCATAAACAAAAAAAGAAAAAAAAACAAAAACTTCGCAAATACAAGCCAACAGAAGAAGTTGCTAAATTATAACAATATAGTACTATAATATAAATATATGATACAAGATTTATAGTATAGTTTATTAAAAATTAAATTAAAAGAAACTATGCAGAATCATTCAAGAGGATCATTAAAAATAAATATAAAAAAAATATATCTTGTGTTTAAGATTTTATTTTCTTTAAATGCAGATGAATAATAAATTTGTAAAGGCAACAAAAAATACATACAGAATATGTCGTTGTGTTGTAACTGAAATTGGAAACTGCTATAGTAGGCACATAAATATATTACAAGAAAAATGTACTTAGAAGACTCGTATTGACGATTGATGGAAGTATCTTGTATACTACGCTTAAAAAGGTGATGCCTCTATAGTTAATGCATTCTAGTTTACTACCATTTTTGTACAGTGGTATAATCATACCTTTATACAAATCTTTCGACATAGTTTCCTGCTGCCAAATATCCCTGATGAGCCTATGTAAACATTTAACAAGCTGTTCTCCTCCGCACTTTATAAGTTCAGCTCTGATCTTGTTAACTTCACTTCCTTTGTTATTTTCAGGCTTCTTTATATGTGCACGAACCTCTTCCTCTGATGGTTCATCTACGTTTACATCTGCTGCGAAGACTTTTTCAATTTGATCTTCTGTACATTGACTAGCAACTGGGTTTAGTATTTGCAAAAAATATCTTCGCCACTTGTTTATTACTGCTAGTACGGCCAGTAAAATATGGATAATTCCATGACTAGAAAAGGCGGCAATTAAGGAACATATGGCGCGTAGACAATTACACGTGCCAAGTAACTGATTAACTTGTGCTTATAACTTTTTTAACTTCTTTTTTATCCTTAAAGGATATTTGGTAGGGGACTGTTAAGAACTTTATTGTAGTGCAGACATGTTCTCGGTGAAGACACTAATGTTGTCTTTGTTGCATTAGATGTCGATATATTAATACAAAGAAAGAATTCGGTCTGTATAAGCTACTGCGGTCTGCATAACACAGTGTGGAAAATGTAAATAGTAGTGAATATCTTTGGTTCAAGAAGTAGAGAATGATCAAAGATTTTGTAGCTGATGAATAAAGAATGTTACTGTAAGAAGATATGTATTACGTTATAGCACAAAAGAATATGGATCTGACCCGCGGTGAAAATTGTGCAATCATCAGCATATGTTATAACTATTATTCTGTCTGATGAAACATTACTCTTCAAGAAAATACTTTGTTTTAATTGTTTAACTTTCGAAACCTGACCTTTTAAAATTGATAAGATGTTATATCTACTAGGTAATTTGTGGGATGTGATCTCTCAAAAACCTGTGGTAGTCTGACACTTTTAATGCCGTGTTGATCAATCCACAGCCTTTTATTTCTGGGTTCGCTGTGTTTTATCATTTATTTGCAATCGTGATGATTATCAACAACTCACTCAACGGATGCGTTCCATGGGTATTCATGAAAAATTTGACTTTAATCGTCACAAAGTCTGATTTTTTGTAATAAAAAAACTTCATTACATTGGTTCGAAAGGAGTTCCCGATGTTGGAACTATAATCCCTAATTCTATACCGCACCTTAAAAATCAATCATATAATAATATGAACATATCTTTGTATTGATATATATGAGAGAATCAATCTGATTAATAGATCTGATTATGTAATTGAAAAGATATGCAACCATATATTTTTATGTTCCCTATAGTTACTATTAAATAGATATTATTTTTATGATTTCATGTTTGGTTCATGAAAACCATGCATCAAGGTTAGACTTCATAACCACGCAGGCAACAAGAAGCGAACATAAATGAGCAAGATGTAGAGGCAATAACGCAAGCGAGAAAAAAATATCTTAATATTTTTGTTGCGATGTTGTCTACTTAATCCCTTAAAGCAGTGGACTGCAGAGAGACGTAACTAAGAACAATCGTGTAGAAATTTAACTAACTGACCATCGTACAAGGAACCGTCCACATATTACGGTTGAAGCCAAATTTATTTTTTCTGTTTTCGTTTCTTGATGATGGGTCTGTTCTTATATACTGATACAATAAGTCACTTAAAATCCATATTCTTTTTAATGATTATAAAACCATACAACATGCAATAAACAACATATATATAAAAGTCTTTTAAGTGAATTGATGGGCGTCGCATATTTGACTTTGGTATTCCTCCATTTGGGTATCATCAACCCTTTCCGTAATATTTAACACCATGCGAGGCTTCAGACTAAGCAATTTCCTATTCTGTGATCCGCTTTGTTTCATCATAATAGTTAGGATTACTAATCGGAAATGTTTAACGTAATGTATAATGTTAATGACGTCAGTGCTATCTTTGCTGCTCTTGAGAAAGAATCTGTGTGAATGGGTTTGACGGGCTATCTAATTTTAGGAAGTTTATATCGAAACTGTCATGGATTTTACCTCCTTTATTAACGATCCAGTTCAAAGATCAATCCTTACATTATAAGACCTTACATTATAAATAATAAGGAAGTCTCTCTCTTCCGACAAAACTTGCTGTTCATTGGTTTGGTCCCACATATTTTTCCTATTTTCAAAAGCATGTTTAGCATGTGCTAAACATAGTGCTGAGGTAACTATAGGCATGTTTGTCCAATCTGATGACATTGTATAACAGAAAAACAATGCGCTGCTACACACACTACACACGCTACACACTATATACTATATTTATGAAATATGTTGGTACATTTATGTCGAGACATATTAGATGTCACTTACGAGCAACTGAACATAATGGTGGAGTTAAAAAACGTATGTTATACACCATATTGTATATTAGAATTAAGTAAAGGAAATAATAAAGAGTCAATCATAAATTACATCTAGACTCGCATGTTTCACTCGAATAAAACATAGAGTATGGCTGCGGTTGATGCATACGATCAGCATCAGAAAAATTATATAAAACTATAGTTAGAGAAGACAGAAGGAAGGAGTAGATTGTGCATGAGATTAAATTTGGAGAATACTGGCCACACAAAAAAGGGTAGGAACGAAATAAATGCGAATGGATAAAAACCAAAATGATTGTACCAAAAAAATGGTTGGCACAATCATTAAGTCAATAAATATGTATCGTGTGGATACCACAATTAAGTAAGTAGAGGTAGCTAGCCGATACCACACATCAGACTTGCGATCATATCAGATCTATGTCAGTAGTGAAACCAAATTAAAATCCTTTAAGCGAAAAGATAAAAAATTCAATAAACTACTAAACCATAAATAAAAAATTTAGTTTTATAATGAAATTTGCCACTTCTCAACCAAGTCCTTTTACCAGCAGTGATAAACTTCGATAATATGCTCTTTTACCAAAAACACGTATATCAGAAAAATTAATTTGTGTAGAACAGGATATATGAATAAAATTGGATCAATTAGAGTCGGTAATGTGTTAGACCGTACATATTTAGTTCTTTTGCTCCATCGCACTTGTTATTAAAAATCTTGGGTGCCCTTTTTACATTATTGTAAACAATTATTCAAATTCTCGTAAAATACGAACATCTTATAATATTTTGATTCAAAAAATAATGCTACCAAGAAACCCTAATTAATGCAATAATTGAATACTTTTAGAAAATTTAGAAAATAGTCGGTAAATAAATAAAAATAAAAATAAAAATGGAGCAAATGAGGGGAATGTTGTAGAAAACTAGAGAGCAAAATAGAAATTCAAAGAGAAGATCTCTCCATCTTTTAACTGTAAAATGGCATTAGTAAAGGAAGACCAAAAACAATTTTTCACAGAAAACATCAACAAAACATTGACTCTAGGCCATAAGAAAGCAGTATGCCTGCTTTATTCTAAATATTTTTCGTTTAAAAAAAATATAAAATAAGAAAAAATGGTATTTTTAGCATTCGTTGAATATGAATTGTGCACATTTTAATTTTAAAAATTTTTTGAAAATCTTACGAAAAGCGAAGATACCTCGGAAATGTTGTCGGAATTGGCAGTGTGAAATAATAAAATTTTCAGAAAATTTCGTAAAGTTAATTGTTTTAAGTATTTATTATTTTTATAATTAAAGAGCAAAAATAATATAAACAAGTTTAAAATAGTTCGTATTGTAAAAAATTTTCAATATAGAATAAAAAATTGCATAAATATAGGAAAATATTTCCTTCAAATATGTGTTCAATGTCTGTGGTATGCCCGTTGTGTGCTCAAATGAGTTTTGCTAATATCGACGCACTACGTAATAGTCTGATAAAGGCAGCAAATGGTCCACTACCGTGTCCTATTTGTCATGAATTGTTTTTAGGTTTAGATAAATTGACAATACATTTATTTACGCATACAAATCTACTTTACATGAATTCAACGGATAATGATTCTCATGTGCTTCAAATTTCAAAAGCAGTAAATACCGTTTCACCAACGACTGTTAAACAAGAAACACAGCAGTTATTGAGTAAAGCATCAGTATCAGCGTCGAATTTAAAAGAGAAGAAAATAAAGAAGTCGAAACAACAAAAAAATTCAGTTTCTATTGAAACGCATCTGCCTACATTTTCACCGCCGCCTACGACTGAAGCACCCACCGTGAAACCCTTTTCTGTGTGTGATGTTTGTGAACTCAACTTTCGTAATGAGCAACTACGCGATATGCATTTTCGATTGGTACATCAAAATATTGGCTCCATTCAAACAAACTCTGCTGAAATTTCGAAAGAAGCTTACTTAAAATGTCACCTGTGTTCAAAAACATTTAAAAGAAAAGGTTCTTTGCGCTTACACCTTAAAGTCGTGCATTCTATGGGATTACCATATGAAAATGATTCACCTAAAATGAGTATATGTGATCGAATACGCCATAAGGAAACAAACACTAAACAACCGTTACTAGGAAATAGCACAGGTTTAATGGGTACTGCAACAGTAAGCCCGAGTAATACAATTTCAGTTAATACATATACTCTTCTACCTAACACAAATCCTAATGGTGCTTTACAACATTTTATACAACATCCAACCAACAACACTATTGTGAACTGCAAGACTAATGACGAACTGCTGCCAACTGCCATGCGGAACAATATAGATTCTAATGTCTTGCTAGTTATCAATGCCGATTTAGCAGGGCCTTCAACAAGTATTGACACTCTACGAGATATAAATCCGTACGCAGCTGTTGCGGACAGCACTAAAATATGGGATTGTGATGTATGTGGAAAATCTTTTACCACGAAATATTTTCTCAAAAAACACAAACGTTTACATACTGGTAAGTTTAAAAACAATATCAATAGACGACTCAATAAAAAACAATCTTCCCTCTCTTTCATTTATACAGTCTGTGATTAACACGGCTTATATTTAGCTACATATGTTATAATTATGATTGTATTTTATCCCTAAACGTTGACAGGTCAGGTTGACAGGTCATATTTTGTATTTTGTTAGATAGTGAACTTTATTTTCTCATTATTTTGAAGACTTGTTGAACCGATAGTCCATATTTGAAGTCCATATTTGTTTTTAGATTACAATTATTCTGTATTGGATTTAAAGTAATTCAGTTAAATTTATTATAATGGTTAGGAGTGGTTGGTGGTATCCGGTGAGGTAAGTTTCTAGTAAAAATAGTTTAAAAAGATTGTGAAATTAAATAGCTTTATATAGCTGATATCTTAAAGATATTAGAACTTAGTGTTAGTTATACTAAACAAGAAAATTTAAGCATGAGTAAATTGTTTTCGTCTTGAGTTCCGTGTTTGGTCACAGCCTATCAAAAACAACAACGCGTCGACTATTCAGATGTTCAAGCGAGATAAAAAGACATAACATTGTGTGACAATGTGAAACAAGCCTGGTTTCCTTACTACACATTTGAATCAAAAAAATCGTAAGGCGAGTCGATTTCAGATAATCAGTTAAAGTCGTTCAAAACGATGAAATGCTGAAAAGTAGTCAGTTAACAATGATATAACATCCAATTTTCTTGAGAAAGATAAAACAATCAATAGCGGACACAACATTGAATCGATTGAGTACAGTAATAAAAAAAACAGTTCTTATCACAAATTGATAAAAAGTGTGGTTAAATTGAAATAATGATCTACCCTACTCTTCATATCTGAATAAACATTTTTTAAACTTCGTAAAAAAAATGTATTTTTCGTAACTAGCTTAGGTCACGATGTGCTGAGGTAGACGATAATATCTACTTTTTATTCTTTCGTTTCAAAATTAAATATCAAATATTAGGACAACATTATCATAAACTTAAATTCTGATCATAATTATATTTGTCATTTTTTAGATTTGTATAAATGTTATAGCAAAGATATCTAACTTTAAGATTCTTTAAGGTAAAAATTCAAATATTACTGCACTCACTTAGATTTTCCCATTGCCTTTAATCACGAAACTAATCACTTTAATTATCTAGTCATTCTGTTATCGAACAAATATTATTCCAAAATATCTGTTCCAATTTTTAAGAGTTTAAGTAATGCGATTGCCATCATTGTTTATTCATGATTTATTTAGAAGTCCCTATTAAAAGGCAAAGTGACAGCAGCACAAGAATACATCACTGCAGGATTAAGACTATTTCATTAGCTTTCATTAGTCGCATTTGTGTTGGAGTCCACTATTTGTCGAGTTTCCAATTTGTTATAATCTTCCATATATCCAAACTCAATGTCGTGGATACACTATATTATGGAGATATATAACATCTGTGAAACCGTGAGTTGGTTTGATTTTCATGATATAAAAAAAATTTGCGAAAAATAGTATTTGTAACAAAAAATAAGACCGAATCAGTAGCGTTTATGATTTAAAAGTGGATAGTATGTCAGTGGTAAAGCACACGGGTTGGGTAAGAAGCCCATAAATTAACAAACTAACTAAAATGATAGTAATACCAATTTAATTTTTCAATCATTTTCAGTGACATTATTATTATTATTTCATAATTTATATATTTTTTTTCGAATAGGTGAAATGCCATACACCTGCCAAATATGTGCACGCACTTTTACTTTCCAGCAATCATACCACAAACATATGCTCTATCATAGCGATGATAAGCCCCACATCTGCAGTGTTTGTAATCGGGCATTTAAGGAGCTATCAACATTACATAACCATGAACGTATACACAGTGGTGAAAAACCATTTAAATGTGAAGTGTGTGGTGAGTTTGTTAAATTTAGAATTAATAATAATATAAATTTTCTATTGCGTTTCTCAAATTTTTTTTAGGGAAATGCTTCCGACAACGAGTTTCCTTTTTAGTACATACACGCATCCATACAGGTGTTATGCCTTATAAATGTGATATATGTGACAAAAGTTTTCGATACAAAGTATCTTTACGTACCCATAAATGTTTAGCAAGTGCAACACCAACAGATTCAAGTGAAAATACAGCAGAACAAGTGAACTTCTTTCAAAATATATTGGAGGAAAATTCAATTCATTTGACAAGCACACCGGAAAAATCACCAACAAGTATTGAAATTTCTACAATCACTGGACAATGCAACGACAGTTATAATTCAAAAACAGTGCTTGATGAGGAAGCCATACGACTATCAAAATCAATTGATGATCTTGTGGTGGAATCATGTAACAAACTGGGAATAGGTAACGAAGACACCAATAGTATAAATCAAAATATCACGGATACCTCGGTACCAAGTAATTTAAATGGATTTATGAATCACAATACAAGTACTTCGACTGATGATTTGACAACACAGCGACTTCAAAATATGCGTTTATATTCACCACGATTAATGGTGGAGTTAAATAATATTGATTATAATTTTCCTGGTTTTCTACTTGATGATGTGGGTAATAATGTAAAAATGATGTAGATAACAAAATTTGATAGCATTTAAGGTAATAATTTAAATAAAAAAATATATAAGTTATTAAAAGTATTATTGAATAAATATTTAAAAAAAAAATTCATTTAAATTTAATAATATTAATTGTTTTATTATTAATATTTTACTATATTTCTATTAAATATTATAAATATATATATATATATAATATAATATAATATTAATATATATATATATATATATATATATTATATATTATATACTACAATATATATATAATTAATATAAATATATATATTATATTATATATATTTATATATAAATATTTCAATTTACAAATAATTTTTATTAATATTTATCAGAATATTAAATTTAGATTTTTAAATTATATCTTTAATTTTTTTTCAACACCAGTAGTTTCAAATTTAAAAATAAAAATCAAAGTATTTGTACAATACCTCAAAGACAGTTATGATGTAGCAAAACCTAAGCTGGAATATGTTACATATCGATTATTTACTATTTACGTATTATTATCTCAGCCACAAAATCTATCCCAAATGTCTTAAATATTGACAACCATTTAATTGAAGGTGTCAGTAGCTATAAATACCTAGGTGTTGTGTTTAGCTAGAACAACCTATCAATGACTACATTAAAAGATAGAGTACAAGCTGGGAATAAAGTCTATTATGGATTAAAACGACTTATTACAAGTAATAATATTTAGCAGAAAACAAAACCAAAAATGTACAAAACATTGATTCGCCCAGTAGTAACATATGGCTGCGAGACATGGAGATTAACTGAAACTGAAGCAAGCAAGATACCAGTGTTTGAAAGGAAAATACTCAGAAATATTTTTGACCCCGTGAAAGAAAACGGGATGTATCACATAAGATACAACCACGAGCTAGAACGACTAGCTGAAGGTGATACAATCTACAAATTTATGATAAAGCATCGATTAAGATGTGTTGGACATGTGATATGAATGCCGGATATAAGATTACCGCTTGAGATTTATGAGAACGAAAACGGTAGAAAGACAGTTTGCAGCAGGATTTAGAAGAAATGTACATAAGAAATTGGAAAACAAAAACAGAAAACAGAAGAATGTTGTTAAACAGGCGCAGGTCCTACATAGACTGTATAGTCACGGATAATGATGACGTATTATTATATTTTACAGATATGTATTATACCTATTTCTCTCCAAAGTAAAATATAATCCATTTAAATATTTATAATTATACATGCATATACCTACTCATTTACGGTATAAGTTTCGATGACTTGTTTTAATATGGACCCAAAACCTTATAGAAAGTTATATTCGATTACAAAAACAGTGAGACTATGTTGTATATTAATTTAAAGATATCAAACAAACTATACTAATTCGTACTATAATTTTGACATAGATGATATGTGGTTTCTTAATAAATTTAGTTTAGTCTTACAATATATGTGTGAATGGTAAAATCGGGATTATTGAGATTTATAACAAAATTGTACGTCATGAAAACCGTGGAAGTAATGCCATATCAAGTATGTCTTACTTTTAAGTTTTTAATTCTGCAATCCATCTGTATCCTGCATAGTCATCTGTATCCCGCATTGTATAAGTCCGATCGGGTTATGCTAGATGGCATTAGAAACAAAAAGCTTTTGGTAGTTTGGTAATTGATTCATTCAGTTTTGTTTGAGCGTGTGTCAAAGGTGGACACTAGCAAAAAGAAAAAACGTCATATTTTACAGTTTTTTTTTTGAAAATTAGAATAGTGTTTATGGTCCTGATACTGTAACAGCCAATCATACGCAATCGATTGGTTTAGTTTTGTCGTTTCCGGTAATTTTGATGTCAAAGATACACTACTCACTGGAAGGTCAATTGTCGAAAATGTCAAGTCCGACTAGTTCGAGTCATGTAAGCACTGTTTCGATTGCTCAAGAACAAAAGATCACCAGAGCACAAAAAACCATTTGGAAACCTGTGAATAAGGCTGGATACAAAAAGAAGCTCGATGTATGGGTGTTAACGATATGCGAGTTAATGCAAAAAACCTCATGGACCAAATTTTCATCTGCAAATCGTTGCTGAATCGTAACAAAATTTCTGAATCGGTTGATAACGTCAAGCAAAAAACGTCTTAGTCGAATTACGGTGAGCCGACTAAAATGGTGGCCAAACCAAGATTGACAGCCAGGAAGATTTTGCTGTGTGTTTGGTGGAATTGGCAGGAAATCATCTACTATGAGCTGCTCTGCTATAGCAAAACTCTTAACTCTGACCTGTATTGTCTACAATTGAACCATCGGAAGAAAGCAATTGCCCAGAAACGACCAGTTTAGGACAATAGAGAAGGAATTGTGTTTCATCAGGACAACGTCAGGCCACACACATCGGTAATGACTCGCCAAAAGCTCTAAAAACGTGATTGGGAAGTTCTTATGTATCCATATTATAGTTCAGACCTAGCACCAAGTGATTACCATTTGTTCCTGTCCACGACGAACGATTTTTCTGCTGAAAAATTCGCTTCAAGAGAGGCTTGTAAAAATCGACTGTCTCAATTTTTTGCCAATTGGGATCATTGTAACTATGTTAAATAAGATTTCAAATTCACACAAAAGCAATGGATTTCTTTTTAATACATCTATTATATTGGCCACTGTTGTAATTACAACAAATCAACTCAGTACTACGGTATCGGGGCTGACAAGCCACTGCCAAGAGTTAAGTACATAACCATTATTAGGTTATTTTCTCTTTACTTAAATAGGATAACCGCTAGATCTAACCACCCTAACCTTACCTCATAATATACTTGTATTTAAGTAATTTTTTAAATAAATAATAATTCTTATAAATTTAACATCTTCAACATCTTGAAGAGTATTCGTTTTAAAAGACTGAATGACTTGTCACAATTTAGTAAAATCTTTGATATAAGATCATATTTTTGGCTTGACAACACTTTCTTATAATTTTTTAATTTATCTTTGGAATTATTCTTCCAGATACGGTTACCATGCATTTAAAATATTTGTTTATTGACTACCAACAAACAAAAAAAAACCCAAAGCAAACGAAATTATTTCAATTTGAAGCATAAATAATATTTAATTTTTTTTAAATTAAGAAAATTAGTTTTATATTTTTCTAAAAGTAAATGAATCGAACTGCACCAAAATGAAAGATTTGTTGAAAAAATTAGCCAAGGATATGGGTTGGAACTCATTAGGATCCATTCCTGTGGCAAACGAGGAAAATACGTCGTTGCTAAAAGAATTGGAAGCTTTGATGAGAGAAAAACAAGTCATAGAAGAAGAAAACAAAGATTTGAAAGAACGTTGCGAGAAAATTAGCGAACATGTAAAAAGTACCGAACTCTGCGTGGAACAGAATTTGGTAAGTTAAATTTTGAGATTTATAACTTGGGACGTTAACATATTTTTGTCAAATTAAGTCTGTGGTGGTATTGAAAAGTTTTAGAGTTGCGTTCTGCCCCTTTCTACAATTGATACCCATATGATACTACAGCGGTTGTGCTTTAAGTCTACAAATTGAGCAATGAAAACTGTTTAGAATCGAAAGTACCTACCTCGTAACTGAATAGCTTACTGTTTACGTACAGAGCAACAAAAGTTTAAATAAGGTATATATTTGTAGTGGAAGATTGGAAGTAAAAAAGATGGAAAACTATTTTTGACTTGGATTTGGCGCTCTTTAATTTCTATTGACCTGGACCGTCGTCCGACCACGCCTAACCCTGACGCCGGTACAACTAATACAGACATAGTTAAAAAAAAGACCAGTTGAAGAGTCACCAACTTTTCAAGATGTAAACGCATCATTGTCTTACTTGAGTTAACTCTTTAAGGGAACACTATATTATATTATTTTTAAAGGATACTTAAGTGTCTAATATCAATTGCCTAAGTGGATTTAAATATTTTAAGTTACATTTACGATACATAATATAGTATAATATGCTGTGTCCCATATCTATTTCTTTCTCTTAGCTTCTTTTAGTGCCTATTAATGTAGTATAAGCTACCTAACATAAAAAGTAATAGAAAAAATTTATTTTTTAACGTCTCAGAGGTTGCAGATACAAATTAATGGTATATATAATATATATGATTAACTAATAAAATAGAATAAAATTTCAAATAATGAATGCAACACCATCATAATATATCAAGTACTTTATGATATATCATGCATACAGCATTCTTATATCATAATTAGCTAAAAGTAATGCTTTACTATCGATATTAATCTAGTTTTGGTGTGCTCAAAAATTAGTAATAATGAATTTGAAAAGGCAGAGTTCATTTGAAGAAAATGTGATTAATCTCAAGTAATACCAGTATAAATCTGTAAGACTAAAAGTAAATAGTCCGTTTAGTGGCGAGATCTTCGATACCAATCCAAAGTATAGAATTTTCTTTTCAATGAATAAATGCTTTCACTTATTGCCAATATCATAAAATAGTGGAAGAATATATATGTAGTTTCTTATTATATGTATAGATCCCAGTATGTAGGAGTCCAATGAGTTAATAAGATTAAAACAATCAAAATTTTGTTGCTTCGTGTACAGAATTTGATACATGCCTATAACAGTGATGGTATGAGAGAAGCCCATTTGCTTAAAATTGTAGAACGTCAAGAGGCTAAAGTAATTGATGATATTAGAAAACTTGATGAGGAATACTTCGAAGAAGAATTGCATATGCAGACAGTACAAGGTAATTATGTTTCTAATTTAATACTTTATAAATAAAACATTTCATATGGCATACTGTGGATTTAATATACAATATTTACCTAATGTATAATATGTATATGATATATAATATATAAATGTTTTCCAATACAGCTGAGTTAGAGAAACAAAGAAATATTATTAAGGATAAGACTGAACGACTGAAATGGGCAAAAAATGCTATGACGATTTGGCAAGAAGCAATGGAACATAGTAAAACTGGATTTAAATTGATAGAAAAATATTTCAAAGAAGATGAAACAGTAGCTAAACAAAAAGAAAGAGAATTGCAATCACTGCAAAATGATTTAATTAAAGAACGTGCGGAACTGCATGAGACACTGGAATTGAAAAAGCGTTTGGAGAACGATATAGATTCTTTAGGAAAAGCTTTCCGACTTGCACATGCTGAACGCAGAGAAATGGTTAATATTTGGAAGTCAGCAGTAACACAAATGGCAAATCGTGAACGGTCTATAGAAAACGGAGACGATGATCTATTACAACTGAGACAGCAACGAAAATTCACACTTGCAAAACTATCTGCAAAAAATAGGGCGCTCGATGATTTATTGGAGGAACAAAAAGATATTGAATTCGAAATCGAGGAAATCAATAAGTCAGTGTGCAAAATTAAAGAAGAAAGCTACATCCTTAAATCTAAACTATTTACGAGAGAAAAAGAGGTATAAATTTGAATATTTTTAAATATATACGTTGAACTTGAGCAATATATATCTAATCTATGCTATATAATCTACATTAATATAAACTAATTTATGTTATCTTAAATCAAGAAATAATCTTAAATTATTGGAAATAACTAATTTAATTACGTATTTATTTCCAATGATTAAATGATATATTATTTATTTATATTAAGAAGTATAGGTATATGCAATAATTTTTTTAAGTTTGTTTCAATAACACTATATTTTTGAAATCATTTAAATTGTGTTTTTAGATACACGTATATCAACAAGATTTACAAAATTTAGCTAGTGACATTGAACGTATGCGAGCGGAATCTCGACTAAAACAAGTTGAAGCTAGTAAGAAGCAAGAAAAACTTGATATAATAATGGACAAGAACTTAAAATTGGAAGACCGCCTTAAAAAATTTATGGATAAGTCTTTAAATGCTACAACAAGATTGCAAATGTTAGAAGATATGATAGCTGTCGAGGAAAAGACTATTAAACAAATGAATAACGAGACCCAAGCACTTAATGAACTTAGATATCGCCTAGAATCGCAACTAGAAGATGTGAAAAGTGAAGCAAAACAAGTGGAGGTATACTTTATAAATATATTTTTTTACTAATAGTTTGAAGTCAAATTTTTAAAATATTATAGGTCAAGAATGATGGAACAAAAGCGGCTACAATAACAGTTGGAAAAAATATAAAAACTTTGAAAACGAGCATGAGGCGGCAGAATGAAATTCTATACAATTTGGTAAGCATGAAATACTAAGTTATGTTATATGTATACATATACAATATATATATGATATGTATAAAAAAACTCAACTGATGCCACTGAAAGACAATGCGATGCACATAAACCATTCTTAAATGTATTTAAAAATAATAAGTTGCAACTGTCGATATAAGGTAGTGCTTTGCGCTACACCTGGGCATATTGGAATTGGTGGGAATGAATCCACAAGAAACGGCCTTACGCCACACAATTCTGCTGATCTGAGCCTTACTGTGGCTGATCGTCAACTACGTGTATCATCAATAATTGCTAGTTTTCAAAATGAGGTAAAGAAATACTAAACAATACGAGAATCACTATTTATATTTTGAGCCTTGGTAACATTGATTATTGCCAGGTGTCAGCTTAAGTTTCCGTGTGAAAGTTTAACATTATTAAACATAACCTACCTTAGCCTTTTTGTCAAAAGAGCATTATTTGTGTTTTTATAGTGATTTGTAAATTGACTGTTTGTGAAAAAATAAAATTAACGCGAGAAAATATACCGTGCGATTATTTATTATGACTTTCGACATGGATTATCAAGATAAGAGTGTATCGATTAATTTACTTCTACATATGGCAATGAAACTCCATTCATTGACACTATGAAACGCTGGTACAAAGATTTTAATCGTTTTAACCACCTGACGAAATTCGTGGAGGTAGTGCAAAATCAGTTGCTCAGTTGTTGTGCCAGAAAACATTGATGCTGTGCAAAATCTGATAATGCAAGATCGTCATGTGGCATACTCGTATTCTTAGATTGAGGAAACCCTAGACATTAGTTCCACATACGAGTATGGGTGCTTCAAGATGAACTAAATCCAACAAAAGTTGTTCGCGCTATAATCACTTCCAAACAAAGAGTCCCTTGTTTTTCCGGGAAAACTGGCAACTGTACGAACGTAAAACAGTCAATTCCGAATGGTATATAACCATTTGTTTTCCGGAAGTCACGGGAAACAAACAAGCGTTGTCGTATCATTCTTCCTCTCCAGCGAGACAAAGCGAATGCTCACATATCTCGTCTAACAACCTATTTGACTATTTGAACATTCAAAAAATCGAATTGATGGATCATTCGTAGTACAGTCCTGATTTGACACCCACAGACCTTCTTTTTCCTGAACTTCAAGAATAAATTGCTTGGACAATTTTTGTCCATTTTTTTGTCGGCGGAAAAAACCGTTGTTGCATTTAAGAATCATGTTTTTGGGGTGTTTGAAGAAGATTAGTAAAAATGCTCTAACGCATACAAAAGTGAAGCAAATAACAAACCAATTTTCTACAACAAATTAGTTTTTTTCCATTATTAGGATCAAAATATAAATTGTGACTCATATAATAGTCCTGATATACCGTTGTTGCTTCTTATAAGAATAGAGTGGAGTTTTGGCGACATTCAGCAACTATTTTATGACAGTTAAATTTATTTTTCTGAGTTTTTGTATCCATCCACAGATAAAATAGAAGAATTTACTTCTGCATGCTTTAACAATTAAGTTTATAACCACTATTTCGGTTTGATCTTAATCGTTTTAAGTTAATATTTTTACCTTATATGTTATACATATTGTTTGTTTAGACCATCGTACTTAATTCGTTTTCGTCTTATTTGTGTAAGCATATAAGGCATATAAGCCTTATAAGGCTATATATATTATTTTGTTTCATCTACTAAGGACTAAAACGTTCTATACTCAATCTCAATTATTATTCTACAATAGAGTTTCAAATGTATAGAACTGGAACGTAAAATAACTGAAGCGATGGGTACTACTTCAGATCCCGAAGAAGAAGAAAGAAAAAAACAACAATTACAGAAATTGGAAGCTGAACATGCTAGGCTTCTTAAAAAAATACATTCTACCGAAAGTATTAATAAAAAACTCGAAGAAAGTATGCGTCAATTGACCTTGGTCTATAATCGCGATATCGACGAGGTTACCAAAATAGTAAGTGAACAATAATAATCAAAATTATGTATATTATTCAAATCCTTTTATTTTTGAAGAATTCCAAAATAAAAGACGTGCAAGGTTACTATGAAGGTGGTTTAAAGCGTCTTAAGGAATGTAAACACATCAATCAGGTCCTAATTGTGGATTTAAGTTTGCTAAAAATGAAAGCCCATAATTTCGAGGAACAAATTAAGAAAATTGAAAAGGGAAGGATTAGTTTGAATCAAAACCGTTCTCAAATGAAAGTTGTGATTAAGGAACGTTTAAAAAAACTAGAAGTTCAAATGGGAGTACTTAATACGAAGCGAAGAACATTGGTTGAAGAGAGAAGTACTTTGATAGCTGATATTACTGACCGAAAGAAACATATAGAAGCAATGAAGACGCGTTTTGAGCTAACTTCAAAATTATTGGGAACAAATGAAGATGGCACATTGGTTACAAGTACACAATTACAAATTGAGGCTGCACAAGAAAAGCATATACTTATAGAGGAGGGCAATTCGTTGAATCAGAAGGTTATAACTGCTGAAAAAGATATTAAGGCAATGGAAAATACCTTGGTGCTTATGAATCTTTCAAACAGTAACTTTCGTGATTCTTTACAGAAGGGAGCTTCTACAGATAAAGGTTAAATATTGTATATTCTATCTTTTGTTTAATAAAATTATTTATTTGATTTAGACGTATTAAAAGAAGAGTTGGAGAAAATTCGGGCAATTTCCCATAATAATGCAATGGAAATACAAAACATACAAGACAATATAGTAAAAAAAGAAGAGCAGGCTAGAATACTTGCGGCACAATTAGAAAATTTAGAAGCTGAGATGAAAAGATTATCTGAAGAAAAGTAAGTTACAACCTTCTTCCTTAAAGCATGGTTTTTCCAAATTTTTTATATTCATATTTTTATGAAAGCTTCTTTTTTTATTTTTAAAATGCCGGTAAGGTTTCATTGCTTTAGTATTGTTATGGTTCTAATAGAAATACTTACCTCTTGGATACTAAGAGGAATATGAGTAAGGTGGCATGCACTAGCTATTATTAGATTATATTATTACAACCTAACCGAACATAACTGAATAATTTAAAATAAGTTCCGTACATTTTTAGTTATTATTTTATCTATAAGAAAATATGAATTATGTAGCAGTTATATAGCTAAACAAATATAAAGGCAATTCAATCATTCGATTAAGATGAGTAAAACATAAACACAAACAGAATGATAACAATACTTTACAAAATATTAAAAATGAAACTCTAGGAAACAAGAATCAAAGGTAGATTACAAACAATAAATTTAAACAATGATAAACATTAAAACATTAAAGCCTACGCACAGGCTGTTACAACCAGTAACAGATGATTTCCTCTGAATATATAATTGAATGAAGCAGTCAAAATACAGATTTTGGGGCAATCAAAACAAAAAACATTTTCTTAGTACTCAATACTCTAAATCGTTTTGGGATGAAAGCTATACCGAAAATCAGAGTTTAAAAAATTATATAAGTAACAACTTATCATATTATCTTATACATATTACTTATGAAATGGTCGAGAAAACATAGCCTATTAACTCGTTTAGAAAGAGAATAAAATTATAATCATTAATTTGAAGAAGGATCGATTTCTGCTTAATTAGCTGAGAAAAGCATTTCGATATCACATTCCTCGTAAGTGTTGGCAAAAAGTTGGATATATTAGAACCACCCAGATGCATTAAAGTATCTGGCCAATATCAATGTTGTAAATATCGCAGAGAATTATAAAAAATAGGGCGCCTAAAAATATAAGACTAGTTTTAAATAAAGCTCAATATATGCTACCATATACACATACTACTTATATATATATTCAGAACTTATTTTAAAAACTAATTAATTAAAAACTGAAACCAGTTTAATAGATCAGATGTTACACAAATGCAGATAAATCAATAAAAACCAACCATTTTATAATAGTTATAGAAAAACTGATCTTAAAATTTAAGCAGTAGAATCTATTAGTTAGAAATAAAATTTTATATACGAAGCGTCTTTAATATCTCTTCATAGAGCAACAATAGAAGAAAATTTTCGAAAAGTCAATAAAGAATGTCAACACCAAAAAGAAAGAATGATGCGCGCTGAACGAGAGCTGCAGAATGCTATTAAGGCACTAAAAGAATTGCCTCTAGGCAACGAGAATTTTAATTTAATTGAAAGAGAAATATATTTGCAAGGCTTGGAAGAACGAAGTTCACTTATTCTAAACACTTTTGTCGATGTAATACACTCTGATAAGGATGCAGCTCCCGTAATATTAAATTTCTTTCAAGAAAAAAAAATACAAATGCCACATCATATGCAAAGTACACGAAGCTTCCAAATGCTTCGACGCAGCAACACTTCTCTAACATCATCAACTTCAAAAGGTAAATAATAAATAATGAGCTTACCTTAATAATAACTAATTGGAATAATTTATTTTCTTTAGATTATGCACTTTCCATCACTCAGTCGTCAGGTAGTGACACTGAACGTAGTTCGATGTCAGTTGCTACAGCTAAAGTGAGCGTACATTCATTGGAATTTAACCCTTAAAACTTCAGCATTCTAGTCGTATTTTATTTATAATTTTAAATTAATTACACAGCAATGATTAATGAATATTTTGTTTTTTTTTTAAATTGAAGATGCACAAAATTTAATAAATTTCGTAAATTGAAATATTTGTCAGCGTTTTATTCCTCTTCAGTACCGCTTCCAGTATTACTACCAGAGCTATGGCTACCACTACGCGATCGTGTTGGTGATCGTGATGCAGAGCCCGAACGTGATCCAGAGCCACTTCTACGTGAACCAGATGCGCTGCGAGATCGCGAGCGACTTACTGATCTTGAGCCAGAACGAGAACGAGAGCGACTCTTTGAACGTGAAGAACGTGATGCTGAACGAGAACGAGAACGTGAGTGTGAACGTGAATGAGTACGCGAACGAGAACGGGAACGTGATGGTGAACGACTTGCAGATTTGCGTGAACCTGCTTGTGAAACGGAGCGTGATCTAGACTTAGAACGTGATTTTGATCTAGATTTAGAACGTGAAGCAGATCTTGAACGGGTGCCAGATCTGGAACGTGAACGTGAAGCACGTGAAGCTTGTGAACCTGAAGCGGAAGAAGCTGAACGAGAACGCGAACGGGACCGTGATTTGGACTTAGATTTCGATTTAACACGCGATTTTGAACGTGAACGTGACTGACGGTCTTTAACAACTTGTGCTGCCGTTGTTTTATCCTCTCCAACATTACTTTCATCAGCTTGTTGTGTTTGAGTTTGAACTTCTTCTTCTTTCTCTTTTTCATCATCTTCCTCCTCATCAACTTCCATTTCTTCTTCCTCATCTTCATCTCCAACTGCTTCGAGTTGTTTTTCTCGATACCGCTGTACACGATGCTCATTTGCATCTAATGGACGATGTTGGACAACCTAAAACAAAAAACAAATTAATAAAAATTACACATAATGTCATAAAATATAATTCATTATCTAAAAATAAGTGCATCATAAAGAAAGGATCATCTGTTAGATCATATATTAGTTTCAGTTACAAGAGAAGCACATATTTTAGTTTATAAAGAAAAACAAGCTAAATTTAAAATAAATACTTGCCAATTTAGTATTATTGGGTTGCTGGCCGGCTTTAATGCGACGTTTATTAAGACGCACTCGGGTTTCCAATTCATTGTAATACAGACCATCTTGGCGCATAACAAAGAAGTAATTTTCTTCATAACCCTTCGAAGCCTTACTTTTAACATTCCAATTATATTCACGTGCAATTTTATACTCATACACTTCTTCATCTTTGTATAAAGCACCCTCTGCAAAGTCATTACGACGTTTTTCTAATGTTTCTTCTGTTGGTAAGAAGTATGCTACAAACTGTTCGCCACTTTCGTCCATCACACCACGTATCATAGCTTGCGACATTTCTTCTATTTGTGCGGGCACATTCTTACCAATCGGTGCTGGATCACTATCGAATATAACTTGTGCGCAAGGATACTTCCAATTAACGAAATCAGGATATACTGGTAATATTTCCAAAGGCACAACATTAGGTTTCGAATAATGTTTGGTAATAGGTTGTTTTGAATCTGTAAAGGTCTTTTCGATAGCTTTGATTTGAGCTTCACGATCCAAGTACAATGTTTCTTCACGCAATGATTTCTTAACATTGTAGCCAACTTTAGCTTCAATATTTTCGAGGTTTTGTGGTTGAAACCGCGTTTGTTCGGTAGATATGTATTCTGATTTACGTAACCACGAAACACTACGCGAGTGCTGACGCGAACGTATCGAATCATGCGGTGTATGTACGTCTTCTTCCAACAATTTCTCATCAGCTGGATCTAGTTGCGCATAGGGATCAGCTTGATATAAATCGCGATTGATTAAATCAATGGTAACACCCAGGTCATGCTCGGTTAATACTTCGTATTTATAATTCCGTTCTAAAGACGTTGGGTTGTACAGCACAAAGCGGTTAGCATCAAATGGATATTGCAGAAACTTTAAATCGAACGGTATGTCCGGTAAATTGTTCCCATATTTGACGCGACAAATTAATTCTGACCTAAAATATAAAATAAATAATTATTCAATAATTTTCGTGTAAAAACTACGTACTTTCTTTCTGTTTGGCGCGGGGGGCGCTTTTCAGCAGATGCTGCTACTGCAGTCGTATTATTAATAGTCGGAGGCATTCTAAATTAACTGTTAATAGAAAAAATTTATTTTTATTACACATTCATACATAAAATTTACTTTAATCAAAATTCTTCAATTTTAATTCACTTACCATTGAAACTCACTTGAAAAACTCTAGCGTTTTCATCAACGGCAAAACACATAAATGGCAACTGTCAAAATAGTAAAGTATGGGGTGAACTTGACCAAACATTAAAATATCTATTCACAATAAAATTTTTAATAAATTTATATATGACGGCAAATCAAATGAATTTCGTTTTTAATATCAGTAAAATATTAATTGATATGTAATTGATACATAAATGATTTCATATATCAATTATATATATAATTTTTTTGTGTGATATATTATTAACTGAAGTTTATAAAAGTTTTATCAGCTGCATAAATGAGCTTATTAAAATGTGAACGTTTACTCATTAATATAAATGAGCAAATGCCTAAATGAGACTATGTGAATGTACTATTATATTGGTATTTCCTATGTTATAGCTATGTTATGTAGAGTGTCTCGGGCATGGCATGAGTGAAATTGTTGTTGTTTTTAATGCAAATTATAAAATAGAGAGTAATATAAAAAACAATTTCGGTTCAAATTTCGACATGAGAACCTGACTATTTGGGTCTCGACACTTAGGCAAAGCAGTGATGTCCAGTAAAAAATATACAATTTTAATACGCTTTGGAGAAAAAATGGCAAAACATAGCATATTTCATAAACCGGTTATAATTTAATTTATACATTTTTCGATTTTTAGGAAAGGCATATAATTTTGTAAGTATTAGATATTAAAAAATAAAAAATAAAAAAATCCAAAAACATATATATTAAACTTGCTTATAATAATTTAAAATTGAATACCTATTTATATATATTAATAATAATATTATAATTACTAGTAATTACATAATATATATTATAATAATATTTATTATTTATTTATTTATTTTTTGAAACTTTTTTTTTGAAGCTTAAGACACCGGTATTTTTTATTTTTTGTCAGTATTTTCCTCATCTAAGTTCAATTTTTCTCTTTTAAGAGAATGAATTTGATTATGACACTCTTGGTTCTTACTGTTTTCTTTTATCAAAACGTTCGAAGGCATCTAGACATATCTAGATCATGTCTTTAGCAGATCTAGTCTTGTCCGATTAGTAGTTGCCTTTTTTCGTTTTTCACATGTTTTACAAAATCATTATTTACTTTTTGCATTTTCTAAATCCACCATTTCGAAATCACTATTTTCCTTAAACAACCCCAACTCAAAGCCCTTGGGATCAATGATCTTATTTAGATCCATCAACTGATAGGTGGTTTACACCATTGAACTAAACGTCTGAAGTAAGCTATGACTAACTCCGACTGACTTGAATTCCGCTCGATTAGTGTCAATTTTTTTTTGGTTTTCGTTTTCAAATCAAACCAAACCTGAAAAAGAAACAAAATAAAAGCGAAAGATGATCAATATTCAATGTATGTGTTAAAAAATTATTTTAAAATGCATGTGTAATAGATAATTCTAACCTTTGCCTATTTGTCCCACGTCCTTATGGGTGGACCTAAACTTTTGAGATTTTCTTCCACCTTAGCCTGGAGCGCATCTTGTTGCATATACGGTTTGCAATATCAGAATATTTCTTCATATTTACGAATTTTACTATTTGATTTTTATTGCTGATTTATATGGCGTTTACATTGGCCGAAAATGGCTCATTTTGGTCAAAAATCGAAAATGAGTATCGAATGGCTCATTCTTGCATATAAAATTTCAAGCACAAAAATGAGCAATTTTCTCACATTCTGTATGAAAGACGTACGAATGCATTCCACATATGTTCCAAATGCAAAGGAATCTATTGAACATACCCTAAATGAAAGCTCTTCATGGCATTTTGACAGTTTGAAAAAGCTGTTTTGACATATTTACAAAAAAAGGTAAACAAATGTTTGGTGGTTGCATTTTCTTTAAAACGATGTACCAATTTTTGGAACTTCTACTTCCCAAAAATAAATAAATCGAATCTAGAAACAAGTTTTCAGTTTATATTGTAAGGTTTGAAGGTATATTTAACCTTCCTGTAACATTTTCTTGGCACAGACCAAAAATTATATCAACATGCAAGTTGAAAAATCAGCTGTTTGAAATGAGAAAAAATGAAATACAACGAATGTAAACACTTTCAAATGACTCATTCAGAATGAGCCATTTTCAGCCAGTGTAAACGCCATATTATTTTGCTATTCAAAGAACTTTATTGTGTTATAATTTTATGTAAATATATACATTATTCATTTATAAATATATTTGAAAAATTAAAAAACGCTTGTATACACGGTGAAGTTAACTACAGGAAGACTTTTTTGTTTAAAATGTTCGAATAAACATACATAAGCAAATAAAAGAAGAAACCAAAAATACGAAATCGTTATTCTATTCTAACTATTGAATAAACAAAAATTATATTTAATTGACTGTATAAAGCGTTTCAAGAGCTTTTATTTTATCTGATCGAAAAATTTCTACTGATTAAACGCAATAGACAAATTTATCCTCTGCAGATAGAAAGTTTTTTAGCGGTTTGTAGTTCAAAAATTCAAAATTCGTTTTTGTTTATCAATGATAAAAACTTTTGTTCTGTGTATCAGCGACAGACAACTCACAATAGGTACTAATAGCTGCTTCTGTCGAGTAGTAAGGGAAAAACCAACAAGTCTCTTGCTGAAGTCTCTTATTTGTACGTGAAACAACCACACTAATTTTCTTCCTTAATTGACTAGTTATGAAGTTTCTAGTTATTTAAAAAAGACCCTTATTTGTACGTGAAACAACAACACTAATTTTGTTCCTTAATTGATTACACACTGGAATTTTTTGATAAAAATAAATACATTAATATGCAAATATTTCGAATATTTGAACCTTACATTATCTTTAACGCATTTTTGTATTTAATTTATTAATTGTGGCTGTGTACGAGTTCGAATAAATTGATGGGAAATACAGGGAAATAGTAAATTATGTCGGTATGGCAGCGAACGCTGGTATTTACCAGAATTTCGAGTAGAGTGAATTAGATAAAATTTAGGTGAATTACCTAATTTCACAATTGTGAAAATTTTATAAGACATATAATAAATAAATGAATAAATTTGAAATCTTTTAACTAAAAATAATAAATTAGTGCAATAAATAAATAAATATTTACATAAGTGCAATGCAAAAAATCCCTAGAAATTTTAATTTACTTTATCTCAATTTAGGAATCAGTGTGAACACATACCATTTCAAAATGAGTTTTGATGCAAAAAAATTATTACGTTTGAATGTGTACTGTTATTTCACAATATATGAGCATTTACCAACACTTCGATTTTAATAATATGGCATCACCGAAAATTTTCCTTATTTTGGCGTCTAACGAAGTATAGTTTTATTGTGAAAAAGAAAACAAAATATTATAGAATAATATTTTAGTTTTAATTGAATATTGTTCAGATTGTAGATAAAATGTGTTTTATTATTGTAGGCTAATTATTTTATGAATAATAAAAACAAAACATGTATGAAATGTTTTCAATGGGATAAGAAGAAAAAAAAAAACAAAAAAATGTTTAAATATTGTTAAAAGTGTTAAAATAAAGCTATAATATATATTTCAATTGTAATTAAATTGATTTATGATAGACTAAACTAAGTTCGCATAACGAAATGACGAATTATCGCTGTGTTAATTTTTATGATTTGTGTCGTGTGTGTACTGCCACTTCAGACCAAAATATAAATGTATTTTCTGTTGAGGGACGACGTAAAAATCTAAACACAAAAATAGCAGAATGTTTATCATTACAAGTAAGTCCTGATCGGTACAATATATAAGTTTTAAATTTAATAAAGCTCGTTTTACAAATGCATTATTTAGATTGAAGAAAAAGATCGTCTACCCAAAGTTTTGTGCAATCAGTGTCTACAACATGTGGAATCAATCGTGGAGTTTCGAAATATTTGTAAAAATTCACAGGTAATGCTTAACAATTGCCTTAATACCGCGACATTGCAAAATGGAAACAAAGTCTACATCAAAGATGCAATTGCTTGTAGCGGTAAAAGTCTTAGTGTTGTGGGCGGCGGTAGTAGTACAGTTTTTAATATTGGAAATCAAACCAATCAAATACCAACGATGACTTTGCAAACCGGCGGAACAACTCAACAGAGCAATGATTTAATTAATACAATAATGCAGGCTGTTGGCATACAGGTAAGTAAAATATAAAGAATATTTAGAAAAGGATTACGTTAACATAAGTTGGTTAAAAAAATTTTTGCTGGTAATATTTTGTCTACCTACTACATAACGTTTGAGAATACATACTCAATTCTAAAGAGCTCAGTTTTGTATATATAAAAAATTAGAAATTAAACCCGTATTGTAGACATTTTTGTTTGATGGATCATTCAAATGACTTAACATCTCAATTTTTGATCTCATCAAGATGGTTGATCATCAAGATAGTAACAGCAATATATTTTGTTTATTTTAACTTTGTAGATTATTTTTGTTGTCGAGTTAGATATAAAACCAAAAAAGCTGCGAATTTTGAAACATATACGCATATATCCTTAATTGAACCTTAAATTAAAAGAAACCTATTTGATACAAATAGTAGGTTATTGTATCAAAATCATATAAATAATTTTATAACATTAAGTAAATATTATTTTTTTTGTATGGTTACAGTGTCAATGTTCACTAAAAAATATTTAGTTTAGAACTCTTCCTCAAATTTAAGTCAAGTTTTTTAGTTATTTATATATATATATATATACTTTTTTAGCCATCTGACACAACAACAAATGACAAAAATATAATACCCCAGTATACAATAACAGTGGATAATAAAAGTCCAAAGACTGATACGGTGGAATATAAAATAACAAACAATTTAACAACTACATCTGTTGCTGCTCAACAACAAACCCAACAACAAAATACGGAAAAGGATTCTAAACACAAGTAAGCAATATAATTATAAATTTTTTATTAAATCAATTAAATCAAACATTTTATATTATAGCGCACTTGAAGAATTTCTAAAATTAAAACGTAATATTAAAGTGACACCAATCAAAAGAGGAGACGTACAGGCGCCAAAACCATCAAATCAGCAAGAGCAGCCATTTCAGCAAGTGAATCAGCAACTCGAACAAATAAGCATCGAACAACACCCACAACAACAAGTATCTCAACAACCTCAACAAGTAACACAGGCTTTACCGCAACTTTCGCATTTACAACTTCAACAGATACAACAGCAAATTCAACAACAAATACAACAGCAGTGGCAACAACAACAATTACAACAACAACTGCAGCAATTAACTTCGCATTTACAACCACAACAAATAACTATAGCACCAGTATCAATGCCAGTTAATACAACTTCCATACTAAGTGATGAGCTAAGTCCTGCAAAAAATAAAAAACCAAAATTAAATTTTCTTCTCACCTCGCCGACTACACAACAAACCATTTCTGCAACATTACCAACACAACAACCGCAAATACAATTACAAATACAACCTTCAACAACAACATCTCATCAACAACAGCAACAACAAACGGCTACTGCTACGCTGTTGACAAATCTAGCACCATTGTTACAGCAGCAATCCCAACAACAACAAACAATTGCACAAACAACACCTACTTCAAATATAATATCACCAAATAAGTGTTTCTTGCCAATAACTATTAAAGATGAAAATTCTGATCAGCAGATCGTTGCGCATATTGATGCTAAGAACTTTATGTTACCAACAACATATCAATTACAAATGAAAGTAAGAGTTTTATATCGAAAACTAAAATTTTGAAGTATTTTTCATTTAATTATTCTTTCTTTATTTAGTTGCAGCCACAGTTATCAACTGTAGATGGGCAACCTGTGGTACATTTAACTCCTGCTTCTATACCAGCCACAATACAGTTAACAGCACCACAAACAATCTCGAATCAAACATTTCAAACAACTGCTGTAAATACAAGCACCACAGTGCCTCATCATGTCTCACAACAAAAACAACAACTGCAACCGCTTATACAACACCACAACACCCAACACTTACCACAGAATGTGCAAATAGTATCCACATCAACAATTAAACAACCGAGTATAAGTATTAAAACTAATAATAACAGTAATATTAATTTTAATAATCATAATACAAATGATGCCTCTACTTCTACTACGGAACATATGGACGATTTTGGTGGAAGTAAACAGAAAACATCTGGTATGCAGGTTGCAAGTTCAATAATGAAACAAAAATATAAAATCACCAAAAACTCAAACAACAATACAATTGAAATAAAGCCACAAACAAATTTTACACAACAAATAATGCAACAAGTGCAACAACAGCAACAACAAAAACTATTACAAAAACAACAACAGCAGCAGCAACCGCAACAACAACAACAGAAAACTTCTTTACCGACAACAGTTGCAACACAGCATGGAGGCATTACAGTACAACGCATTACAGCTAAGACAAATCCCACAAAACAGTCGAATTTCTTAAGCACTCCAAAATTGCCAATACTTAATAAACAAAATGTAACAATAAGTCGCATAACTACGACAGCAACACCACTACAACAAAATAATACACAACAACAAGCCACATTAAAAGTGCAATCAAAAGTTAAAACTCCACAGCAGGATCAGCAGCAGCAGCAGCAGCAACAACAACAACAAAGGCCTCTGCAAAGTACTTTACCAACAAATCAAGCACAAACGTTGCCAACACAAAAGCCGCTAGTACAACAACAACAATTTGTAGAAGAAACAATTAAAGTTGAAAATAAGAAAATTGTACACAAAGTATTGAAAAGAACTACTGAAATTAAGCAGAAGACACCATCAGATACACTAGCGACAATAACGGATGTAACTAGCATAAATACTCCAACTGTAACTAGTGCGAATACAAATACGTCAACTGAAGGCACAGTACAAAGTCGTTTACAGTGTGCTCAGTGTAGTCGAACCTTTAAGAAGAAAGAACATCTCACACAGCATGTGAAGCTGCATGCCGGCTTACGTCCTTTTAAATGCATCGAGGACAATTGTGGTAAAAGTTTTAGTCGTAAGGAGCATTTAATGCGTCATATAATCTCACATACTGGTAAGAAAATGTTTAGCTGTGAAGTGTGTTTAAAACCGTTTTCGCGTAAAGATAATTTGAACAAACACAAAAGGTATTGCTTGTAATTCTTTTATTTTTGTTTCGTCAATAATAATCAAATTTTTTATTCTGTGCAGAATACATACTTCAGAATCAAGTTCTAATTATACTTGCGAAATTTGTCAGAAATCATATGCAGTGAAAGCTTTTTACCAGCAACATAAACTAATTCATAAAAAAGAAGCGGAAGCTGAAGCAGCTAGAACTGCGAATAAAGTAAGTTAAGATAAGCACGATTATAATTTAAATCGATAATAGTCTGAATATAATGGCGTTTTGACTTTTTTGAACATGAACACTTTTAACGGTTTTATATTGTTCTATATGTTGTAAGGAATAAAAAGTCTGTTCCCGAAAATGGATAAACCAGTTGCTGCTGCTCAATTTACGACATTTTGCTCTATATGAATATCCATTTTATAAAAATGCTGATTTTTAAACAATCCATTTTGTTTAAAAAGTACCTCAGACTATCGTACCTTGTCAAACCCCTTATAAGTGTGTTAATATCATTTCTGCTCAGTACAAGGAGTATATTTAAGGCTGCCTTGGCAGGATTGATGAATCGCTTAGTTTGTCTTTACGTTTACAATTTATATAGTAGTTTTTAAATTGGAACTGTTCCCGCAATCTGACATTTTCCACTACATGCATTCTCGTTAAAATAAAAAATTAATTAATGTTGGACTTTTCGTTTGACGAAATCGTAAGCCATTTTATTGCATTAGTGTTCTTCATGTTCTGAGGTTTACCACGAATCTAGTTATTCATTTTGTTTCAGTTCATTGAACAGCATTAATAGTTATCCAGCATTGCTAAATAAATAAGACCGTTATGTTGTTTCTATTATAAACATTATCGCTCTATTTACCTTTTACCTCAGACACAAGTATCAAGAGTAAATAACTTTGTTTGATATTTATCTTTAAAGACCTTCTTCCCATATATATATACATATTTTATAATATAAATACATATATACATATACATTATACGTATACATATTTTATAATGTCTATGTACATATATAAATATAATGTTAATCTTATGTTCTCTTTTAGGATTTAAAAAACAGTACGGAAAATTCAATAAATATAACAACTCCATCAAGTGCCCAAACGCAGCAGATACAAATCTTAACACAAAATCCAACACAACAACAACAGCAGCAGCAGAAACAGCAACAACAATATCAGCAATTTTCCCACCACTCACAAGAGCAGCAGACGCAAACAAATACAACAGCATCAACGCAAATAATGCATCTACAACTCCCAACTGTTGTAACAACACAAGATTTGACTGGGAATACTATTACAATAACACAATCCCATGATCCAAACAATACAAAAGTTGGTAACTCGGATTTTGCTTCGTCACTGGTAAATTTAGTGCATTTAACCCCAGCACAGTTTGTCAATGCTACCTCCGGGCACATTGTGGGACATATAAAGATTGAAAAATAATTTTATATATGACAGAAAAAAATATTAAATTAATTGCATTGCGTTGCTGAAGTCTTATTCATTTAATCATTTCAGTTGCAATTCTTTTATTATGGAAAGCTACCGAAACTAAATCTAAAGTATTATTTTTTCATTTAAATACTTTTAGGACAGTTTAAGTAAATTTTCTGTTTGATACAGTTTTGTTTTCAAAAACCAATTGTGAACAAATATACTTAGTAACTATATTAGAAGTTTACTGCCACTTCATTTCTATTTTAAATGTACACTTTCCCAGTGAAGATATTAATATTTAAGTATCTTAGTTTATTAAGCAAAATATGTAAAGTAAATTGTGCCATTATTTTATATTAGTAATTATAATTGTTAAAAAAGAATTGCATTTAATAGATTTTTTCAGTATTTAAGTAAACCACAAAACCTTAAAATACTCATTTCTGTTTTGTAGTTCGAATAGGTACAATTTAATACTTTGTTACTATTGTTCACAATTGTATAGTAAATGAGTTTCCTTTGTAGTGTAAATGTACAAAATATGCCAGTAACTTATATAACTTATCATTCCAAATTCACATAAGAAAGTATATATAGAAATATATAAACAATAAAATAAGCAATTAGACAAATAAGACTTTTTTTAGGTTTTATAAATATTACCATGTGCAACTTAGTCGTACTCTTTAAAATTGATATATATATTATAATATAAAATTGTAAAAAGTATTTCGTATATTATTTAAGTCGAGGACATTAATGTAACTAGTCTCAACAATTACAAAATCAATTTTATTAATATGTGTTAAATATTAAGTAAAATATTTCGTTTATTTATTTTTTTAATGTACTATATTTTTTATATGTTGTATATTTGATCTATATATTATCATATTTGGTAGATACCAGTGGCAGTCCGTCTCTCTAAAGGCGTGTCTCACTTAGGCCCTGAAATTGTGTCTATTGTGATAATATTTCCATGTATAATAAAAGAAAATTTAAAAATTTAATACATCATATTTATTTTTTTAAAATAATTTTTTTTTGTTTTGTTTTGTTTTTTTTGTTTTTTATATTTAAATATTTTTTCATTTAAATATTTTTTTAATGGCAAACTTCAATATCAGTGCATCAGTTCAAAATATTTTAAGACCTACAAAATTGGAAATTTATATTCTTACACAAATGTTAAACAATAAAACGCGACTATTTAGAGTAATATATAGAGAAGTTTTCAATTTCATTGATTTCAGTCTTCTTACTAATGTGTCTTTTGTTATTTTATTTATTTTTCTGAATGAATAATTTTATTATAAAATTAATACGTAATTAATTTTATTCTTAAATGTAAAAATAATTTAAAAAAAACACGAATTGTACTAGTTTTTAAGTATTGTTTATATGTATTTAATAAATAATTTTCTTAACTTTAAAACAAGCTTATAGCTTCTTAGCAGCTTAGAACTTATATCTATTCTTAATATTAAGTAATCAAAAAGTTTACGCTTATTTTTTTTAAATAATTACTATTTGTGGTTTTTGATTTTGATTATATGTTTAATGTTTTTTACATTTCAATTGTAATATTAGACTAACTAAATGTAGTGTATATATTTTTCATATAATGAAACCTATTGCGAATAAATGAAATATGCTTGTGTCTTTTAATTTTTAAAAAAAATTATTTTAAATTCATGTTTATATCGAAATTGATTTTATTTATTTTTATAAAATATTTATTATTAATTTTTATTTTTAATAAATCACTAATTAATTGAAAAACAAAAATATATTTTTTTTTCATTTAAAGAAATTAATCTAATTCTTTTTTTTTAATTTTTTTTTTTTAATTCATAAAAATTAAAAATTAATTTCTCATTGAAGATATTAGGTGTAAGAAATAAATTTTTTTTAAATAATTATAATTTTTTACATAAAATGCTGTGTATAAGTCTCATAATATGTATTAATTGAATTTTTACTTTTGCATTATTACGTATACATTTAAATTAAATATTATAAATATATTAATAAAGTGTTTTCTTAGAAATAATATTTTATGTTTATTCCAAATTATTGCTAAAAATATATTAATATATTTATTTATTAAAACTTTTTTATATTTTTATAAGAAAATTTTTAAAAATTCATAATTTAATATTTAAAAATTCATAATTTAAATATTTAAAAATTATAATAAATATTGCAAATATTTTTATTAATTTGTAATATTTATTTCAAAAATTTAAACTTTTTATTTAAATTATAACTACATCTATTTATATAAGAAGTATTAATAATAGTAATTAATAATTACTAATTATAATATTTTGCAAATGTAATATAATATATTACATATAATATAAATATAATATGTTGTAAATGTATATAATATTTTATAAAACTGGCTTAATCCTTTTAGCCAATTAAAATTGGTTGAATAAAAAAATTAGAGCCTTTTTTCTTATCTCTCTCTCTCTTAATTTCATATATACATGACTTTATATTTTTATCAAATTTTTATTCAATTCACTTAATTTCATTTTAATTTCAACACTTCTTTATTTTTAAACAAATTTTATTTTTTTATTTAATATTCTGTTTTTTAATAAATAAATAAATTTTAAATTTTTCAAGTATTAAATAATTAAATTTATTTTAATAAATTATTTTATTTGTATATTTATCCATATATTATTAATAACGATTTTCTCATATTAAAAAAATTATTATTTTATAATAATTCTCTTATGTTATCATTTGTATCATAAAATTTATTTACAAAAACTATAACAACTTTTTTAAATTTTTTAACAATATTTATGTATTTATTTATTATAAGTTTAAATATTAAATAAATATTAGTTATCAATATTGCTTTAATTTCAATAATGTACTCTTATATGAGTTTTGTATTAGTACAAAAATTTTTTTCTTTCCATGATCTCTTATTTATTAAGAATTATTTTATTATTTTATAAGTCAAAAGCGATTATCACCGAAACTGTACTATTTTGTGTAAATTAAAAAATCTCACTATTCTTAATTATAATACAATAATTTCAAATTAAATTTATTAATAAGTATTCAAAAATTGTTGCTTGATATTATATATCTATGTTTAGTCTGTAAAATAGTTGTAAAAATTAATTTAAATATATTAATATTAAGCATTCATATATTCATAAAGCTTTAGTATAAAAACCCTAAAAAAATTTAATTTATATATAATATTGAATAATATAAGTAAAATATATTTTAAAAACACATGTAAATATTCGTATATATGTTTTATTTAACTAAATTAATTATAGATGAAAAATGATGGCGGAGATCCTGATAAAACAGATTTTATAAATATATTGATTATAAGATAAGCAAAGCAAGTCTAAATGTATACAAAATTCTGCATGTATATGAAATTTTTTGATAGCATCTCAGACCAAATGAGAGACCGGAATATCTACCAATATATTTTTTTGTATTTTGAACGAAGAGTCTGGTCTGCATAAAAGAGCTGTAATGAATTACATTGTTTTCAATGGCTAAAAACTGTTTGCAGCTTACTTCTTCATTAATATTAATAAAATTATCCTACCTACGAATTTGTATGATGAATTTCTATGTACATTATGAGCTGATTTCACAGGCATAACTTAAGTCATGCTTAAGTCAACAACTTTGTTGACTTCTGTTAATTCATACATACCTACGTCAGTTTTAAGATTGTAAAATCGGTCTTATGAAACTTCTAACAACACCTTGATATGCTAATATATTTACTTAATTAAAACAATTATTAATCGAAAAAACTAACAAAAAATTTAGACATTAATTTTTAACTTCAGAGAAAGTTCTTTTATTAATACATTTTTTTATATGGGTACATATAAACCAATAGTTGTAAGAGTCTAGCATAGTTAAATAGTTACAGTATAGCAATTACATTTACAAGGAGTGAAGGTGAAATTATATAGTGTCAAACACTTCGTAGTCAAAAAGGACTCCTTCATTCCAATTCGATCAAACTATGCACGTTAGGATTCAGCTTGAATAAATTTATTTTTTTCCTTTACTGATATTCTTTTAATTCAAATCAATTTTTACCTCTATTTTGAGGTAACCAAACTTATTGTCGTGAAATCGATCAACAGCCGGTACTGCGGCCAGAAGAGTCATATAGTACTTGTAGCTGTCGATATTCTCGATAATCACAGTAAACTGGATTATAATTTAAATATATTGACAACACAAAACTTGTAAAAATTTAGAAAGAAAATTATTTTCCAAGAAGAAGTTTTCAGTTTTCTGATTAAGAAAATAAGCAGAATACAATAAATAATTTTATAATTTAGATATAGCCTCTGTGTTTTCAATTACGTTCAAATACAGAAACCCGCTATATACTAAATAGGTACAAATAGATTAAGTTTTAAACCTCTATTTTTATTTATAATTAATTAATGTTTTTCGCTTTTATTTTAGGTTTTTATAATATTAGGAAATAATTATTGGATACTATATGAAATTTAATCCTCCTAAAACTGCACAGTTTAAAGAACTACAAAGTTTCATTTTTTTGAAAAATATTCCACTCTTTAATGAAGTGGAGAATGCTTAACAGAATTAAGGACTTGACCAGTGTGGTTACTTTAGCTCTTTTTTGAATATATAGTCAAACTTTCATAACTCGAAGTACAATTTTGCAAAGAAAAGGTTCGACTTATGGAGACTTCAAGTTAGAGAATTTTTCATGTATTTTTTATTTTTGAAAGGAACTAGAATTACATTTTAAGATATTTATTTATTTGAAATCAAATAGTGCCCAGAAGTTATAGTGAAGGGAAACATTTAGAAGTTAGAGTTTGGGATTTTAATTTTTTTTTCTTATTTTCACTAAAAAGAGATTCCAATTTATTCCAGTCCTTATAGTGACCATTAGCTGTAATATCATTCGTTTGTTCGTTTGCAAAAAAAAAAATTAAGAGTTTTGAAAGAGTCTTCAACTTCATTCTTGGAAGGCTGTTGAACAATTTCATCTACTGAACCCTCATCATCTCTTTTCGTTGCGCTTAGAATCGGATCCACTAATTCAGAGCAATAATGCTTAATAATGTCGTCACCTGTAGGAAAGCTTGATACACATATTTCATTGTCTTGCTCAATATAAACGTCTTCGTGAATGTTATTTAAGAAAACTGAAGGAATATGTCGGTCCGGTTCGTCCCATATAGAAAATTGGCCAAATCCAGATTTTTTAAAGCAGTGCGCTATCAATTTATCAAGCTTTTATTACATGATTTATGCAATCCATAAGTGGAACATAATATCTTACTTTTTGTTTGCTTCTGTACGCTTTAGCGATTCCTTCACGATTCTGTTGTGACAGTTACACTGTAAATTTTGAAATACTCCCTGATCAAGCGGTTACAATTTAGGTCATATTCGGTAGAAAAAATGCCAGTTCTATGCATTTGCACAAATATCAGCGACTGGTATTTGCACAAAGAAATAACATTAAACATTTGGTTTGGAAAAAGTTTCTTCCTCCAACGCCAAAATGGATTCTACTTAAAACAAAAATTCGACTTATAAAATGCACTTTCCCATATTCCTATTGGCACGTGACAATATTTTTATTTGAGTTATAGAGAAATTCGAATAGTTGTAGAGAAATAGAAGTTCGAGTTATGGTAGCAGGATTGTATGTAATTTGCTCTCTAAAACCCTGTTACACTCTTATTAGTTCGAGTTATAGAAAATTCGAGTTATGGAAGTTTGAATGTAAATATATGACGTTATTTTTAAAAATTAATTAATACCGATTAGATGATCATTGAGTGTGTGTTGATTGAAAAAATTTTTAAAGTCTAAATGAACCTATCTATTCATATCATCTTTCCTAGAATACCGGGCCCATAAATGGTTATTTGATTTACGTGTTATTGTCAATAATATCGAACTTGAATTCGTTAAAACAACTTCAATAAAGCCTTTTAAGAAAAAAAAAAACATTAATCATATTCCCATTTCGATGGTGTCAAAATAATGTCTGCAAACTTGCGCACTGCGTACAAATGACTGCATTAAACTAATCAAAAATTCATTCATTGTTTTTCACTTGCCAATCAATAATTGACCAATAATTTTTTTATTAATCGTGACTCACTCACGTATCCGTGCAAATTGTGTGGTCAATTTTGTATTCGGGCCTTTCCAAAGAAATTCAGCTCTTGAATTTTCTAATACTTTCGGTTAAAAATATTAGAAACTTTTGAATGTAAATATCTAATTCGTTGGAATTCACTTCAAAGTATCCGCATTCAAGTATTTAGGTTTTTTACAATCCATGCGAAGTAGGATGTTGCGTGATTCCAAAGACTGCAAAAATTTGTTTAAACTAATCGTGCAGATTTGAGGAAAAGTTATGCTTCACTTTCAGAAAAAAGTATTACATAATTTATTTCCATAGAACTTTGATGAATTTAATGAAATAAAAAAATTTTATTTCAAAATATTATTAGTTGAAACAATTTTTTTTATGGAAATTACGTGCAAAATTTTTCATATTTTCAATTCATATATTGTTATAATATTGTGTAAAGGAATTTATTTTCAGTCAATTTAGAAAGAATTTAAATAAATGTACAATATAAATTTTCAATAAAATATAATCAACCTGAACCGAATACTTAAATGATGTATCGAAAGCCTAGAGCTTGTAAATGTTAGATCAATATAGAAGTTTATTGATATGAAAGGGCATTAAAAATAATAGAGAATCTAAAAAATTTGCAAGAAATAATTGAAAATTATTTTAAACTGAATCTACAGTCTAAGGGGTAGCTTAGTCCCCTTAGACTGAGGGGATAGATTCTCTTAAAAAACTTGAGTTATATTCTCATGAGATAATAAATGCATTTTTTATATGTTAGGACTTATGTTCTTAACTTATTATAATAAGTTAAGAATTAACTATGCATTAAAATAAATAATTTATTTAAATATTTTATTCCTGATAAGCAATAGCGATTGAAAGGGAAGATCACGAGATAGATCGTTTAAAAATATTGTCTATTGTATTATCTATTTTTTCAGATAATACATTACAAAAAAACTGTTCATAGTGTATGATATCATCTTAAGCTATTGAAATCGAAGATAGTCGTAAACAAGGTGTATAATAGAAAGAAAAAACCTTGAACTGAATTGTCTACTACAGTTTTGTTGCGATTCTGCAGAATTCTTATTCACCCATTTTATCTGTTAGTGGCCCTCAGAATGGGCGAAAATTATTCCAGTTCTTTAATCTGCCTTTTGTTCAAACAAATAGGTTTAGTGGATTTAACCAAAAAATTTTCTGGTTATCAACTTTCACTATATAGTAGAATTGTAAAGGTAGCGTTCTACAATTGTGCCTTCTAATAAGTTGCGATTTTAGTAAAATATTAAAAAATAGCTACGTTATTAATAATTCTGAAAACTGATCACTTTACAAATATCTAGTTACTTGATCTCTATTTGGTATTATTAACTACCTTAAAGGGTTTATGTTCGCCTCATTCATGTTCAATAAGTACTTAACGTCTCTAAAGACGCAGAATTCTAGACAGCAAACCGAGCTCAAATGACAGTCAAAATCGCATAGTTTCAAAAAACTATAAGAGTTCTATTGAAGTAATTTGGGTTCCGACCATTATGGTTGAACACATTAAACTAATTGATGATTTTATCGACAATAACATACGGGGCGCTAAAACAGTGAACGAATACCTTTGAAATCAACTTTGATAAGAAACTAAAAAAGTTACAGAGACAAGCAAATACTAACATAGTACTACTTACCTTATTAGGTATACTGCCGCAAAGTTAACAAGACAAAATATGATTGTATAGTAAAAGACACCTATCCATGTTGGTTAATTTGAAACAATCTAAAGATTTTGAAATACCTCTAAATCATGTGATCCTAAAACATATAACCTATAGAATATACAATCGCATCATACCAGACAGAGATGAGAAGGTAACAAAATCAGTACCACTATCACCGATATTGTCTAGTACACGATAGCTTCAAAACTGAACATTGTTCCAACTTGGGATATTTGAGAACCGAATATACGCCAATGTGATTATAATGGTTTCAGTATTTCAAACCAGAATCTATGCAATAAATATCAAAAACTTAAGACACAAGAATCCTCATGCCAGAACTATACAATAATCTTTATGCCAGATATTCAGGCAGCTTTAGGTTCGACTTTGACAAATTCTACACTTATTCGGAAGAGAGGAAATATGTTGCAATACCTACTAGCAAGGAATTAAGTGTGAGACTAGATACATTTTAATTGCAATGAAGTAGTGCAATGAAAATCTCTTTATAAATCTAGTGAAATCGGATGTACCAATAAAACTAACAACAACTGGCTTATTTAGAAGGGTTCTTTCCAAACTAATAAGAGAAGAATAGCAAATACCTCATAAATAGAAACAGATAGGATTTAAAAATAATTATAGGAGTGATAATTGATCGCTGCCTTCTAAAAATACAAAAACTGCGTTTAATTCTTTTATCAAATGAGAAATGCAGACTATGTATAAAAGACATATTACATATTCTTGAAGAATATCCTACTCTTATATAATATAGCGAAAGAATTTTCCAAAAAAATTAATCCACGAATTAGACTGGCCAAACATCTGCCAACAATCGAAATGAAAGAAATCTTTGGTAATTATAGATAAGGCATGATACAAAAGGTCACCTTGTTAGGAACAGCTAATATTCGAGCGCGGTAAATACTAATACGAGTAATAATAACTGTGAATACTGAAGATGATTATGACTACTACTATAACTAATAACTATGATGAGAGAATTTAATTCAATAAATATAACATTATTGCATACCTAAAAAAATTCGATTAAATAATAATTGTTTTTTTTTATTAAAGGAAAGCATTGCATATCGAAGCACTTTTTTCGATTGCGTAGCACTAAATTTAACAAAAAGAGCACCTGTTGAAAGCTAATTGAACGAGATAATATATGAAACGATGCAATATAAAACTTTCATTCAATTATAATAAAATTTAAAATTTAAAAATAAAAAACAGAATTGCTTTTAGTATTAAAAACATACAAATTTATTGAATAAATACATTATTTATTAAAAAGAAAGATTGTTTAATTTATATATCTTTTGTTATTTATTTTATACTGTTTAACTAGAAAATTTATTGAAGCTTCATTAGTAATTTTCAATTTTTTGAAAAGTTCTAATCTTTTTTTTAACCTAATTAATTATTTTAAAAATATATTTAATATATGAATTGTAAATTTATTGTACAAATTATATTTTTTTTTGATTTAAAACAATATTTTTTAATTTTAAAATTTTACTAATATTAGTTATATTATTACTAACACTTTTAAAAATATTTTAACAAATCTACTTCATGCAATAATAAAGCAATCATCTTTGGTTTTGCTAGTTAAGAACAATTTTTAAGCTATATAGTTTTATAAAAATTATGAATATAAATATATGTATATGTTATAAATAATATTTTTAATATTGATTATTAGTAAATATAAATTATATTAATTAAAAATGGCGTCTCTGCAGATTTAGTTGTACACAACAAAACATGCATTGTAAGCTATCGAAGTTGGTTCGATATCGATTTTGATATCGGCGTCAAGCGTTCTACGTTCAACTATTCTACGCATTCAATTAAAACTTGCGTCTTATATGGCATAGGTTTCAGCTGTAATTATCTGATCTAATACTCTGAATCTGTTACTGAGAATGGTAATATTTTGATTTGAGCGTAAACGTTTTGGGGGAGTGGTGCGTGCGTGTGGTGGGCGGCAGCTTCATATGCAAGAGCTGTGGCTATAAAGCGAAATTTATTTAAAAAAATTTTATTAATTTCGAAAACTTAAATTCGAATGTAACAATGATTTTTTAAAGTGTAAATAATACTTTTGTGTAAAACGTGTGAGATTTTTAAGTTTTATAATTTTTATCTAAGCGTATAATTAGAGATAAATATATTTAATATTTGTAAAAATAAATAATTGCGTATTTTGGTTAAAAGTGCATTTCGTTCTTTTTTTTTACGGTACTAACATTTTTTGGAAATTTTTTTCAGTGTCCCAAATGCAAACTATAATATTTTTATATAGCTCTAGTCATAGGTGAATGTCAGTTCTCTGACTTTTTCAACATCGCCCCACACTTGCAATGATTGTATATCGCACAGTCCAAACTCATAATCGGTATTATATTGTGTGATGAAATTGCGACCTTCTCCATCGACTAAGTATACATAGATCGTATTGTCTTGGAATGCAAACTCTAGGGCAAAGATTGTCCCTAAAATGGAATTTATAAATGCGTCAGTACTTGTATTAGTATTTACATTAAAGCCATTGCTTAAGCTATCATTAAATGTTAAATGTTTTGTTAACCGACCATCAAGCGAGTTATAATCAATATTATTCTCCTCCATCCACTCCCCATTGTATTTGTAGTTCTCAGTAATTTGGTGATTAAGTAGATTCCATTTAAAGTGGTATGTTATATTATCTGGACAGGCATCCGTTTCATTAGCGAAATTGATAGAAAATCTGAAAATAATAAAATAGTATTAGTATATAATAAATATACTGTTTATCATAAATTACCGCATTGGGTTAGATAAATACATAAAATAGAATTTGATTTAACCGGAATAGCTATAGTTTCCAAAGAAAAGTGTGGTATATCTGCACTACCCATTGAGTGAGAGAGAGTGGATTATAATAAGCATAAATAATATTCCAAACTATATTAAGTAGATTTTTAACCTCCATTTTCACAAAAGAAACTAAACTCTTAATATAAATATTATTTTCAATACATAGGTATTTTGAACAGAAGTAAATTATAAAAAATTTTTTTTTTTTTTTTTTTATTATAAATTGTTTTATTATATATGATATTAAAGAACAATAAATAAAACAAAACAAGACATAAAGCAACTAGTTATTAGATAACTAACAAGCAATTTAAATTTAAACAGATTAGGCGATTCCACGCAATAATAAATTAATTGTACTACATTTCAATGATTTAAGCCCAAAGATCGCACGGCTTTTGGCGCTTTAGACGGCGTATTGGCTCAGTTGTCGCTAGTAAATGCGCCTCAGCATTTACGTGACAACTAAGTCTATCTTGGTGTGATTTGGCTTTGGTATGAATTTCTTCCTGTACTGTTGACACTCCAAGGTCACGATGTAAGTCAGAATTTCTCACGTACCATGGCGCGTTTGTTACACTCCGTAGCATGAAATTTTGGAATCTTTGGATGATGGAAATTTGTGTTCTGCTTGCGCAACCCCATAGCTGTATTCCATATGTCCAGATTGGCTGGAGCATTTGTTTGTATAATATGTACAAGTTTATTGAAAAGCGATAGTTTTGATTTTTTGCCGATTAACCATTTCAACGATTTGAATTTAAGATCTAATTCACTTCTTTTCTTTTTTATGTGCTCGCTCCATCTTAGTTTAGCGTCCAAAGTCATACCCAAGTATTTCGCAGTATTCGCGTGAGGGATTTGTGCTTCATCGATGTAGACAGGTATATTACAAAAATAATATTTTATTATTTACTAATTGATTGAATTTTTTGCTGACCATACAGCTACGAGGGTCAGCATTGGTACACGATTGGTACACACAAATTTTAAAGAAGTGCAATGGCGGTACAATGACATAATAAGATTGTAACAGGTGACGCATCATGGATATATGCGTATTAGCCGGAACGTAAAGAGTAGTCGACTATACGAGTATGGGTGTTTTAAGATGAACTAAATCCAACTAAAGTTATTCGCACTCGAAGCACTTCGGAATAAATGGTCGTTTATTTTTTCGGAAAAACTGGTCATATGGCAATTATACGTTCACCATTAGAGGAACGTAAATTAGTCAATTCCGAATGGTATAGAACCGTTTGTTTACCGGAAGTCACGGGAAACAAACAAGCGCTGTCGAATCATTTTCCATCTCTAGCAAGACAATGCGAATGCTCACATATATCGTCTAACAACCTATTTGACTGTTTGAACATTCAAAAGATCGAATTGATGGGTCATTCCTCGTATAGTCCTGATTTGGCACCCAATGACTTCATCTTGTTCCCGAACGTCAAGAATAAATTGCATGGACAACGATTAGTAATTTTTGTCGGCGGAACAAGCCGTTGTTGCATTTAAAAATCATGTTTTGGAGGTGTCTAAAGAAGATTGGAAAAATGCTTTGACAAATGGTTCGAACGCATGCAAAAGTGTATTAATCATAAGGGAGAATGTTTCGAGAAACAATAAAGTAATTTTAAATTTCAAGTTAGTTTTTCTTCATTATTAGGCTCAAAACCCTTGTATTTCGAGTATTGTCAAATACCCATCCTCAGTAGTCTTGGAATTATTTCTTATTTTTAAACAATCATAAATAATTTCTTGAGACTGCAAGTACCAAGGATTGAACTCTCGCCCTGTTAAATTTTAAGCACAGAGTCAGTGTTCATTAGCCAACTGACCCAAAGCCGTACTTGACTTATGTATATGTTCTGACTTGCGGTGTTTTTAGTTTGCTTCAAACTACAAAATCATGTTTGTGTAAATTATACAAGAATGAAATATTACTATAATCTACTATTATATTTGTATCTTGGTAAATATGTCTTAAACCATAGTCCTACAAAATAAAGTCAAAAAGACCAAATGCCAAAGGTGCAGTAGATATAATTTGTGAATGTGATAGATCTAGGGATATTTCTGTAATATTTATCTCATATCACCCAAAAAATCAAAAAAAATTTTAATTAATCACATAATTGGATTCCCCTTCGTGACTACTCATCTTGTCCACAAACTTTTCTGTAATTATACATATGTATATATATTAAGCCGGGTTGATTTGTTAGAAAGAAAAATATTGGCAGAAGTGTATAGTAAAACTGAGTAAAAATTGAGTTAAATTTACCAAGACCCCTCATATATCTAAAGTAAATTTTGGGTCTTCGCATTTTTCGAACACTTTCTTTGATTTTGAATAAAATAAACACACCAAGATTTTAAAATCCGATACCATTTGCCCAAAATGTAGGAAAGAGAATGTTGCAGGAACCATCTCAAAATTAAGATTCTGTTTGGTTACGGGAGATTAAGCTATCAAAACTATAATTTAAACTTGGTTTTTTACTCTAGTTTTATAATTCCATTTAATACCTTTTATATGAATGAATTTGATTCCAAATATAACCAAAATTAAGTGGTGGAGATGAAACCATCTCACAATTGAGAGATTGCAAATCCAAAATTCAAACCTGATTTTTTGATTTAGGTAAATACTCCTTCTGTTTAAGTACTTCGAGATTGAATTAAACTTTTGTTTTTGTGTTGTTTTAGGCTATGTGTACTCTGATGACTTTTTCTGCATTCTGCCATTTGCATTTTTAACGTTTGCTATATCTAGTCCAATAGTATACAAATGAAATTTTACTTAGTAATTATTACACAAAATAATATTCTCAGCATTACGTTCCTAGATTAGGTTCTATACATAAGAAAGAACAAATCATTGAACAAATAATGCCTCTACGAAAGAATAGTTTTGAAATTTAACAATTAAAATAAAAAATATAATTAATTAATTAATTCAATTATTCTACAGCTGGTTTATGATTTCGTTCTAATATATAAATACAGCAAGTAAAATTGTTAATAACAAAACTCCAGCAAAAATATGCGAACAAAAAAGTCAAGTACGGCTTTGGATCAGTTGGTTAAGGTGCGCTGATTCTGAGCTTCACATTTGGCAGGACCCGAGTTAGATTCCTGGTACTTGCAGTCTCAAAAATAATTATTTACGAATAATTAAATACAAGAATTATTTCCAAGACCACTGATGAAGGGTATTTGGCAATACTCGAAACAGCTGTATGGTCAGCCAAAAATTCAATTAATTAAAATAATTTAAAAAAATAAATTTTTGTTGTTGTTTCACTTCTGTTCGAAAACCTCTTTATACAAAATAATATTAAAAATCTTATTTTGCTATACACTTTAAAGTAAAACAAATTGACGATGGAAATTTGATAATTCAGCGACTATTTGAACTTCCGACATAGCTAAATACAACACTCTGGAGTGTGGACTACCATCTGAAAATGGAAGAATATGAATTTCGTGTGCTCTTCAATCATTATATTTTACATAAAAAGCACCATTACCGAAACCAAGGAAAGGTTTCATAAATATTATGGAAACTCTACACTATCAAATTTAATGGTTAACCAATGGTTTACTGTAATAGAATCAGTACAATTGAGGTTTAACATTTAAGACGTCACTGCATGATATAGTGCTAGACGATTGATTGAAATTACTGAGTCTATACATCACATTTTGTGTAAAAATTTGATACTGAAATGAATTCGTTGGTATTTCTATTGTTCCGTAACCGTGGGCAACACATGCACCCATTCTAACAAATCAGAGACCAAGGAACAGTCAAAGCAGTCGACTTTTATGATTGAAGCTGATCCAGTCAATAAGGTCATGACGATATTTTTTTGATACACACGCGTTATCATTTACATGGATTATCCTGAAAATGATATTAGATCACCGGCGAATAATATTCAAATGATGTTAAACAAATTTGACTTCAATTTGATTTGAGTGCAGATGATTAACAGAGCTCCACTGTTTTTTGATCTCCACCTTGTCGTTTTCATTGATTTTTATAAATTAACCTCCAGAGCAGCAGATATATAAACAAATGATCACAATGATCATGTATGGTATAATTTTTTTATAATTGTTTATATATATTAAAAAAATTTTTTATCTTGAATTGACAGTAATTTTTAATTAATAATAATATACTTTTATTATAGTCCAAACTATTTCAGCAATTCAACATACATTCCTGTATCTGTAAAGATGAAAAATTGATGACGGTTACATTTTTAGGAATATTACGTCAATAAGAGATGAAACCACGAATTAAATAACAAGCCTCACAATATTTCTTCTGAATAGAAAATCATGACGTAGGTATATCTCCGAAAATTATGACGCGAGTTGGAAATGGACTAGATAACAGCCGCATATACTAATTATGCAAAAGACCCAAAAGAATTTGAAATCAAAACTGTTGTTTCTATTGATAATGTTGATTAGGTATTTTTAATTTTAATATTTTTAGTAGAGTTGACATAGGCACTTCTTAGCATCTAAAATATACAATCAATTACTATTATATAAAAACATTTTTTATATATTATATACATAAGTATATTGAAAAACTTACGGTAAATGTGTTCCATAAAATTCGCACAGACTTTAAAAATATGTTTAAAAATATGATTTTTAAATTACACTTTTCTTTGAAAATATTTAATTAAATCTATATTACACTGAAACTACTGTAAACTACTATAAAAGCTAAAATATTAATTCAAAGGAAATTCACAAGTGTTGTCCTCCAACCAGATAAGAACCCTTGACTTGCATTGTTCGCTTCTGTCAAGATAATTCGACCGAAATATTTTCTTATTAATTAAGGATATGTAATTA